CAAGGCACAGCCACAGTCCCAAACATTGCTTGATCTAAAGAGGCACCCGGCAGGAGGCCTCTTAAACCAAAGAAGCTATTCTATATGGGATGTAACCAAAGCATGGACTGTCGTGGCCAAGTCAGACTTCCCAAGGAAGGAAAGCATACCAGACTCATTTATGACACATAATCTACAATCTATGTAAAATATGGCCAAAATCTATGTAAAATATGGCCTTGTCTCCTCCAACAAGGGTGAGACACCATAATACCTGGATGCAACCCACATTTGCTCCCATGGGAACTCTTCAGGTAACAGGTAGAGACTGTAGCATACTCCCCCTTCCTGTGATGCACACCAGTACCTGCATGTTGGAAATGCAACAATGGTTAGCACTGAAATGTGAAAATGCCTCATAGCAGACAGCAGATAGTCTGAGTGTCCTAAAGTGCCCACCCTCACTCCCTCCCCCATGACTGCATCTACACTTGCTGAAATACTTTGGAGAAAACCGCATTGAAGCTGCCCTAGATGTAGCATGGGGAGTCTCAAAGATGTTTTGGATTCCTGACAACATATCAGTACCAGTGCCCTGTTTTCCTTAGAGCCACCGCTGTTTCACTAGCCAGAAGCACCTCCAAGCAGCTCCCTGGCAGAGCTTTGCTGGTGATGTCGCTTCTGGTGATGTAGAAACAGGTCATCTGGCCATTTGACCTCCAGAAGTGACATTGCTATCAAGACTCTGCCAGGGAGTTGCATGGAGCTGCTTCTAGCCAAGAACATAGCAGCAGGTGTTTTAAAAATGTGGACACTGGATCGCACCAGACTTAGCCCTATCATGCCGACCACACTTCACAAAGCTGTGGAGTATATTGCAGTTGCTCTTGTGCCAGGTTAATCAACCATAATAGTGTGGACTTCACATTTTTTAAAAATTTGTTCTGGGTTGGGTTTTTTGTTATCATTTTATTGATATGCATTTTAATGTGTTATGTTTTAACTGTTCCGTTGGGCTTGGCCCCATGTAAACCGCCCCGAGTCCCTTTGGGGAGATGGAAATGGGGTATAAAAATAAAATTATTCTTCTTCCTCTTCCTCTTCTCCTCCTCCTCCTCCTCCTCCTCCCTATTATTTGTTCTGGGTTCAGTACAACTGGGGTAGGAGATCTGGCCTTCTGTAGGAGATCCAGCACTGGGCCAGAACTAAGAGCTCGCCATTCAAAAAGCAAGTTGGTCAATGCCTGGATCCAGATTCATGCGTGGGCCAATCCTTCACTGCAGCTGTAACCAAATATCACTGTGGCTTTTTCTTTTCCTCCAGGGTATGTTTGCATAGTTTTCAGGATTTAGCATGCAAAGTACACATCACACCTGGACACACAACAAATGAATTTCTGTCAGGATATAGTTATAATCAGTTTGAACTGCATTAGTTATCTTGGTAAAGTACCCCTTTTGGAGCATGCAATTATATTCACAGATTGCTTGCCATTCTTTATTGTTTGTCTATTTCAAAAGATCTTTGTCTGTGAGCCATGTCTGGAAGGAAGTGCCAAATATCAAAATCCCTGACTCTGAAATCACTAGTGTAAAATAAATAGATATTTCTGTTTGGGGAAAAAATAATATGTAAAGCAGACCTTGCTTGCTCTTTGTCCTACATCCCACTCCCCAATCCTTGAAATGTCTTTTCCTGGTGTTCAGTGCTGCTGCTGGTCTATATTATCACTGGGGCTTATGAAACCATCTCCACTTCCAGTGAGTAGCTAAGTTACGTGGTGAATTAAAAGCAGGGAAAGTGGGCAAAATGGACTGCATACAAAAAGCCAAGAAACAATGTTGTGACTTCATATTTAACAGGCCCCTATTAGACAACAGTGAAGGAAATAAGAAAGAATTACAGATAACAAAATCCTACAGAAATGCATGAACAAACTATTCAAATATACTGGAGAAACCTAAACAAATCGTCAATCTACTATCTGCAGGGGCGGCTCAACCCATTACGCAAAGTAAGCATTTGCAGTATAGTTGATTTTGTCCAGGGGTGCTCTTGAGGCGCTCTTGGGGGAAAATAGACCTTGACATATGCGAGTTGTAGTTACTGGGCTGTATAGTTCACATACAATCAAAGAGCATTTTGAACTCCACCAATGATGGAATTGAACCAAATATGGCACACAGAACTCCCCAACGAACAGAAAATATATATCAGTGATTGGTTTGGGGGGGGGGGGGCGTCAAAATACTGTTTGCTTACCGTTGAAAATTACCTAGGGCTGCCTCTGACTATCTGATATGTAAGCCAAGAAATCTCACAGTCTCAGGTAGTAGTATGATCTTTTTTGGGCTTCCTGGTTTTATGGACTCTAAGCTCAGACCATATGTTACTAATCCTTCAACGAACAGGGTACTATGGTAGGAAACGACAATCTACTGACAGTCTCCCAAGAATAATATGCTAGGCTTCAGGGATGTGGAGGTCCTTAAATGCACCAAAGATATACTACATACCAACACAGGCATCAGTTATCATGTCCACCAGACAAACTCTGCCAGTTAGTACTTACTGCCAGTTACTCCAGGTCTGAGGGCAACATGTATCTTCAGACCAATAAAAATGTCATAGAGATTTGTATGGTTCTAAAGTATGCCAATATATCTGACCTGTAATAGCCTCATTTCTTGTTCCTGAAAGCTTCTGTTCTTCAAAAGAGACATTGTTGACAACTTTATCACCTTGATTCATAGATAGGAATCATCTGAGAATTACTCCAGGGCATCAGAAACTTTCACTCTACATCAGCCTGAACCTATGGTGGCGCAGTGGGTTCAACCCATGTGCTGGCAGGACTGAAGACTAACAGGTTGCAGGTTCGAATCCAGGGAGAGGCGGATGAGCTCCCTCTATCAGCTCCAGCTACTCATACGGGGACATGAGAGAAGCCTCCCACAAGTATGATAAAAACATCAAATCATCCGGGCATCCCCTGGGCAGCGTCCTTGCAGACAGCCAATTCACTCACACCAGAAGTGACTTGCAGTTTCTCAAGTCACTCTTGACACGACAAAAAAAAATAAGCCTGAACCCATTCAACTGATTCACGTTCTTGATACTACTATGGAATTACAGCATGCATCATTTTCTATTGAAGGTATACTACCATTACTTACATGCCTATAATGTCCATTCACAACATATAACAAAGTGTAGATTGCTACCTACACTAACTACATCATCATATGGGGCTAGAATCGGCAGCATATGCTGATCTAGTCCCGGTCAGCCATGGAGCCGGCTGGGATCTGCACGCATTATTCACTTGGGAAGTGTCCGATGTGTGATCCAATACAACAACCAGCAGTGATCTTGTCTGCTGTGGACTCATCTTGTTGTGTTTCAAATAATAATAATAATAATAATAATAATAATAATAATAATAATAATAATAATAATTTATTGATATCCCACCACCATTTCCCTGAAGGGACTCGGGGCAGCACACAAAAGCACTCCAAAGTGTTGCACACGCAGAATACACAATATATAAACATATAGAATTGATGAAAAAAAGAAGAAAAACAAATACGTTTATCAGTGTTTGTGGTGCTTTAAGATTCAAATGCTTTTTATACAACAGACAAACAAAAATGCTTTTTTGGAAAATATGTACAAGTGAAATGATATTCCTAATTGCATTGTGCAAAATATTCAAGTGTTATGTTTTTTGAAATTGTGCTTATTTTTGGCTAACCTCCAGCCGTTATCTACTGCTAAAATACTAATAAGGAAATCACAACCTATTTTTAGCCCTTCATCTATTACTATAATGGGAAGAAATTATGTTTTCCTCTGTGGATGAAGGATGTTGACCTCAGTCAGGACTCTAGTGAATTAATAATAATATTATACAACAACAACAACAACAACAACAGTTTTATTTCTTACCCTGCTATCCTCTTGTTTACAGAATAATTAATCTATGAGCACTGTTCTGTCGCGCGCTGGGCCTGTAACAGTTGCCTTTTCTATAGGACGTATACTTTAAGCCCAGCAGGAAGCCAGGGTGCCTCAAAGAGAGGTTCTCAGGGATTTTTCTGAAGTGATGGTCTTTAGAGTTTTTAATGATACAACAAAGTCTTTATTATGGAACAAACAACAAATCTTCAATGGTTCAAACAACACTTCAAGGCTTTCTTAGTCTAGTCCTCAATGGACTGGTACTTGACTTTGATTAACCGTACTTTCTCTGTAGGAAAAACAACAACCCTTTTTAACCTCTCCCAGGCTGATTACTATCTATGCCTCATCGGTGTGGGTCCTACTACCTATTCCAAATGCATCTGGGTATCGAGTAGACCTACCAGCCGAGGCTTGTAGATACTTCAGATGGAGTTCTGTGGATCTGTAGTGCTGTCCTCCCTCAGAGAATTATTTGAAAACCTCAAGGTTGTTTTCCCTCTGATTGCTGTGAGGCTGAAAGACTGTGAGCTCTCAGCCAGAGCCTTGGGACCTTTTCCCTGGAATTTCTGTTTCCTTGAGAAAAGAAGCTTTTCTACGGGATGAGCTGGTCTACGTCCTATAGTTTAGCTTCCTTATGAGAGATTGCCCCAAAAATGGCTCCTTTCCCTCCCAGAGCTCTGAACAAGGGGCGGAACCAAAGCTTAATTATGATGGACAGGAGGCCTGCCCTATGACTGCAAACAGATAACAGAAAGAAAATAAAGTTGGAGCTCCTGGTACAGCCGTACCAGCACAAGCACAACTTTTTGGGACTGTGGGTTTTAGAATATTGCTTCCTTGTTGTCATTTACAATAACTATTTTAGAAGCTTAGAATGAATCCTGTCTTTCAGGATGATGTTATTTCAGATTTATCTACTAGTATTTACTGTGATGACACAGATATCAACCTTTGCTCAAAGGGGCCTATCAAAGGCCTTTTTTGGCAGTTATTGAAAGAAACTTTTGTTTTCATGCTGTTGTGCTTTTATTGGATTTTACTGTACACCCTTTGAGAGGTGGGTGGGCAGAAATACAGTTCATGAACCAATATGGTTCTCACATTAAGCAAGCTGTTTGACTCTGCCAAATCCCAATCGTTTTTTCTTATTGGTCCAACTGCATGAAAGGTTGGTTAAACTTTCACAGCAAAGAAAGCTGTTTGGGGAAAAGATTTAGGGTGAGAGGGAGGAGAGGAAATTCTTTAATGGGGAGAGAAAAAAGCAAAGGCTTGAAGTGACTGCGAAAGACTGGTTTTTTTGGCTGCATTGATGGATGAAAAGGAGCAGAAAGAGCAGCTGCAGACAAAGAAATAACGTTTCCTGGGTTCTGCAGCCATTTCTGAATTATTTTGAAGAACTTCTAGGTTAAATTGATTGCTTAAGGTAAGTTTTCTTATGTTGTTTGCTCCATTGGATTGTTGGATTTATTAAACGATAAACAATTACTACTTGAACTGAAACCCTTGAACTCTGCATACTACTAATGTTGCCAAGTGACAGCTGTATTACTGAACCAGAGCTTGGAAAAACCGTGCCCATGTTGTCTGATGGGTTTTGGCATCTGTAGTCCAAAAGCAATTTTTCATAGTCTGCCCTTGGCTCAGATCAGTCTACGTAGGATGCTACTACTTGTGAGTTGTCCTCCTTGGTCTCAATGGGGCTAAAAAGAAACTGTGTTTGAACTCTGAACTCTGTTCTTGTCTGCTAAGGCAAATTAATTCTACTTAAGCAAGCTATTTATGCATATCTTGTTTCCCCAAAATTAGAAAAGTGATCATAGGAATCTATCTCCCTATCTTTCTAACTATGTATGATGCTCCTTCCACACAGCTGAATAAAATCCCAGATTATCAGGTTTAAATTGGATTATATGGCAGTGTGGACTCAGATAACCCAGTTCAAAGCAGATATTGTGGATTTTGTTTTTTGGGTCAGTAGTGACTTGAGAAACTGCAAGTCGTTTCTGGTGTGAGATAATTGGCTATCTGCAAGGATGTTGCCCAAGGGATGCTCAGATGTTTTGATATTTTACCATCCTTGTGGGAGGCTTCTCTCATGTCCCCACATGGGGAGCTGGAGCTAATAGAGGGAGCTCATCCACACTCTCCCCAAATTTGAACCTGCAACCTGTCGATCTTCAGTCCTACCAGCACAAGGGTTTAACCCACTGCACCACTGGGGGATTATCTGCCTTGATAATCTGGATTGTATGGCTGTATGGAAGGGCCCTGAGATAAAACTTGTGGTGTACCTTTAAGTCATTTCTGTTTTATGGAGACCCATGGCCATGGTGGCGCAGCACGTTAAACTGCTAAGCAGCAGAATTTGCTGACCAGAAGGTCAATGGTTCAAATCTGTGGGACAGGGTGAGCTTCTATTTTTTGCCCCAGCTTCTACCACTTTAGCACTTCAAAAATATGCAAATATGAGTATTTATTTTATTTATTTACCATATTTATATTCTGCCTTTCTCACACTGGAGGGGACTCAAGACAGCTTTAGAACAGGCAGCAATTTGATGCTATATAACAATAAACAATTGCAATTAAAACCAAAAAAATTAAAACATGAATTATTAAAAACAACAATTTAAACCACACCAAACAAACTATAATCCAGGGCCGTTCCATTTGTCAAGCACATTGTTTTATAGTCACTTATTGCACTGCTCCAATTACTTGTCAAAAGCTTGATCCAGAGTTTTTTTCCTGAAGCTGATCTAATCACATTAGAGAGGGAGTTCCATAGCTTGTTCCCCACCAATTGTGCCTGCAAAAGAGGTTGGACCAAGAGTAGATGATCTTAATCTCCGAGATGATTCATAGAGGGAGATACATTCAGACAGATAAACTCAATAGGTAGCTTACCTATCCGAGTAATCAATAGGTACTGCTTCCGAAGGAAGGTAATGGCTCTCCATGCAGTCATGCTGGCCACAAGACCTAGGAGGTGTCTACGGACTCTTCAGCTTAGAAATGGAGATGAGCACCACTCCCTAGTGATGGACCCGACTCGACTTAATGTCAAGAAGAAACCTTTACCTTTAAGAGTAAATCTATCATGGGGATATTCTTTGCAAGATTTGTTTAATAGGGACTTTACTTTTGCCGTCTTATGAGGCTGAGTGTTACTTGCCCAGGGTCATCCAATCCCTACTTGGGTTGTATGGCCAAATGGGGATTTGAACCCTGACCTCCAGAGCCATATATTCTAACTAAGAATATAATTGAAAGTATAACAGTCTGCAAGAACTGTACATACTACACTCTCTAGTAAACAATAGTAGAACACTGGAGCCACAAGAATTAAAAATGTTGAAATTATAGTGTAAGTGATAGTCAAGATTTCAGCTCTCCCTATTAAACTTGCACGTAGCAATAACAAGGTAGGAGCAGGGTGATTTTTAAAAGTTCTTTCTTATGTAGTTTTGACAATGTTGGTTGGACTTCTTATTCTGAATTATTTTAGCATAGGTCTTTGAAACAATATTCTTTGGAGCTATATTTCTTATATTTTCTTCTGTGCCTGAAATGGCATCTGCAGGTGAATGCCTTTTTAAAGTAGATTTATTAGAGCTCTCTCTCTCTCTGTGTGTGTGTGTGTGTGAGAGAGAGAGAGAGAGAGAGAGAGAGAGAGAGAGGGTGCCAGCATAAGTTCATTTATTGTGCTAGCCAACATTACAGGAGGAATTGTTTGCTTCTTAGAAATTACAAAAGAGAGCTCAACTTCCCTTTAATTTTGATTATTCTAAGGCAACCAATCTACTTTCCTGTACTGCCCTCTGTTGAGCAAAAGTGGTTCATAGCATGAAGGATGTCTTGGAAGGAGAAATATCCTATATCACTGCTTCCCAACCTTTTTTTGACCTGGGACCCTTTGACCAGGGACCACTTGACAAGGGCGCATCCACACAGCCCCTTTATTGCGGTAACACCCACAATAAAGATGCAGCTGTCCAGATGATGTCCTGGAAAATCCCCAATTAATTCGCCACAAATCAGGAAAACCCTGGTTTGTAGCGAATTAATTAGATAGTGGATTTATTCCACACCATCTTGGAAGGCGTGGGATAAACCCATTATTTCCCACAGTTTTCTGGACTAAATTGGTACGGAAAACTGTGAGAATACCCACCCCTCCCCCAAAGCCCCCCAAACCCTTTTAAAAGTAAAGAAAAATTACCCAGCCTCTAAGGCCCCGTCTACACTGCCATATAAAATCCAGATTATCTGTTTTGAAGTGGGTTATATGGCAGTGTAGACTCATATAATCCAGTTCAAAGCAAATAATGTGGATTATCTGATCTCAAAGTTCTGAAGGCAAGGAGCAGGAACATATCTAAAAGCAAGTCTAAAAACACTTAATACTACAACCTAGGAATGTACGAAGGTTATCCTGAAAGTAAAGTTACAAGGCACATAGTTGTCATGGGAAATTTTTGCAGGGGAAGTTGGTGTTGCTGCTGTGTAGCAGGAAGTCAGCGGAAGCGAACGGGCAGTGCCAGTCGTCAGTAGCTCATCGATTGGCATTGTGCCGTCGCACCTGGGGGCTATTATTCTTAATGAAGGAGGCATGGACGTGGCATCTTTCCCCAGGGGATTGCTTCTTGCCCTCCTATAGGAAACTGGAACTCTCAAAAACCCAAAACGCTGTAAATAACTCAAAATAAGTTTTATTGATCACAAAGAGTTATTTCTTTAAAGCAATGAGCTGGAAACTTCAGAGGGGTGAAGGAAAATATACGTTACAGTCTCAGTTAGTCCTAGGTCCAAGGTGTTTGAAGCTGAGAAGCTTTTCCAAGTTTCCTCTTTCCTCAATGGCTGTGAATGCCGGAGCAAACCACAACCCCAGTTCAGATGGCCTATGTTTGAAGACTCAGGATCTTCCTCTGGTGCCAAGAGAACCGGTTTGAAGGTGCTTGAGACTCCCAATGTCGTTCAGGTTGGTTTGAACATGAAGCATAAATCTCAAGGGTTAAAAACCTCAGAACCGGTGCTGAGAGGTAATTTCAATCAGGGTCTTTTAGAGTCAAGTCTCTTACTCACATCCATCTGGTAGAAACTCTGATGGCAGAATGAAAAGAAAGGAAGCACTTCCCTCCTGCAGGAAGAGGTGGAGCCAAACAATACTGATTGACAGCTATAAGTAACCAATCCATCCAACTATACATAGGCAGGGTAAAAAGGCAGGATTAAGCATGATACAACAGTTTAAATCTTGCAACTAACAGTTCTACACATAGGTGGCACCACTCGCGCCGTCACAGGCATTGTGGTGAAGGTTGGAAATGAGTGTTCCCATTCTGTTTCCCTCCAAGTGTGAAGTTAATGGTGTACTACACTACCTAAATGCTAAGGGCATGAATGCTTCTCCGATTCATCGCAAAATTGTTTCAGTTTATGGAGAGGACATAATGTCAAGACAGCATGTGACAAAATGGGTATGGAATATATTGTGAGATCATAAAGAAACTTCTCAGAGCCATCCAAAACAAACATCATGGGATGCTGACAGCGGGAGTCTGTCTCCTTCATAACAATGTGCGTCCACACACCGCTCATGCAACACAAAGGTTGTTGACTTCATTTGGTTGGGATGTTTTCAGCCACCCTTCCCGCAGCCCCGATCTTGCACTCAGTGACTATCTGTTCACTAAATTGAAGGAACACTTTTCCGACGATGACGAGGTGAAAATCAAAGTGGTGAACTGGCTGAAAAAGGAGGAGGGAAACTTCTATGACACAGGCATCACACGGATGGCAAAATGAATTGAACTGAATGGTGATTATGTGGAAAAATAATGTAATACCTATGCTAGAATCTATGTGAGTTTTATTAAAATATATTTATTCTCTGTATTTTAAAAAATCTTGTAATCTTACCTTCCAGATAGTAGTAGTAGCAGTAGTATTTATTTATTTATTTATTTATTTATTTATTTATTTACTATATTTGTATGCCGCTCTTCTCAGCCCTCAGGGCGACTCAGAGCGGTTAACAAAGCAAATACAATACTTAAACATGATAAAAAAGTCAAAAACAAGTTAAAAGAATAACATTATAACAATCAATAAACATCATAACATCTCATCTCGTCTCATAGTTAAAATCAAGATCCAGTCTCATCATCCGAATGCTCCATATTTCTATATTAGTTACACTGCCTATTCAAATGCTTGCTCAAACAACCAGGTCTTCACTTTCCTCCGAAATGTGAACAGGGAGGGGGCCAATCTAATTTCTGTGGGAAGGGCGTTCCACAGCTGAGGGGCCACCAATGAGAAGGCCCTGTTGCTTGTCCCCGCCAATTAGTAGTAGCAGTAATAATAATAAGGTTCTTGTGGGTTTTTTCGGGCTATAGGGCCATGTTCTAGAGGCATTTCTCCTGACGTTTCACCTGCATCTATGGCAAGCATCCTCAGAGGTAGTGAGGTCTGTTGGAAATAGGACAATGGGTTTATATATCTGTGGAATGGCTGGGGTGGGACAAAGAGCTCTTCCCTGCTAGAGCTAGGTGTGAATGTTTCAACTGACCACCTTCATTAGCATTTGAAGGCCTGCCTGAGCCTGGGAAAATCTCTTGCTGGGAGGTGTTAAGATGTGCCTGGTTGTTTCCTCTCTGTTGTTTTGCTGTTGTAATTTTAGAGTTTTTTAATACTGGTAGCCAGATTTTGTTCATTTTCATGGTCTCCTCCTTTCGGTTGAAATTGTCCACATGCTTGTGGATTTCAATGGCTTCTCTGTGTAGTCTGACATGGTGGTTGTTGGTGTGGTCCAGCATTTCTGTGTTCTCAAATAATATGCTGTGTCCAGGCTGGTTCATCAGGTGCTCTGCTATGGCTTATGGCTGACTTCTCTGGTTGAAGTAGTCTGCAGTGCCTTTCATGTTCCTTGATTCGTGTTTGGGCAATGCTGCATTTGGTGGTCCCTATGTAGACTTGTCCACAGCTGCATGGTATACGGTAGACTCCTGCAGAGGTGAGAGGATCCCTCTTGTCCTTTGCTGAACGTAGCATTTGTTGGATTTTCTTGGTGGGTTTGTAGATTGTTTGTATGTTGTGTTTCCTCATCAGCTTCCCTATGCGGTCAGTGGTTCCCTTGATGTATGGCAGGAACACTTTTCCTCTGGGTGGATCTTCATCTTTACTCTCGTGGTTTGTTCTTGGTCTTGCAGCTCTTCTGATGTCTGAGGTGGAGTATCCATTGGCCTGGAGAGCCCAGTTGAGGTGGTTCAGTTCATCTTGGAGGAGGTGGGGTTCTTGGAGGAGGAGTAATAATAATAGTTTATTTATACGCCAACCTATCTCCCCTAGGGGACTCAAAGCGGTTTCCACATATGCAAATAATACAAGAGACATACAATGTGAAATATAAAACATAAGCATAAACGATTAACACAACATATCTATTAAAACCAATTTAAAAACCACTTCTGCTCTCTTCTTTCGTGAAAGATAATCTCATAGATCCTCATTCATGATAAAGGTCTTAATTCACCAGTGTTTATACCACAGAACCTAGTGCACATTATTCTCTAACCAAATCTATCCCAATTTTAGTAGGGAAAAGGACACATTTCCAAGCAATTGAATCGAGCCATGGTATTTACAAGTATAACATAGCCCAGCATCTATTTGTTCAGGAAAATACGCATGCAATGTGTATTCTACAAATAAAAAGAAAGGGAAGGTGTGTTGCAATGTTTAACTTTTGTCTACTGCTGCATCCAATGTCAAGATTTTTCCTTTTCAAGCAGGGCACAAAATGCCAAAGCAACACCAGAAAAAAAGAAGTTTATGCCAACAAACTGGAGCACTTTTGTGGAAGAACATACTTCTGAAATGGAGGATGAGGGTACAAAGTGTTCAGGTACATGGAAGGAACTAACTGGAGTAAAAAGAAAACTCAGATTCTGTTCGGGCTCAGTATTATTTCTCCTGATATTGGCACTCTGATCTGCTGGAGTCTCGATACGATTGGATTCATTTTGCAGCCTGCTAAGGGGATGTTGGCAGATTTTTGCAATACTGTCTACTCCCCATAAAGCAGAGAATGGTCATGTGAGGAGGGAGGACTTTGGAAGTAATTGAGTAAGTCAGAGCATGGCAAATTCACAAGGCAATGAGGGAAACTATCACCTCATGCCCGGCATTGCACGCATTGCTGCGTTGCCAGCCGGAGTACCTCCTCATTGTAGGCAATGGGAACACAGGAAGCACATGTTCTGTGGGCAGTGTCCTAGGATGCTGCCAAGACACTGTGAAGTTGGAGCCCTACCAGAAGTAGCCCGACATCATGTGATGGGCTCCATCTGACTCTGTCCTGGCAGCATCCTAGGACACTGCAAGAAGACAATGCAATGAGGTCCTATGCTATACATGAGTATATACAGTCACTAAGTGAATAAAACAAAGCAGTTTTATTTAAGACATATCAGCATGTAATATGTTCAAAAGTTCCAATGGTCTTTCAAGACTAAAAGGCTTGACATTTACTTCACTTCATGTGTGCCATCCACCATTCACTTATTTCTTGTTCTGTGTGTGAGTAAATATGTAGATGGAGAAGGGTAGTAGAAGAGGGGATTTTCTTCTTCCACCCCTTTTATATGCATTTTTATAACTCTAAATGTGTGTATGTTTGTGTGTGTTCATAGAATCATAGAGCTGGAAGAGACCTTGTGGGCCATCCAGTCCAACGCCCTGCCAAGAAGCAGGAAAATCACATTCAAAGCATCCCTGACAGATTGCCATCTAGCCTCTGTTTAAAAGCCTCCAAAAAAAGGAGCCTCCATCACACAGAGAGTTCCACTGCTGAACAGCTCTCGCAGTGAGGAGGTTTTTTCCTAATGTTCCTTTCCTGTAGTTTGAAGCCCGTGTTCTGCATCCTAGTCTCCAGGGCAGCAGAAAACAAGCCTGCTCCCTCCTCCCTATGACTTCCTCTCACATATTTATACATGGCTATCATGTCTCCTCTCAGTTCTGCAGGCCAAACATGCCCAGCTCTTTAAGCTGCTCCTCATGGGCTTGTTCTCCAGACCTTTGATCATTTGCATCTCCAGACCCTTGATCATGCATGCATGCATATGTGTATGTGGATTTATATATATCCACATATGTTACAGGTATAAAGGGCCGGGATATAGCACATCTGGTAAATCACCACCAGCAACAATAAGATCTACCAATCGAAAGGTTGCCAGTTCAAAGCCAAGGTCGGTGTGAGTACCTGACTGTCAGCCAAGCTCACTGTTTACTTAAGCAGTTAAAAAACAGCTTAGAGCTGTTAGTAGATAAATTAGGTACTACTAAAAAGTGGGGGAGGTATTTTACGACCCCATAAAAGAAAAAGACCAGAAATGCAGCAGCCAAAAGGAAGAGGGAAGCCCTGGTGGCTCTTCATCATAGAGGATGGCATGATAGCACCCCTCTGTGGCTGGATTTGAGCACAACCTCCAAGGCGCCAAAAAGCTGGATGTCGACACAGCATACCTCCTTTCCATCTCTTCTGTCCTTTTCTGTCCAAACAGTATTGAATGTTTTGCCATGTATGTGTACTGTGATCCACCCTGAGTTCCCTTGTGGAGATAGGGTGGAATATAAATAAAATGTGTGCGTGTGTGCGTGTGTGTGTGCATGTATTATATGACTGAGTGTAGTAACTAGAAGGGATATCCTTCTGTGTTCCTTGTAATTTCATTAACACAGGAATGAGTCATGTAGCGCTCCATATGATTTTGGATCTCATCTTCTAGCAGTTGTACCCCGTCTATTTATTAAGATAAGGAATGCTGGAAGCTGTAGTCCAACAACATCTGGAAGCCACATAGTTCTCATACTGGCTGTATAATCTGAAGAAAAATATAATTATTGCATGAAACTTCCTGAATTGACCTGGAAGTGATCGTCACTGACTTTTTTCTCATCTCCAGGAACTGTTCTCATCATTGAGTCTTCTCCTTTCATTCTTAATTTTGTCATCCATGATTGAACTTCATAGAAGTGGGGAAATACCTTGGGCATCTCTTGGACAACTAGATGATCCTGTCTTCAATAGTACGGATTCTACAATTCTCTACACACCAGATACAAAACTCACAAGAAAAGTAATGGAAAAATTAGAAAATGTCTCTGTTTTGAAAGGTATATATTATCATTCTAAACATGCTTATTACAACTGTTCTTTCATAAAGCTTAGTGTGTACTGAGAGCGATGTTGGCTGCTCAATGAGCTTGGCCTTGGAAGAGCTGACAATGTTACAAGTGTCTCTGTACATGCATAGAGTGTCTTTCTCTCACCACTAAACAATAATTGTCTCTAGGATTCAGGATCGGTGTTTTCCTTTCAAAGGAAAAGCAAAACTGAGACAAGACATTTCTCTCCTAAGAAATGTCTCTGTCTATTCAGTAAGACTTTTCCCTTCTGTGAAGTTTTCCCCTTTCAACCATTATTGGTCCACAATACTTTAGTCATTGCTTGCTTGAAGTGCAAATGAATTCATGATGCCTCTTCTTGTTTTGCAGTTCGGGAGGAATTTGGGCAAGGTGAGGGATCATATTAGCTCTCTTCCCTCTTTCCTCCCAGCTGTTTTGTGCTTAGAGTAACTTTTCTTTTCAATATTTCAACTCCCCCTTTTATTGCTCTAGCTGGCTACCAGCTTTCCAGTGGCAGGTGAAATTTCAGCCATGCTTTTGATTAGTTCAGTAAATGCAGAAGAAATACATTGTAGAGAGAAAGGATTCCCCAAAGTACAAGGACAAAAGACAACTATACACCCAAAAGAAACAACAACAACCAGTTATATAATCATAAGAATGTATATCATATCAATGCTATAGTACTACAATATTCAATGTACGAGCAACTTGTACAAAGTATACATAACAGAGATTCACAATGCAAATCTCTAAACCCAAAATTCCCTTATGTGGGATAAACAACTGATTCCTACATCAAAAATGCTCAAGTTTGTAAGTTCATTTCGAAAACCAAAAGTTTATCATTGACAAAATCAAAGATTATAAGTCCTTTTTTGCAAGTCTCTTATTCAAAAACTTCCAAATGTGGGATAAACGGCTGATTCCTACAGTAGAATGCACAAGTTTGTGAGTCCTTTTTTAGCCAAAGTTTGTCAACAATAAATCCAAGTTTGGACATATTGGCCCATATAGCATTCCGTACTTAGATGTTTTTGTTACCAAATGGAACAGTAGACTAGTGGTCAATAATTACCACAAACCAACAGATCAAAACTCAACTCTTCATCATTCTAGCTTCCATTCGCCATCTTTAAAGAATAATTTACCTTATTCTCAAATACTGAGAATCAAACACAATTGGACCCTGCAACAAGATTTTGAATATAATCTAGCATCAGTAAAAAAATCAATTTATAGCTAAGGGTTATCCAGGTCATCTTATTGATAATGCCATCATCAGAGCATCCAAAGTTTCACACACCACTCTGCTGGCAGACAAATCTATGTCTACAGACAACAGATTGGTCTGGCCCTTGACATTAACTAATTTCTCTGGACAGGTTATTAAAACTGTAAAAAAATATTGACAACTCATTAAAGACATACCAGGTTGTGAAAAACCTCCCATGATAGCACACAAAAGAACATAAAACTTGAGAGACATGTTGGTACATTCAGATATTAACCATGATTCTCAAACTAAGAGGATTAGACCTAATTTGGTAGGAAATTTTCCTTGTCACCATTGCACCATATGTCCACAATTTATTCGAACTAAGGTTTTTCAAAATGCCCAAACTAAGAGGATTTATCAACTTCAACACTTTGCTACATGCACCACCAGAGGTGTTATATATGTCATCTTCTGTCCCTGCTCCCTGATGTATGTTGGGCAGACCAACAGACAAATTAAACTCCATGTAATCAAACACAAGAGTAAAATTAGGAATCAGGCCATTGACTCAAGCCTGGATAAACATTTCAATGTCATGAACCATAGTCCTGAATTGTTCCAGGTCCTAGTTTTAGAGGTAGTTACATTCTCCTCAAACAGATTTATCCACTAGACTACAACAATGTGAAGTCTTTTGGATTTTTACTCTTAAAACTGTGTATCCTAAGGGCCTAAATGATTCCATTTATTTCAATGTTTCATGTGAGCCGGTACATGCCTCTTTAAACAGGTTTTTCTCATGAGTAACTTGCAATTGATGATTGGGATATAGTCACACTGGTAACCATACCAGGCCCCTTTAAATTTCTCACCAATACACTTTAAATTTCTCTCTATATACTGGGTTATCTACCTGCCTCTCCTGGGCTTGCCATGGAATCAAACAATAGCAGAGCACCTTTGTAGGAGAACGTGAGTATTCTTGGTTCCTGTTTGTATGCTTTCACTACATTTGGTAATTTATTTCCTACACTCTGTTTTTTAGCCACTCATATGTGTTCCCTGTAGGTCCACGTCATTGTTGACATTTATATATTGACTCTGCTCAAAGAACTTACTATTTTGCAAAACTGACTATTTGAGGATTTCTACACTTGTATCAACTACCACCTGAGGAAGACTCCACATAGTTGAAACTGGTTGTGGTTTATAAACTGTGGACTCCAAAAAGGAATTGACAAACTTGGATTAGTTGTAGACAAACTTTGGCCAAAAAAGGATTTTTGATGTAGGAATCAGTTGTTCATCCCACATAAGGAAATTTTGGGTTTAGAGATTTGCATTATGAATCTCTGTTATGTATACTTTGTACAAGTTGCTTGTACATTGAATATTGTAGTACTATAGCATTGATATGATATACATTCTTATGATTATATAACTGTATTATTTTTTTGGTGTATAGTGGCCTTTTGCCCTTGAACAAATACATTAGCCATGATCATTACAGCTTACAGTGTACAGGGAATGTTTTCCCTCTCTTTTATAATAACAACCAGATCTCTGTGTTACAGGCATAAAGACAGAATTGATAGACAACGAAAAAGACTTCATAGAGGAATACAGCAGAAATACTATTGGAGTTGCATTTCGGGATGATGTTTCCTATGAACTTAGATTTCCTTTGTATTTGGTGCAATCTCCAGATGATTTTAATGCTGAAATAGGTAATTCAACATGGTTTTAGTCTCAGTGTGGACTCAAATCATTCACTTCTGAATATAAAAAGGCAGGGATCATAAATGGCATGCTACATACTTGATGTACTATCTTCATTGTGTCCATAGGACTCAGCTCAGAAATATAGGTTACTGTTGCACTCTGGCCTGAATTCACCTTTGCACCTAGCACCATACAAGAGTCCAGTAGTACTAACTAAATAGTTTATTGAAGAAGACAAATATAAAAAATGTACAAAGCAATGTCCAGAAAGCAATAGGAAAAAGGCTTTCAAAAGGCAATAGTCCATACATCAAACTTTTGTTCAAAAGTGACAAGATACATGTAAAAAGTGGGAATCAAAATATAGACATAAATCCTTAATCCGAAACCCAGGAATCAAAACATAGACATAAATCTATAACCAGGAACTTCTTCCAAAACATGAATCAATGAACATGAGCACAAGACTTTCCCAAAGATCTTAAATATAGACTTTATTTATTTACAATATTTATATTTCGCCCTTCTCACCCCATAGGGGACTAAAGGCGGATTTCAATGTACATATACATGGCAAACATTCAATGCCATAGACACACAACGTATATAGACAGACACGGAGGCTATTTAACATTCCAGGTTTTGATGAGGGTATTCTGGCCACCAGGGGAGCTGTTGCTTCACTGTCCATTTGTGACACTGATGAAGTACTTCCTCATTCTTTGTATGCTTGCTGGAGATTTTTATGGTGTCGTAAATTAGTTAAATTAGCCTCCTCGCATATACAGTACCTAAATTTCCTACTTGACAGATGCAACTATCTTTCGGGCAGCAAAGATTGACAGCAAGCTACACAAATTGGTCGGAAGCTCACTCCCATCTGGGCTGGCTTCGAACTCATGACCTTTTGGTCAGTACTGATATTTTTTTAAAAACAATTCTTTATTGTATTGTTAACAACTATTTGTAATACATTTATCTTTACTTTACATTGCTTTAGTTTCAATACATTTTTTCTTTCAACCCCTTAACCTCCCCTCTCCCCCTGTTGACAAGTTGGTCCTTCTTCCTTTATTCGAGCCATTGTTGCATTCTATCTAGTTTTTTTTCCCAATGATCGTCTTCTGGTTTAGCTTCTTGTATCCAATTTTTAAAGGGTGACCATATTTCTTTGATTCCTTCTGCTTTTCTGTCCATAGTTTTTCATTTCTTATAATGTCCATAAATTCCAATTGTACTTGTTCTCACACATATTCATACCATTTTCTCAGGGTCCATTTTTTTTCTTTCCACCCCCAGGCAATCACAGCATGTGCTGCTCTAAACATCATCATAACTAATTTTTGTTCATGCGCTTTTATTTTACTGTCCCCGCAAATCCCTTTTAAGAGAATCTCCATATTTAAATCATTTTTTATTTTTGTATCTAATTCAATTTTCATGAAGATTTGATTCCAGAACTTTTGTGTCTCCTTACATTCCCACCATAGATGTGAGTACCAGGCATCTCTACTCCCAAAGTGATAACATTACGGATTTAGACCCTGGATCCTATGTGCCAATTGAATTGGTGTCCTATACCATTTTGTTATTACTTTCTGCGCCAGATCCCTATATTTTTCTATCTTTATTTTATTTAATCCATTCCTTATTCTATCTATTTTTTCTTTCCCTATGCCTCCTTCCTTTTCCCATCTATTTTCCATCCTTTTATACATTAATTCCCTGTCTTCTAACATTCTTCCATATATTTTACCTAACCCTTTTGCCTTTTACTGGATCTTTCTTTCAATATTCTATCTATTATATTTTCACCGATATTACTTTCTTCCTTTTTAATTTGTTCCCAAATGCCTCTTAATATTAATATTAGCCTAAATCGGTGTTTCTCAACCTTCCTAACACCGCGACCCCTTAATACAGTTCCTCATGCTGTGGTGACCCCCAACCCTAAAATTATTTTCGTTGCTACTTCATAACTGGAATTTTGCTACTGTTATGAATCATCATGTAAATATCTGATAGGCAGGATGTATTTTCATTCTCTGGACCTTGGGAGTTGTAGTTGCTGGAATTTATAGTTCACCTACAATCAAAGTGCATTCTGAATTCCACTAGAGATGGAATTGACCCAAACTTGGCACACAGAACATCCATGACCAACACAAAATAATGAAAGGATTAGGTGAGCATTGACCTTGAGTTTGGGAGTTGTAGTTCACCTATCTCCAGAGAGCACTGTGGACTCAAACAATGATAGATCTGGACTAAACTTGACACGAATACTCAATATGCCCAAATGTGAATACTGGTGGAGTTTGGGGAAAATAGACCTTGACATTTGGGAGTTGTGGTTACTGGGATTTATAGTTCACCTACAATCAGAGAGCATTCTGAATCCCACCAATGATAGAATTGGGCCAGACTTCCCACACAGAACTCCCATGACCAACAGAAAAGACTGTGTATCCTGATGGTCTTTGGCGACCCCTCCGACACCCCCTCGTGACCCCCCCAAGGGTCCCGACCCCCAGGTTGAGAAACACTGGCCTAAATCTTTCTTCTAAATTTTCTAGCTGACTCCATTCCATTAGTACATCTTTTTCATTATATAAATCCTTTATTTTATAATATCCCAACTGTTTCAGTTTCTTTATTACACTCTTATCTTCTTTGTTCCTCTGACTCCCTATTGGCGCTTCCTTTGAGAAAAATGGCATCCATTTTTTCCCCATTTCTCCCATATCTATAAAGCTATTTTCCTTGGACCTATTGTTTTCCTTATCACCTCTTTTAGTTTTTGTGTGAAGATTCCATATTCACCTTGACCTTTGTTTACTTCATTTTCTGTTCTTATCCATTTCACTTGATTTTCTTCTTCTAGTTCCAAAATTGCCTTCAATTGAAATGCTTCATAATATTCTTGTAATTTTGGTATCCCCCATCCTATTTCTTTGTTTGACATATATAATTCCTTATTACTTATTCTTGGTCTCTTCCCCCCAAATATCCACTTTCTAATTTCTCCATCCCATTTTTGAAATGTTTGCTGCGAGATATCTAATGGCAGTGTTTGAAACAAATACAAAATTTTAAGGAGTATACACATTTTAATTGCCCTAATTCTCATCAATATATTTAATTTTTTTCCTTCCAATTTTTCATTTGTTTTTGTATCTTCCCCCATATTTTCTTATTATTTAAGTCCCAAAGCCTCTCTGACCTATTTGTTAGGAAAATACCCAGATCAAAAGTGATCTTAATGCAGCTGACTCCCAGCCAGCTGCGTCACAGTCCCAGTGAACGTGGAACAAGGACAAGAGCCATGGTGTACACGTTAATGCAGTGTTGCCTGCTCTAACCCTTTCAGTAATCAACACTTTAATTTAAGGTCCACAAGCCATGAAGTCATTCATTCGACATCTGGTCTGTTTTAAGGATTTCTCACTGAGTCTCTGTGACGTCCATAATCTGACTCCTTTCTCTCGGAGATCAAGTCCCATACTCCTGCTGACTTCTGGTGTTTTCCCAGGGGAAAGAGCTTTCCCTTCCAGCTCCTTATCTTCCATTGTCAAGGAACTGCCAGGGGAAAGGTCTTTTCTATCTTTTGATACCAAAGAACTCCATTTCCACCCTACTCTGAAGCCATTTCTTTCTGACCGGACTCAGACCCATCCTTCCAGACAGAATCATGATCCAAAATCCCCTCATTTCCCACCCCGGAAAGCCCATCATTCCTCACAACCTCTGGCTGAACAATTCTGTCATCTTCAGCCTCTGGCTGAAACACAACAGTTTTGTTGTTCATTCGTTCAGTCGTCTCCGACTCTTCGTGACCTCATGGACCAGCCCACGCCAGAGCTCCCTGTCGGCCGTCACCACCCCCAGCTCCTTCAAGGTCAGTCCAGTCACTTCAAGGATGCCATCCATCCATCTTGCCCTTGGTCGGCCCCTCTTCCTTTTACCTTCTACTTTCCCCAGCATAATTGTCTTCTCTAGGCTTTGCTGTCTCCTCATGATGTGGCCAAAGTACTTCAACTTTGTCTCTAGTATCCTTCCCTCCAGTGAGCAGTCGGGCTTTATTTCCTGGAGGATGGACTGGTTGGATCTTCTCGCAGTCCAAGGCACTCTCAGAACTTTCCTCCAACACCACAGCTCAAAAGCATCTATCTTCCTTCGCTCAGCCTTCCCTAAGGTCCAGCTCTCACATCCGTAGGTTACTACAGGGAATACCATGGCTTTGACTATGCGGATCTTTGTTGCCAGTGTGATGTCTCTACTCTTTACTATTTTATCGAGATTGGACATTGCTCTCCTCCCAAGAAGTAAGCGTCTTCTGATTTCCTGGCCACAGTCTGCATCTGCAGTAATCTTTGCGCCTAGAAATACAAAGTCTGTCATGGCCTCCACATTTTCTCCCTCTATTTCCCAGTTGTCAATCATTCTTGTTGCCATAAATTTGGTTTTTTTTATGTTTAGCTGCAACCCAGCTTTTGTGCTTTCTTCGTTCACCTTGATTAGAAGGCTCCTCAGCTCCTCCTCGCTTTCGGCCATCAGAGTGGTGTCATCTGCATATCTGAGGTTGTTAATGTTTCTTCCAGCAATTTTCACCCCAGCTTTGCATTACCTTTATGAATTAGTCTTTTTTCTGTCTTGAATCTCTCATCATCCATCTGCAATGGATGACCCTGTTCACATTCTCCACACTATGAAAAAAATTCAACACCTTTGTTGTGTCTCCCATTACTTATCTTTATTCTGTTTTCCCTTTCAGTATTTTTTCTGCAATACCCTATCTGGGATACTCTGATCAGAGCTGTGCATACTATTTCAGAAAATCTCACTATCCCTTTGTATAAAAGCATTACAATATTAGTAGTTTATATTTTTCTTTAAATGTTCCAAGTATCAAAATTCTTTTTATGATAGCTCCATGCCCTTCCTTTCCCTTGTTACTTGCCTCATCCTGCACTGCTGCTATCTGTTACTGGCAGAGCTTTGATAGATGAAAAAAAACAACAACTAGTGCTCTTTGAAGCAGAGGGGTGGGGAAATTAGCAGCGGTGATACCTTGTGTATATTTGTGAAGTTGAACATGATCCCCCCATAAAAGATAGGAGGCCTTCAGAAAGCTGCACCCCGTCCTAATCTGTCACCCATTCAACTTTTTTTCTCATCGAAACTTCCACCAAAGTTCCCCCATTGTTCCTATGTCTCAGCACTGGAAAAATCCGGATTCAATGTTTATTGCAACCACTAAGTGACAATAGCCAGACTGGCTCGCAGGCCCTTAGGACTCGCTGGTCACTTGGACATTTCCTAATCTCCATAATCCACTCAAGAATGCATTGTTTTCTTTCGTCCCGCCTCCCTCTCTCCTGATTCGTCAGGACGCCAAGGCAGCAGAAGCCCAGCGATTGGCCCAGGTGCTCAGGAGAAGGCCAAGCCTCCTCCCAGCTGAAGAGTGCCAGCCAATCATTGTTGAGCCAGCAGCGGGGCGGGGAATGGGAGATTCAAACCTGGCAGCTCTGTTTTATGTGTTGAGAGAAAGTCTTATTTCTCCAAATATTGAACTCAGCTTTCACCTCCCAGAATTTGGGTTTCCTTGGGGCTCTTCCACACAGCCCTCTATCCCAGAATATCAAGGCAAAAAAAATCATCCCACAATGTCTGCTTTGAACTGGGTTATCTGAGTCCACACTCAGATAATTTGGGATTTCCTGCCTTGATATTCTGGGATAGAGGGCTGTGGGGAAGGGCCCTTGGTAGCTGACTTTGCCTTCTTCAGGGCAAGCATAGGTTCTAATGTAGGACAAAATAAATAAGCCAGCCTTAAAAGTACTACATGTTAGTACATGATAGTACATGTACTACATGTTAAAAAGTACTACATGCCTCTAGAACATGGCTCTATAGCCCGAAAAAACCCACAAGAACCTACTACATGTTACTTTCCTTGATTTAAAGCATCAGAGATTTCAAAAAATTAATTATTGGCATTACTTTTGAAGAATTGTTTAAGTCTTCCTGCTGAAATTACCTGTATAAAGACAAAGTGGCTTAAAAGTTCTAAAAATCGTGGGGATAAAGAATTATTTAATATACCTGTGGTCACAATAGACAGAACTACTAGCTTTTTCTGGGTAATTGCAGTGATATAAATTTACAAGTTTGCATATACAGCTAGGTAACATTTCTACTTCTGTTTATTGTTTTTAGATTTCTGTTACAACTTTTCAAATCCGTATTGTTCTTCTCCAAGATACTGGTTCAATGGATTTATATCAGTGCAATCCAGTATTGATAGTGCTCTTATAGAAGTAAGTATTCATATGAGAGTCTTTTCTTTTCCTTTGATTGAATTACTGTGTGATTCCTCCTTTCAACAGGAAGGAGGAAACCCCGAAAATGAACAAAATCTGGCTACCAATATTTTTAAAACTCTAAAATCAGGACAGTAACTAAAGAGCAACATTAAAAAAAACGGGATTTGCAAACAGGAAACAATCAGGGGCACCTCCCAACAAAGGATTGCCACAGGCAGGAAGCAGGCAGGCTTGAAGCCGCAAGTCTATTCCGTACTAATCAAGGTGGCCAATTGCAACATTCACACTTGCCTCAAGCAGACAAGAGTTCTTTCTCCCACCCTGGACATTTCACTCCACTTGCTTAGTTTCCAGCAGACCCCTCAACCTCTGAAGATTACTATTGTGTAGGAATGTGATGGATGGATGGAAAGACAATCATTATAATTTTTTAGTTTAAATATTGCTTTTGTTAACCTGTCCCCACTGGATCACTTGCAAGGGGGAGCAACAGGAAACCTCTTCACCACTGCATTTTCTGGGCTGTAAGTTAATATTTAATGAGGGCAGATCCATAAGAATAATCAAGAGGAACCCATTATTTTGACTCCCTGCTCCCCTTAGACCAGTGTTTTCAACCTGGAGGTCGAGACCCCTGGGGGGATTGTGGAGAGGTGTCAGAGGGTTTGCCAAAGACCATCAGAAAACACAGTATTTTCTACTGGTCATTGGGGTTCTGTGTGGGAAGTTTGGCCCAATTCTATCGTTGGTGGATTCCAGAATACTCTTTGATAGTAGGTGAACTATAAATCCCAGCAACTACAAATCCCAAATGTCAAGCTCTATTTTCCCCAAACTCCACCAGGGTTCACATTTGGGCATATTGAGTATTCGTGACAAATTTGGTCCAGATCCATCATTGTTTGAGTCCACAGTGCTTTCTGAATGAAGGTGAACTACAACTCCAAAACTCAAGGTCAATGCCCACCAAACCCTTCCAGTATTTTCTGTTGGTAATGGGAGTTCAGTGTGTCGAGTTTGGTTCAATTCCATCGTTTGTGGCATTCAGAATGCTCTTTAATTGTAGGTTAGCTATAAATCCCAGCAACAACAACTCCCAAATGACAAAATCAATTCCCCTCCCCCAAGCCCCACCAGTATTCAAATTTGGGCGTACTGGGTATTTGTGCCAAATTTGATCCAGTGAATGAAAACACATCCTGCATATGATATATTTACGTTATGATTCATAACAGCAGCAAAATTACAGTTAAGTAGGAATGAAAATAATTTTATGGTTGGGGTCACCACAACAGGAGGAAGTGCATTAAGGGGTCACCGCATTAGGAAGGCTGAGAAGCACTGCCTTAGACTGAAGTGCCATTACACAATCCTCCTTATTGTGGTATACTAGCCATCCCCTGCCACGTGTTGCTGTGGCCCACATGGGGGTTCTGTGTGGGAGGTTTGGCCCAATTCTATTGTTGGTGGGATTCAGAATGTTCTGTGATTGTAGGTGAACTATAAATCCCAGCAACTACAACTCCCAAATGTCAAGATTCTATTTTCCCCAAACTCCACTAGTGTTCAAATTTGGGCATATTGAGTATTCATGTAGAGTTTGGTCCAGATCCATCATTGTTTGAGTCTACAGTGATCTCTGGATGTAGGTGAACTACAACTTCAAAACCAAAGGACACTGCCCATCAAACCATTCCAGTATTTTCTGTTGGTCATGAGAGAACTGTGTGCCAAGTTTGGTTCAATTCCATCATTAGTGGGGTCCAGAATGCTCTTTGATTGTAGGTGAACTATAAATCCCAGCAACGACAACTCCCAAATAACAAAATCATTTTTTTGAGTGATGGACATACATTGGGTTGTTAGGTGTATCGTTTCCAAATTTGGTGTCAATTTGTCCAGTGATTTTTGAGTTCTGTTAATCCCACAAACGAACATTATATTTTTATTTATATAGATGGTAGACTTCATGGTCTAACTTCTTTCTGTAAAATAGAGTTAAAGGCACAGTTTAAGGGGGAAGATATTTGGGCTTTTTTACACATTATATAACCAGAAAGATAATAATATTTCTTGAAATGTCTTCTTTTTAAGGAAATCACCAATCATTCTGTCTGGGATGAAATGAAATCCATTCGTGCCATCCGTATGAGAACTCCTTTTATTACATCTGCAAGTAGTGTAGAAACCAGTCTATTCTTTCTTGCTGCGACAGCATGCTTTTCTCCATTTATGTACTTTTTGTCACAAAATGTTTCAAGAGAGAAAAGGAAATTAAAGGAGCTGATGAAGACGATGGGGCTACGAGATATGGCATTCTGGTAAGCTATGAGATTGGCTATGATATATTCATCTTAGCTGGAGCCAACAGATGAAGAAAGGAATGAGATAGATTCAGCTCTTTTGATTTTCAATGTTTAGCAATATGTACGTCCAATGTATTGTCGAAGGCTTTCATGGCTGGAATCACTAGGTTCTTGTGGGTTTTTTCGGGCTATAGGGCCATGTTCTAGAGGCATTTCTCCTGACGTTTCGCCTGCATCTATGGCAAGCATCCTCAGAGGTAGTGAGGTCTGTTGGAAATAGGACAATGAGTTTATATATCTGTGGAATGGCTGGGGTGGGGCAAAGAGCTCTTCTCTGCTAGAGCTAGGTGTGAATGTTTCAACTGACCACCTTCATTAGCATTTGAAGGCCTGGCTGAGCCTGGGAAAATCTTTTGTTGAGAGGTGTTAAGATGTGCCTGGTTGTTTCCTCTCTGCTGTTTTGCTGTTGTAATTTTAGAGTTTTTTAATACTGGTAGCCAGATTTTGTTCATTTTCATGGTCTCTTCCTTTCTGTTGAAATTTTCCACATGCTTGTGGATTTCAATGGCTTCTCTGTGTAGTCTGACATGGTGGTTGTTGGTGTGGTCCAGCATTTCTGTGTTCTCAAATAATATGCTGTGTCCAGGTTGGTTCATCAGGTGCTCTGCTATGGCTGACTTCTCTGGTTGAAGTAGTCTGCAGTGCCTTTCATGTTCCTTGATTCGTGTTTGGGTGCTGCGTTTGGTGGTCCCTATGTAGACTTGTCCACATCTGCATGGTATACGGTAGACTCCTGCAGAGGTGAGAGGATCCCTCTTGTCCTTTGCTGAACGTAGCATTTGTTGGATTTTCTTGGTGGGTTTGTAGATTGTTTGTATGTTTTGTTTCCTCATCAGCTTCCCTATGCGGTCAGTGGTTCCCTTGATGTATGGCAGGAACACTTTTCCTCTGGGTGGATCTTCATCTTTACTCTCGTGGCTTGTTCTTGGTCTTGCAGCTCTTCTGATGTCTGAGGTGGAGTATCCATTGGCCTGGAGAGCCCAGTTGAGGTGGTTCAGTTCATCTTGGAATTGTACGTCCAATGTTTAGCATGTGTGGCTGGCCCAAGGTCACTCAGTGGGTTTCAGGGCTGAGCAGAGATTCGAACTTTGGCCTCCAGAATCATGGTCCTATGCTTAAACCACCACACTACTCTGTGTTTACAGTGTCCTCTTCACCCTCTCTCACTGTACAAAACATTATGTCAGTGTTATGTAAAAGTCCAGCTTGCCAAGAAGGCTTAACAATTCATTTTTCTTTATAGGTTATCCTGGGCTTTGCTGTATGCTATTTACACTTTCATAATGTCCTGTGTGATGGCAGCTTTTCTGAATCATTGGTTTTTGTCACAGTGCAGCTTTCTTGCCTTATTCCACCTGTTCTTCTTATATGGCATCTCATCTGTAAGTCTTTGATCTTCATTTTGTAACTTTTTGACATTTATGTGACCCTGAGCATTTCAATATATGTATTTTACAGAAATATGATTTAATATATGCATTTTATTGAAAACGTATATGATGATGTGTCTCAACTCTGTTCTGCTCCACCTCAAGCTGTGAGGATAGGCAGGTAAGAAATAAAAATTTCTCATTTCCGGTGGCACAGTGGGTTAAACCCCTGTTCCAGCAGGACTGAAGACTGACAGGTTGCAGGTTCAAATCCGGGGAGAGCGCGGATGAGCTCCCTCTATCAGCTCCAGCTCCTCATGCTGGGACGTGAGAGAAGCCTCCCACAAGGATGGTAAAAAATATCAAAACATCTGGGCATCTCCTGAGCAACCTCCTTGCAGACAGCCAATTCCCTCACACCAGAAGCGACTTGCAGTTTCTGAAGTTGCTCCTGACATGACCAAAAAAAAATTACCACCATCATCATCATGAGTAAAATGCATCATTCAGGTTTGAAAAACATTAAAGCTGCCGAAAACTTGGATAACACACATACAGTGAATTTTTGTTTCTCTTTTACTGGAGGCTGTTATTCAGAATGGGCTAGTCTTCCCATTATGAATACTATCCATTGAGAAGATATCTTTACGCGAAGTGAAGCATTTCTTTCCAGTTTTCTGCACTCGTTCTCAATATATTCTTTGAAAGCTGGCTGAGAGAATTTAGAATTCAGAAGCAATAGAGCAATTCTCATCAAAGGGAGAAAGGCTAAAACCTTTGTATTCAGTCAGGCTTTTAAAAAAGAAGGTTTTAAAGATCAGTTCAGGGAATGCTGTGGTTTTTAACTTTGAGCATGCTTTAATGGTTTTTGACTGAGAATTTCTAGATACTGTTTATGTTTCATCCTCTTTTAATGTATAATTTTGTATAATTTAATTTGTATGCTGGTTCTTTTATGTTAATATAATAATAATGCTGTATTGGCACAGTGGGTTAAGCCACTGAGGTGCTGAACTTGCCAACTGAAAGGTCGGTGATTTGAATCCAGGAATCAGGGTGAGCTCCTGCTGTTAGCCCCAGCTTCTGCCAAACTTTCAGTTCAAAAACTTCAGTGCAAATATGAGTAGATCAATAGGTATCTCTTAGGCAGGAAGGGTTTTTTTTTGGTCATGTTAGGAGCAGCTTGAGAAACTGCAAGTCGCTTCTGTTGTGAGAGAATTGGCCGTCTGCAAGGACGTTGCTCGGGGACGCCTGGATGTTTCGATGTGGGTAGAGACGGCCCTAGGTAATTTTCAATGGTAAGCAAACAGTATTTTGCCCCCCCCCCCCCCAAACGAATCACTGATATATATTTTCTGTTCGTCGTGGGAGTTCTGTGTGCCATATTTGGTTCAATTCTATCATTGGTGGAGTTCAGAATGCTCTTTGATTGTAGGTGAACTATACATCCCAGTAACTACAACTCACGTATATCAAGGTCTATTTTCCTCCAAGACCACCTCAAGAGCGCCCCTGGGCAAAATCAACTATACTGCAAATGTTTACTTTGCTTCTCGTATGCTTTTGCAAAGGTGTTTAGAGTGGCTTGTAGATCTTCTTCTGAATGCACACAGACGACGTTGTCATCAGCATACTGGAGTTCTATAACAGATGTATATTCCTCACATATTATGTTGTACATGCATGCGAACAGATTGTTCTTTCTCCATTGTAGAAAAGGGCTCTCAAGTATGATGAAGGTCTATGATTTACTGTATTCTACTTAATGTGTTTTTTCAATTAATAATGAAACCTAAATTGATTGTTTTTTTCTTCTTTCAGATATGCTTCTGTTTCATGATCAGTTCTATTCTTAAAAAGCCCAAAGCAACTTCCTTTGTTACTTCCATCCTCATTTTCTTTTTTGGAGCCCTCGCAATTGTTACATCAATTTCTAGAATTTCTGAACCTTTGGTATGGATTTTGAGCATCTTCTGCCCTTTTGCCTTTGGTACTGAAATCGCAAAGGTACAATGTTAGACTTTTGGGGGGGGATATGAAAAAAGGAATTTGCACTAACTGAATAACATCTATATAATATAATTTAAAATGCCAGAAAATCATGTAGCTGTCAGAGAAAGACACACAAAACCTGTAGCTTCTCAAACGTTTAGGCACATCCTCTGCCATGATACCAGCCTCCAGATGTATAAGGAAAGGGTCGACCACTTCATGACTGAGAAAGGAGCTGTTTCAAAGCAGAGGACAGATGTTTCTTTTAATACTGCCTGACTGCTCACTGGAGGGAAGTACATTATGTACTTTGGCTACATAATGAGAAGATAGAAAAGTTTGGAGAAGACAATGATGCTAGGGAAAATAGAAGGAAAAGGGAAGAGGGGCCGACCAAGGGCAAGATAGATGGATGTAATCCTTGAAGTAACTGGCTTGATTCTGAAGGAGCTGGGGGTGGCCATGGCTGACAGGGAGGTCTGGTGCGGGCTGGTCCATGAAGTCACAAAGAGTCAAAAGCGACTGAACAAATAAACAACAAACAAAACTTTGGTCACTGTGACCCCTGAATATTGGTTTGTCCAATGGGTAGGGAGACCCCAAGGAAGGTACTGAGTGTGCTGATCACATTTGGAAGGAGAGGAAGAGCTGGAATGGCAATTGCCCTGGATAATGTCATGGAATATATGAATATATTTTATGTTCTCAAATGCAAAAGATGGAAGATAATTGTTGAGTTAATATTTATAATAACATAATAGAAATGTATATAATTTCAATAATGTGGATATTATAGAAACACACACATGTGAAGACACATGAAGACATACACACAGAGAGAGAATCTGCATAGAAGATAGACTAATATAATAAATATTTACATATGTTTTACTTAGATCCTGTGCATATTAGATGCCCTTCCCTATTCCCAGCTCCAACTTTACTTATTTTTCCTTTTAAATTTGTTTTAAACTGCGGTGGCACAGTGGGTTAAAGTGCTGAGCTGCTGAGCTTGTTGACCGAAAGGTCGCAGGTTTGATTCTGGGGAGCGGCGTGATCTTCCGCTGTCAGCCCTAGCTTCTGCCAACCTAGCAGTTCAAAAACATGCAAATGTGAGTAGATCAATAGGTACCGCTACGGCGGGAAGGTAACGGCGCTCCATGCAGTCATGCCGGCCACATGACCTTGGAGGTGTCTATGGACAACGCTGGCTCTTCGGCCTAGAAATGGAGATGAGCACCACACCCCAGAGTCAGACATGACTGGACTTAATGTCAGGGGACAACCTTTACCTTTTATATAAAAAAAACCCTAATAAAATTATTTTTAAAAATAAATATTTACATATGTATTACTAACATATTAACAAAAGAAACTGACTCTGAGATATGTAAATGGATGGATCTTATTAAAACTAGGGGAAATAGAGTATGTATAAGTCAACCAATAAGATAATTAGAAGGAACATTTATTATACAGGCTCAGAGGAGAAGATAAGAAAAAGATGGGATAATAACATTAAGACAGAGGACTAATGTGAATGCCACATGATAGGAATCCACTTGCTTTTGGAATAGAAGAAACTAGATGGAATTTCTTTATGTATTAGAGAATATGTCTAACAATTCCCTCCCTCTTCACACCTCTTGTGATACAACAGACAACAGATTTAATTTACTAAAAAAATCTCTGTAACTAACATATCTAAGTAAATGTTTATGGATTCTGAGCTGGTGCACATTGAGCATGAGATTGGCTTTATTGATTGTGATATATAACTGATTGTTTTAACTGTTTATAAATGTTTTAATTGCTGTTTATATATGTTTATTTGTACTATTGTGTAGGCATCGAATTGTGCCTTTTGTAAGCCGCCCTGAGTCCCCCCTCGGGGGTTGAGAAGGGTGGGGTAGAAATACGCAATAATAATAATAATAATAATAATAATAATAATAATAATATCATATTTGTTTACTATTTCCCATCCTCTTCTTTTCCCTTCCTTTTCCCCATTTCCATTGTGTCACAATACAGTGAAAATAAAATACAAACCTTGTAAAGCCAAAAACAACAACAACAAAAAAACAAACTCCAAACATATGGCACGAGTTGCTTTGAATTTTCCCTGACAATTAGAGCAAAGCAAAATGTTCAGTCCATGTAACCAGTTGTGCTGTTTCTTAGCCAAAACTGTACACAACTGTTTACATGGCCATCTCATGTTCTCCAGGCTCAGGTGATTGAGGGACACAGGATGGAACTTATCTTCCCCCTCATGTTCTTCTTGTAGCAGCAACCACAGGTCATAGTCATGGCTAGTGTCTGTCACTCATCACCTGGAGTGATGGTCACAAGGACAATCAGGGAAGGGAGGGGAGAGAAAGGGCCATCCTTCCTCTTCCTCTCACCTTCCCCTTCCCACATCCCTTTGGTGCCTCGGCCATCATCACTCTAGGTGACCATTGATGGACATCAGTCATGTCATGCATGGAGGGTATTGCTACGACAAGAATCAGAGGAGGGCAGTGAGGGTGACCTTCCAGTGACACCAATTCTGGTTTGGCACCACTGGACAGTAAGGATTCCTTTCCACTTCCACCGCAGTTGAGGATCTGACAATATATTCTACCTCTTAGGAACTGCTGGTAAAATACAAATGATCTTAATATCATTTTGTAACCATTACCCTTATGCTGTTTTTCTTCTTCTTGCCGGACAAAATATACTTTCTGTCTGCAAGTATCCTTAGAAAAGGATTTGTTCCTTTCAAGCTTTTATCATTTTCTGTTAGGCTTTAAGCTATGGGAACTTAAACTATGCTCTTTCATGCAGATTTCGGTCACATATCAAAAATATGGACAACCCTTCTATATGACTCACCTGATGAAGGAGCCATATGCCTATATCCAGTTTTTTGACAGTGTTTTATACATGCTGCTGACATTGTATTTTGACAAAGTTATTCCTGGTAAGCATATCTTAATTAATATCAGCTAGGCTTAAACTCTCGTATTTGCATTTTTGTTACATTCCTTCAAGTCACTGCTGATCTATAGATAATGCAATTATTGATAAAAGATATTTTCATGAATCAGAAACCAGCTAGTTTGGTTTCCACCACCTCTGCTGATATCAATTTGGAATTAAACTAATAAAGAGCATCCTGTAACAATTAATGACATTTCCAGTGTCCCATTAGGGAATACATGATGACTACATAAGGAGCCCCCAGTGGCATAGTGAGTTAATAATAATAATAATAATAATAATAATAATAATAATAATAATCTTTATTTATACGCCGCCACCATCTCCCCAACGGGAACTCGGGGCGGCTTACATGAGACCAAGCGCAAACAACAAATTACAATAAAATAATAAAATTATTACAATAAAATAAGATAAAATAAGATTGGTGGGGACGAGGGAGAGGGCCTTCTCGGTGGTGGCCTCCCAACTCTGGAACTCACTCCCTAAAGACATCAAGCATGCCCCATCTCTGGCAGTCTTCAGGAGGAGCTTGAAAACGTCGTTGTTCCAGTGTGCCTTCCCAGAATAACGAACCCCTAGCATTATGTCCCCAAAAAGCACTTTATATCGATTTAGCACTGCGTGTATGTTTCTATCAACGCCCTACCTCCTGCATCTTGTTCATGCCTAGCATTATTTTTTAAACTTTAATTACATTTGGCTCAGCCATAGATTTTAATTGTGCACTGTATTTTGTTTAATGTTTATGCTTTTTGTGTTATGAGATTTATTTTAATTGCTTTGTACTGTATTATTATTGCTTGTTTTGCTTGTATTGCTTGTATTGTTGTATGTGGGCTCGGCCTCATGTAAGCCGCACCGAGTCCCATGGGGAGATGTTAGCGGGGTATAAATAAAGTTTTATTATTTATTATTATTATTATGCAAGTTAAAGCACTGAGCTGCTGAACTTACTGGTTGAAAGGTCACAGGTTCGAATTTGGGGAGCTCCTGCTGTTACTTCCAGCTTCTGCCAACCTAGCAGTTCGAAAACATGCAAATGTGAGTAGATCAATAGGTATCGCTCTGGTGGGAAGGTAATGGTGCTCCATGCAGTCATGCTGGCCACATGACCTTGAAGGTGTCTATGGACTACACCGGCTTTTTGGCTTAGAAATGGAGATGAGCACCACCCCCTAGAGTCGGACATGACTGGACTTAATGTCAGGGGGAAACCTTTACCTTACATTACTACATTAGCCTCCCAGGAAACCTTGAAGACCCACACATATAGCCTTGTTGAAACATCCATTTAAAGTAACATAGGTAATAAGCAATGCCAAGACTAAATACTATATAACTGGAACTACCAGAAAGAAAACAGGAAAGGGCTAATAATAATAATAATAATAATAATAATAATAATTATTATTATTATTATTATTATTATTATTTATACCCCGCTACCATCTCCCCATGGGACTCGGTGCGGCTTACATGAGGTCGAACCCACAATACAATACAAAGCAATTAAAATAAATCTCATACACAAAAAGCATAAACATTAAACAGAATACAGTGCACATTTAAAACCTATGGCTGGGACAAATGTAATTAAAGTTTAAAAAATAATGCTAGGCATGAACAAGATACAGGAGGTGGGGCGTTGATAGAGACATACAACGGGCTTCTCTACCTTCAATCATATAGAAGAGCAAAATTCAGCTAGTGTTGATTGTTACCTGGTTGTGTGATAAGCAACATCCGCTGAAATTCCCTCTTCTATGCAATCCTTAACTGTCCGGAGTTCTCTCCATATTGTACTCTGTCAACCATATTAATTGTGGATGTTGAAAAGGAGGTTCATCTCAGGGCCCATCCAGATAGGCCTTAAAAGCGAAACAACGCCTCCGGTAAAACCGAATTAATTTGGAATATAGCAGGACATTCCTGCTTTAGAATCATAGAGTTGGAAGAGACCTCGTGGACTATCCAATCCAACTCCCTACCAAGAAGCAGGAAAATTGTATTCAAAGCACCCCTGACAGATGGCCATCCAGCCTCTGCTTAAAAGCCTCCAAAGAAGGAGCCTCCTCCACACTCCGGTGCAAAGAGTTCCACTGATGAACAGCTCTCACAGTCAGAAAATTCTTCCCAATGTTCAGGTGAAATCTCCTTTCTTGTAGTTTGAAGCCATTGTTCCACATTCCAAATTAATTAAACACCTGGTAAGATCCGGATCTTAGGTAAGATCCAGATCTTACCAGATGTGGGCCCTGTGTAGCTTGGGGCTGGGGATCGCATTACACGATTCCTGGGCTCAAACCACACAGCCATCTTGGTTTTTCAGACTCTAGTAGCCCAAAAAACTGAGAAGGCACCCACTCCCTCCACCCAATCCCCAAAATAACCCCTTCAAAGTTTAAAAAACTTACCTCCTGGTGTGCAAATGATGCTCCAGGAGATGGATTGGAGAGTGGGGTTCCTTTCCTTCCCCCGTCTCCTGGCTTGTAATTTTCTCCTGCCAAGAGGCTGCAAAGAGGGAGATAATGGTGGCCGGGTAAGTTTTTTTTTAAAAAAATTAAGGGTTATTTTGGGGGCTTCAGGGTGGCTTCATGCCACCCTGATTGTTATCAGAATGGCACGTAGACTCACATAATCCAGTTCAAAGCAGATAATGTGGATTATCTGCCTTGATAATCAAGATTATATGGCACTGTAGAATGGGCCTACGGCAGAAGACTTCTTGATAATATTGCTTATTAAACCAAGACATGAATATTTGAATTAGGCCAATGTTATGCTTTTATTCCCTTGTCCCTTCATATACTAGCTGACATTCAAAATGTCCTGTGTCATCAATTCCTACATTTTATGTTGATTAGTGAGACTGTACTATAGAGGGCAAATGCAGACTGATCAATTTGAACTATGCAATGTCAAGTGTCAACGTTTAAAGTACCTTTTGATGTATAAGAGCCTTGATGTTTGCTTGTTTCCATATGTCCTCTTAGACAAATATGGAGTGCCCTATTCTCCCTTCTTTTTCCTAAAGAAGTCCTACTGGTTTAAATCAAGAAAGCGATTATTGGGTGAAGTTTCTACCAATGAACAAAGCAAAATCTTCAATGACAACTTTGAACCCGTACCACCTGAATTTCATGGGAAGGAAGAGATTAGGTAAAAGACATGACATTGTTTGTATCATTCTGTAGAGTTCTTTCACTCTGAGCCCTTTTACACTGCCATATAATCCAGATTATCAGATAATCCACATTATCTGCTTTGAACTGGATTATATGAATCTACACTGCCATATTATCCAGTTCAAAGCAGATAATCTGGATTTTATATGGCAGTGTCGAAGGGGCCTCAGAGACCCCTGTCTTCTTTTCTAATCACTGTCTAGATCAGTGTTTCTCAACCTTCCTAATGCCGTGACCCCTTAATACAGTTCCTCATGTTATGGTGACCCCCAACCATAAAATTATTTTCATTGCTACTTCATAACTGTAATTTTGCTACTATTATAAATTGTAATGTAAATATCTGATATGCAGGGTGTATTTTCAGTCACTGGAAATCCCAGCAACTACAACTCCCAAAAGACAAAATCAATCCCCCCAACCCCACTAGTATTCAAATTTGGCAAAAATACCCAATAAGACCAAATTTGAATACTGGTGGGGTTGGTGGGGGGGATTGATTTTGTCATTTGGGAGTTGTAGTTGCTGGAGTTTATAGTTCACATACAATCAAAGAGCACTCAGAACTCCACTAATAATGGAATTGAACCAAACTTGGCACACAGAGCTCCCATGACCAACAAAAAATACTGGAAGGGTTTGGTGAGCATTGACCATGACTTTTGGAGTTGTAGTTTACCTATTTCCAGCAAGCACTTTGGACTCAATACTCCATATGCCCAAATGTGAACACTGGTATAGTTTGGGGGAAATAGAGCTTGACATTTGGGAGTTGTAGTTACTGAGATTTATAGTTCACCTACAATCAAAGAGCATTCTGAACCCCACCAACGATAGAATTGGGCCAAACTTCCCACACAAAAACCCCATGACCAACAGAAAATACTGTGTTTTCTGATGGTCTTTGACGACCCCTCTGACACCCTCTCACGACCCCCCTAGGGGTCCTGACCCCCAGGTTGAGAACCACTGGTCTAGGTTATTCAGCTTATCCTATTGGGGATTATCAGAGGAAATAACTCCCCTTTACAGGGGAAAAGTGTAAAGAGACATACATTATGGATAGAGAAAGGAATGCAGGTGTATGAACCAGGCTCTTCATTGGGAATGTCAACCAGTTGGAGGAGTATTTGAGAAAAATTGTGATCATTATGCTTTGATTTTTCAAAAACTAAACATTTGGGCTGGGCCTTTCTCTCGTGAAATTGATAAATGGGGGTGGGAATGCTCACAGAAATCCAAGAATGCACTAACCATTTATTAATTCCCAAATGTTTAGACTAAATAACATTAAAAAAACATACGAAGTGAAGAAAACAAAAACCGAAGCTTTGAGAGGTAAGAAAGTGTTTGTTTCTTTCTGTTCTCTTGTCCCTTCCTTTAAAAATTAAACAATAATTTCTTCCTTGAAATTTAGAGGATCTTTATTTGGCATACAGGGCTCCTATGAGCAACAGAAAATACTGGAAGGATTTGGTGGGCATTGACCTTGAGTTTGGGAGTTGTAGTTCACCTACATTCAGAGAGCACTGATGGATCTAGACCAAACTTGGCACTAATACTCCATATGCCCAAATATGAACACAGAGTTTAGGGGAAATAGACCGTGACAATTGGGATTTGTAGTTATTGGGATTTATAGTTCACCTACAATGAGAGAGCATTCTGAACCCCACCAACGATAGAACTGGTCATAACTTCCCACACTGTGTTTTCTGGTGGTCTTTGGCCACTTCTGACACCCCTCACGACCTCCCCCAGGAACCCCAACACCCAGGTTGAGAAATGCTGCCTTAAGGCCATCCAGTCCAACTCCCTTCACTAGGGGAAGAAAACATAATCAAAGCCCTCCTGACAAAGAGCCATCCAGACATAGATATAGATAGATATATATGATTCACACTCACACATTTGACAGATATAGTATCATAGGTTTTGAAAGAGATCCCATGGAATCCATGGGGGAAGCCATGTGCTCCATGCGTGCTCCGTACATGCTCCATGCACACTCCTTGCACACTCCATACTTCCCACCATCTGATTGCCCTCAGCTGGCGCCTGGTGATGCGGGGTGTGGGGCATTACCCCCCCCCCCCCACCCTTTGATGAAGTGGAGCATCTCTGGCTGAGTATCTTCATTGGAGAGACTTTAGTCAGACAGATCCATGCATACACACATATATAGGAGTGCAGTCTCAGGCTGTCTTGTACTTTTAAAAGCTAATGCTGTTTCTTGTGTATTAGGTTTATCACTGAATATCTATGAAGGCCAGATCACTGCTATACTTGGCCACAGTGGAGCTGGAAAAACGACACTGCTAAACATTCTCAGTGGCCTTTCCAAGCCATCAGATGGTGAGAATCGGTGCCTTGAGACAAAGTAGGCTGCTAATTCAATCTCAGACATGTTCACATAATAAACAGGAAGAGCCCTGCTGATTCTGACCAAACGCCTGTCCAGTTGGTTAACATGTTTTTCCTAATGGACAAGCAGGTGCCACTGGGAAGATGGGGCAGGAGGGCAATAACCACCATTCCAAAACCATCTGATTGGCTGACAATGACCACATCTTAAGACATCCAATACTATGATTATGAGTTGGGTCTGCAATTTTTTTTCCTGCTCAGTGAGACTTTGGCCATTTTCCTTTTACATGTGGTTTCTTAACCAAAGAAGGATATGATAAGGATTAATATATTACTTTTTTTGTATGCTTCAGGGAGGAACATGATCATTAGGGTACTATTGCACTCCATCCTACTTCTAGGTTTCTTAGGGCGGATCCAGACAGGCCCTTATCCCAGGAGAATCCGTGTTTAAAAAATGTGGATTTTCCTGGGGGCCTGTCCACACCCACCGCAGAAAGCGTGAACTTTCTGCTGTGGGTGTCCAGACCTTCTCTTGGACTAACCTGAGAGAATGTGTGGAAACGCCTCCTTCCTCCCCCCGCTCTCCTGGCACGTCATTTCTACGTACTGGGTGAGCTGGCCGAGGCTTGTAATGGAGGCCGGGTAAATTTTCATTACTTTTCTAAGGGTCTGGGGGCTTGGGGGGACGGGATGGGTATTCTCACAGTTTACCGGGCTTATTTAGCTCAATAAACTGTGGGAATATTGTATTCCGCAGTCCAGAACTGGAAATAGTGGATTTATCCCATGCCTTCCTAGAGGCAGAAGGTTAACCAGTGTGTGAATAAAAACCTGGAGTAGATGGGACTTCGGTGTGATTCTGCTGAGAGCTTCTCCTGTCCTTATATGCCACAATGTTTTTTAAAATAATATTTCAAATATACTAACAATGTTCTCAATAGTTTAACTTTTTTAGAAATTAAATAGCTGATCAACATAATTTTACAACCTACCATAATGTTCTCTCTGTTACTGTACACAGGCTCTGCAACTATATTTGGCTATGATATATCAGAAAGGGCAGATATGGAAGAAATTAGAAATATAAGTGCTGTGTGCCCTCAATTCAACATTCAGTTTGAATTTTTAACAGTGAAGGAAAACCTAAAGACTTTTGCTAAAATAAAAGGTGTTCCATCCAATGATATAGAAAAGGAGGTAGGTATGGTGCAGTTGCATTTCCTTTGTAACAAGATTTTATGATAGGCACAGCCTCACCTCTCAAACATGAAAGGCTGCATAACATCTAACTGAAATTAGATCCAAACCTATATATTCTTTATGGAAATACAGAACTTTTATCTTTCTACCAACTCAGATGCTTAAGGGAAGATAGAATGAACTCAAAAATATCCAACATTCTTGGAATAGACGATTGTATTTATGTGCTTTTCAGGTTCAAACACTGATGACCCTCTTGGATATCACTGGCATTCAAAATGTTCAAGCTAGCCATTTAAGTGGTGGACAAAAACGAAAATTATCCCTTGCGATTACATTTTTAGGAGAGCCACAGGTAAATGGACTGTGCTACATGTTGCTCAGGTACACTTCCTTTCTTGACTGCAATTTTTGGACCCTTCTACACTGAGCATATAATGCAATTCAAAACAGACTCAAAGCCATGGTGGCCACAAAACTCACACCACCATTATGCATTTTAAAAGATCAGAGGAAAGCAGATTCTAGTGTATCCAATATACAAGAACTCTACTCGCCAATATGCTGAGCACATTGTAGACCCCTCCCCACTGAAGTGCATTAAAACTCCATAATATGGGATGCTGAAAAACACCCCAAGGGCATGGCTAGCCAACAACAGTGTTATAGAGCCCTGGGAGGAGTCATTACCTTCACTCCTAACAAATAATAATAATAATAATAATAATAATAATAATAATAATAATAATAATCTTTTATTTATACCCCGCTACCATCTCCCGAAGGACTTGGTGCGGCTTACAAGAGGCCGAGCCCAAGTACATCAGTAAAAACAACAACAGCAGCAATACAGACAATAAATAAACTCATAAGCAAAGCAATAAACAGTAACAATAACACCACGACGCATTAAAAACCTATGGCAGGGCCAAATGTAATAATTAAGTTTTTTAAAAAAATGCTGGGCATGACCAGGTGACATATAACTAGGATAGGAATTCGGAGAGAGATGAAGTGAGCAGACAATCCTAGATCATTAGTAAAGTGTGATTAGGGACATGTTGCTTAAGGTTTCTTTATTCTGGGAAGGCACACTGGAACAACCACATTTTCAGGCTCCTCTTAAAGACTGCCAGAGTTGGGGCATGCCTAATGTCCTTGGGGAGCAAGTTCCAGAGTCAAGGGGCCACCACTGAGAAGGCCCTGTCCCTTGTCCCCACCAATCGTGCTTGCTCACTCTCACTCTCCCTTGTTTTTTTTTATCTCATATGCCTCTAGAACACTGATGTACGTCTCTCTGGAAAATGGAAAACAACAACAAAACCTGATACCACTGTTTGAAACCAGGTTCCATGGTTAATGTAACTAATTACCCACCTGGCCTCAAACCAGTTCCAGACCTGCCTACCTAATCACTGTGCCAAACCAGTTATAGTATAGTGTGGTGTAGAAGCACTTTTGACCATCTGCATTAATCTCTTTGCTATGTGACTAGATATGGATTCTGTTCACTCTTACTGCATATTTTGACATATATCTATTGTGGATTCTTTTCATCCAGAAAAGTGAAAAAAATTGACATTATTTTCTCTTCTTTGAAGATCTCACTGTCTTCTCTAAAACGTTTCTCAAAATGTTCTTGGAATTTTGAAATTGGACATTAATTTTTTAAAAAGATCTAAGTTAAAACACACTGCAAACATATTTATTTATTATGTGCAGTATTTATATTCCGCCCTTCTCACCCCACAGGGGACTCAAAGTGGATTACAATGTACACATACATGGCAAACATTCCATGCCAAAGACACACAACAGATATAGACAGACAGTCAGAGGCTATTTAACTTTTCCTGGTCGCCAGGGGAGCTGTTGCTTTCATCGTCCATCTGTGACACTGATGAAGTACTTCTGCATTCCCCACATGCTTTGCTAGAGTGCTTTGCTGGAGTCGTAAATTAGTTAAATTAGCCTCCCTACATATAGGTGGTACCTAATTTTCCTACTTGGCAGGTGCAACTGTTTTTTTGTATTGCAAAGGTCGACAACAAGCTACACAATTGGTCAGAAGCTCATTCAGGCCCGGGCTGGCTTTGAACTCATGACATTTTGGTCAGAAGTGATCTTAATGCAGCTGACACTCAGTCAGCTGTGCCACAATACACACACACACATATATAAACACACATATGTGCGCATGCATGCGTGGGTGGGTCAAAATGTTTTGCCTCCTGTGTCATAAAAACTTTATGAATGAACATATAGCAGCGGAAGTTGCTACAGATCACAGCCTGAACTGTCCTCTACAGAAAACTACCATTCAACAGTTACCACCTGGCCAGGCATCAAAACCATTTTGGAAAGATTCAAGGTTTACCTTCATGATCCATGGTTTCAAAGCTGTTTCAACATCATTCAAGTCATTGAATCTGAAACCACGTAGTTTGTCTTTCAGAGGCCTAGAAAGACAACCTTTGTGGTTTCAGATTCAATTACTTGAATGACATTAAAACAGCTTTAAAATCATGGGTCATAAAGCAAAACCCTGAATTTTTCCAAAAAGGCTTTGATGTCTGGGTTAAATGATGGCGCAAATGTGTAAACATTGATGGTGACTAGGTTGAATGGTAGTTTTGTGTAAAGGGTAGTTCGGGCTATGATGTGTAGCAACCTCTACTGCTGTTATATGTTCATTCATAACATTTTAATGACACAGGAGGCATAACTTTTTGACCCACACATGTATATTTGAATTTTGAAAAACCACAGAATTATAATCTTGATTCGTCATAATGAAAAAAATAATGTCAATGCTAAGGGCTAACTGATACGAGTGGATAAAAATTACTTTGCTGCTTTCAGGTCATGCTTTTAGATGAACCAACTGCAGGATTGGATCCCTATTCTAGACACCAAGTGTGGTCAATCTTAAATGAACGCAAAACAGATCGAATTATTCTGTTTACAACTCAGTTCATGGATGAAGCTGATATTCTTGCCAGTGAGTAGATTTTCTCATTTAATGCCATTTACATTTAGAGACAGTTTATAATTCATCCTCCTCTCCACCTCTAAATGTCTAACTGGTTTCCTTCCTTGACATATTCATTGCGACTATTGTCAGATAGATTTGGCCACATCATGAGGAGACAGGAAAGCCTAGAGAATACTATTATGCTGGGGAAAGTGGAAGGCAAAAGGAAGAGGGGCCGACCAAGGGCAAGATGGATGGATGGCACCCTTGAAGTGACTGGACTGACCTTGAGGGAGCTGGGGGTGGTAACGGCCGACAGGGAGCTCTGGCGTGGGTTGGTCCATGAGGTCACGAAGAGTCAGAAACGACTGAACGAATGAACAACAACATTGTCAGATTGCAAAACTAGTTTCTTACTACTGAATGACATTGCTAAACAGTGTGTGTGTGTTTTCAACATGTATTCTTTTCTCCTTAGACCGGAAAGCTTTCATTTCATATGGCAAGTTGACATGTGTTGGTTCATCTTTGTTCTTGAAGAAAAAATGGGGTATTGGCTATCATTTGAGGTATGTTTTCAATCAGCCATTTTATCCTTTTACTTGTTTTGCTAGGGTAGCATTTATTTTCTATCTAGGATGTGCTGTTATTTATGTATTTACATGCAGTTGTTTATTGGAGAATTTTATCCTTCCTTTCCATTTCCTCAAACCAGCTTACACAAGTAAAAATAATTCACAATTGGGAAAAGAACTTTGAGCATATCAGAAAAGCAAGAGGGAAAAAAAGACAACAAATAAGTGGAACCAGTGCAGAATCAGTGAATTAAAATATAATTAAGTGGCAAATAAATTGTTAGCATACAACTGATGAAGAAACAGTTTTGTATCCTAAATCTATTCAAAATAATGAAGCTCGTACCACTTAGAATCATTGAACCCTAGAGTTGGAAGAGACCTCATGGGCCATCCAGTCCAACTCCCTGCCAAGAAGCAGGAAAATCACCTTCAAACCACCCCAACAGATGGCCATCCAGCCTCTGCATAAAAGTCTCCAAAGAAGGAGCCTCCACCACTCTCTGGAGCAGAGAGTTCCACTGCTGAACAGTTCTTTCAGTCAGGAAGTTCTTCCTAATGTTCAGGTGGAATATCCTTTCCTGTAGTTTGAATCCACGTTCCACATCATAGTCTTTAGGGCAGCAGAAAACAAGCCTGCTCCCTCCTCCCTATGACTTCCCCTCACATATTTTATTTATACATGTCTCCTCTCAGCCGTCTTTTCTGCAGGCTAAAATGCCCAGCTCCTTAAGCCACTCCTCGTAGGGTTTGTTCTCCACACCCTTGATCATTTTAGTCAAGCTCCTCTGAACACATCCTAGCTTGCCAACATCTTCCTTCAATTGTGGTGCCCAGAATTGGACACAATAGTCCAGGTGTGGTCTGACAAAGGCAGAATAGAGGGGTAGCATGGCTTCCTTGGATCTAGACACTAGACTCCTATTTATGCAGGCCAAAATCCCATTGGCTGCCACATCACATTGTTGGCTCATATTTAACTTGTTGTCCATGAGGACTCAAAGATCCTTCTCACATGTACTGCTATCAAGCCAAGCGTCCCCCATTCTGTATCTTTGCATTTCATTTTTTCTGCCAAAGTGTAGTATCTTGCATTTTTCTCTGTTGAGCTTCATTTTGTTAGTTTTGGCCCATCTAATTTGTCAAGATCATTTTGTGTTGTTTGTACAAGTCATTTGTATAACTTGCGTTATACATTTCCCTGCTTCATATCATTTATTTCTCAAATGGGTTCAAAAATGCAGTGTGTGATATGTTTATTTATGTTTAATTATTCCTGTAATTGTATACAAATTGGAAAGCAGTGTGGCAGATAGTTCTGAATGCTTCTGTTGTTTTAGCAAAATAGCTGTGAGTTGGAACGAGATCTTGGATATTTTACTTCAACAACGTTCTGAATAAACAAGTATAAGTCATGGGCCTCGTTGTGTTGACTCAATGCCTTTTTAATATGAACAGGATGCATATAAATGAGATGTGTGATCCTGAGAGGACTACATCTCTGGTGAAGCAACACATTCCTGATGCTAGATTATCAGAACAGCGTGAAAATGAGCTGAGTTATACCTTGCCCCTTGAACACATGGATAGATTTCCAGGTAATTATCAGAAGAAATAAGTGATAACAAATGTCAGTGCTATTATTTCAAATTACCTTTTAGCTTCTTTAAAATGTATTTCATGTTCCTCTTAAGGAGCACGAGAATATTATAGCATGAGATAAATTCAAGTCAGATCGGAGCACCTTCCCAGATGAAGGACATCTTCCAAATGACCACAACCATCCTCCGCTCTGGAGCAATCTATATATATATAAATGCTCTATGCATAATGAGTACCTTAAAAACAAAAGAACCAATGAACAAAATCACACCAAATTTGGCAACAAAATGTCTCACAACACAAGGAGTGACCATCACTCAAAAAATATATATGATTGTGTCATTAGGGAGTTGTAGTTGCTGGGATTTATAGCTCACCTACAATCAAAGAGCATTCTGAACTCCATCAATGATGGAATTGAACCAAACTTGGCACACAGAACTCCCATGACCAACAGAAAATACTGGAAAGGTTTGGTGGGTATTGACCTTGGGTTTGGGGAGTTGTAGTTCACCTACATCCAGAGAGCACTGTAGACTCAAACAATAATGGATCTGGACCAAACTTGGCACAAGCACTCAATACGCCCAAATATGAACACAGATGGAGTTTGGGTGAAATAGACCTTGACATTTGGGAGTTGTAGTCACTGGGATTCACAGTTCACCTACAATCAAAGAGCATTCTGAACCCCACGAATGACAGAATCGGGGGAAACTTCCCACACAGAACCCCCATGACCAACAGAAAATACTTAAGGCGATCCAGTCCAACTCCCTTCACCGGGGCAAGAAAATGTAATCAAAGTCCTCCTGACAAAGAGTCATCCAGCCATAGATATAGATAGATAGATATGATTCACACACACACAGATATAGTATCATAGATTTGAAAGGGACCCTTAAAGAAAGACAATGATATGTTACATGTTCCAGGATGGGTAAACCAGACACTCTCCACATCAACACTGACAAAGAAACAGCAAGAAATACTGTTTACCCACAAGCATAAAGAAATTACATATATTAGAAACCAACACTTTCTCATTACTTTATTTTCCAGATCAACAGACTGGGCCACAGCAATGCGTAGCAGGGGACAGCTAGTCTTATATATGTTTTTGTCTGTTTTTTTTCTCTCTCTCTCCTCCATTGCTATTTTTATTGGAGGAGATAAATGTGTGAGACTCTGACTACCCTGTTTATTGTACTGAAGCCTTAATAAATCCAGCCAGGGTACTTCTGGTGGCTTTTTTTTTTTTTTTTTGTAAACACAGGGAATTCTGCCAGGTGTACTATTGAAAAGCTGGCAAAGCAGTTTGAGTCCTCCCATCTTGATGGATTGTTCCATTGCAGAGGCCATTATGATTACCGTGGGCCCTCCCAGCACTTTTCACACATGATAAATCAGGGGCTATGAAACTCCACAAGCCTTAATTACAGGTTGGAAACCACCATTCCTGTGGGACATGGAAGAGACAGAGGGAACTCCAACTATCTTCTTTGGAGCCAGCAGAAGCAGTGAAATAGTACTATTTTATGGAGCTGTCTTGTTTTCTCAAAGTCAAAGGGAAGTTTCTGAGAGAAATGAAAATAGAGCAGGGGTCCCCAAACTAAGGCCCTGAATATGGTCCTCCAAGGTCATTTATGCAGCTCTACCCTAAACATTCGCCTTAGGGTCACCCTAAATCTGAGACAATTCGAAGGCACACAACAACAACAATCCTAATTAACTTGTAGGCCTGGGTAACAACAGAAAAATTTGTTTCTAAAATCGATTTGTATTTGGGTTTTTTTTTTGTTTCGATATTTAAAATAATTACAAAATTTTCCCTTAAAAATGTTCGGTATTTACGAAATTTCGTTAATATTAACGAATCAATTCGTTAAAATGGCGGACGCGGTTGCGCGACGTGAAAATAATAGTTTTAAATAATAGTTTTAACCTCGGAGAAGGAAAGAGGGGGGAAAGAGAGAGAGGAGGGGTGAAACAAACCACTTTCTGCCTTCGTGAATGTAAGGGACAGTCAAAGCAGTACTGAAAGATGGCCATCCATTCTTAATAATAATAATAATAATAATAATAATAATAAATATAATTAATATAATAGTTTTAACCTGGAGAAGGAAAGGGGGGGAAGGAGAGAGAGAGGAGGGTGGGTGAGATCTCTATTCTGGTTTGACAATGCTTCTTCTCAATAATAATAATAATAATAATAATAATAATAATAATAATAACAAACCACTTTCTGCCTTCGTGAATGTAAGGGACAGTGAAAGCAGTACTGAAAGATGGCCATCCATTCTTAATAATAATAATAATAATAATAATAATAATAATAATAAATATAATAAATATAATTAATATAATAGTTTTAACCTGGAGAAGGAAAGGGGGGGAAGGAGAGAGAGAGGAGGGTGGGTGAGATCTCTATTCTGGTTTGACAATGCTTCTTCTCAATAATAATAATAATAATAATAATAAAAATAATCTGCCTCCGTGCATGGAAGGCACAGTGAAAGCAGTACTGAAAGATGGCCATCCATTCTTAATAATAATAATAATAATAATATAATAATAATAATAATAATAATAAATATAATAAATATAATAGTTTTAACCTGGAGAAGGAAAGGGGGGAAGGAGAGAGAGAGGGGGTTGAGATCTCTATTCTGGTTTGACAATGCTTCTTCTCAATAATAATAATAATAATAATAATAATAACAAACCACTTTCTGCCTTCGTGAATGTAAGGGACAGTCAAAGCAGTACTGAAAGATGGCCATCCATTCTTAATAATAATAATAATAATAATAATAATAATAATAATAATAAATATAATTAATATAATAGTTTTAACCTGGAGAAGGAAAGGGGGGGAAGGAGAGAGAGAGGAGGGTGGGTGAGATCTCTATTCTGGTTTGACAATGCTTCTTCTCAATAATAATAATAATAATAATAATAATAAACCACTTTCTGCCTTCGTGAATGTAAGGGACAGTGAAAGCAGTACTGAAAGATGGCCATCCATTCTAATAATAATAATAATAATAATAATAATAATAATAATAATAATAATAAATATAATTAATATAATAGTTTTAACCTGGAGAAGGAAAGGGGGGGAAGGAGAGAGAGAGGAGGGTGGGTGAGATCTCTATTCTGGTTTGACAATGCTTCTTCTCAATAATAATAATAATAATAATAATAATAACAAACCACTTTCTGCCTTCGTGAATGTAAGGGACAGTCAAAGCAGTACTGAAAGATGGCCATCCATTCTTAATAATAATAATAATAATAATAATAATAATAAAAATATAATTAATATAATAGTTTTAACCTGGAGAAGGAAAGAGGGGGGAAAGAGAGAGAGAGGAGGGTGGGTGAGATCTCTATTCTGGTTTGACAATGCTTCTTCTCAATAATATAATAATAATAATAATAACAAACCACTTTCTGCCTTCGTGAATATAAGGGACAGTCAAAGCAGTACTGAAAGATGGCCATCCATTCTTAATAATAATAATAATAATAATAATAATAATAATAATAATAATAAATATAATTAATATAATAGTTTTAACCTGGAGAAGGAAAGGGGGGGAAGGAGAGAGAGAGGAGGGTGGGTGAGATCTCTATTCTGGTTTGACAATGCTTCTTCTCAATAATAATAATAATAATAATAATAACAAACCACTTTCTGCCTTCGTGAATGTAAGGGACAGTGAAAGCAGTACTGAAAGATGGCCATCCATTCTTAATAATAATAATAATAATAATAATAATAATAATAATAAATATAATTAATATAATAGTTTTAACCTGGAGAAGGAAAGGGGGGGAAGGAGAGAGAGAGGAGGGTGGGTGAGATCTCTATTCTGGTTTGACAATGCTTCTTCTCAATAATAATAATAATAATAATAATAATAAACCACTTTCTGCCTTCGTGAATGTAAGGGACAGTGAAAGCAGTACTGAAAGATGGCCATCCATTCTTAATAATAATAATAATAATAATAAATATAATTAATATAATAGTTTTAACCTGGAGAAGGAAAGAGGTTAGGCAGGCAACAGGCAGGTCTCTGAGTGCTGCACTGCTGTGTCTCTTTGCCCAATGCACGCAGGCCAGAGTGAGGAACGAGGTGAGGTGACGACAGGAGGAGAGGAGAATTTGATCCACTTAAGCAGAGGCCAGGGACCCGGAAGTGGGGTAAATGCCGACCGCTTGCAACCAGGGAGAGGGGAGGGAAACAACTATAAAACTTGCACCAGACACATACGGAAATAATAACGAAACAATAACAAAACAATTACGAAATAGCTTTAAAAATTCGTTTCGTTTTTTAGTTGCTCCTGGATGGTTTGTTATCGCTTCGTTTACCCAAAAAATAACGAATTATTAACGAATTACGAAATTAACGAACGAAACCGCCCAGCCCTATTAACTTGACTATCTGATCTGACAAAAGCAAGCCCATATTTCCCATTGAAATGCTAGTAGGTTTATGTTGGGCAGAAGTGTTCTCCATTTCAAATATTGTATTGTTCATTTTTTGGTTTGGTGTTGCTAAGGCAGGAGTTCTCAAAGTGTGCTCCATAGAGTCCTTGGGGCTCCACGAAACACACTGAGGGGCTCCACAGTTCTCTCCTCTTCCCTTCCTCCTCCTCTTTCCTGCTCTGTCTCTCTTCCTGTCTCCCTCACCCCCAAAAACAATTTTTCCTCACTTCCAAAAGCCTTTTCCCCTCATCTTCCTTGCTTCCAAAACCTTATTTCCCTCCCATCGCTCAGGGGACACTTTGATTGTGCTGTTCTGGTATAGCATAAGAGGGTTGAACTGGATGGCCCCTGGGGTTACTCCTATTGTTATTATTACTACTACTACTACTACTACTACTACTACTACAAAGACTGGCTGTCCATCTGTTGGAGTGCTTTGATTGTGCTTTTCCTCCTGCATGATCATATACCTCTATCTATGTACAGTTGTCTGTCTTGTTAGTGTATAATTTATTTATTTATTTATTTATTTACAGTTCTTATATTCCGCCCTTCTCACCCCGCAGGGGACTCAGGGCGGATTACAGTAAACACATATATGGCAAACATTCAATGCCAGTTTGACAAACAACGTTTAACAGACAAAGGCTATTTAACTTTTTTTTTTCTGGCCGCCAGGGGAGCTGCTGCTTTTCATCGTCCATCAACGACACCGATGAAGTTCTTCCGCATTCCACATTCCCCGGAGTCTTCTTTCTTTATGGCCTCATAAATTAGTTAAATTTAGCCTCCCACACAAGGTGGTACCTTATTTTCCTACTTTGACAGATGCAACTGTCTTTCGGGTTGCAAAGGTCGACAACGGGCTACACAATGGCTGGACACCCACTCCAGCCCGGGCTGGCTTCGAACTCATGACCTTTTGGTCAGAGTGATCTTAATGCAGCTGACACTCAGCCAGCTGCGCCACAATCCCGACATTCCCGACATTCAATGTTTGCCAGATGTGTCCTGTGATCCTCCCCAAATCCCCTTTGGGGTGAGAAGGGCAGAATATAAATACTGTAAATATAATAACATTTTTTGGGGTGCCACAAGAAATTTCTGCTTCAAAAAGGGCCTCGCAGCTGAAAAACTTCGGGAATCCCTGGCTTAAGGGACCGTGATCTGGCCCTCTACTTAAAATGTTTGAAGACCCCTGCAATAGAGCTTGTCTAGTTCTCTAAATGGTTGGATAGAAATAATATAAATAATATAGTATGGTCCTTGGGGACTATGTTCCAGTTCACCTCCACCCTGATGGATACCTGAAGCAATGGATAATAATGAGCCAGGCATGTAGCCGGGTGGGGGGGGGGGCGGGGGGCTTCAGCCCCCCCCCCCTCCGAAATTCTCATGGTGGTTCGCGAAAAGGCCTTACTGGTGCATTATTTAAACTGTTGATGTTTATTCATATCATGATCTGATCACCATGCTCAATATATCCCATATGCATGGGGGTATTGGGGTAATGATACAAAAGGTTTGCTAGGTAGACCCTCTTTCACTCAGACTCAGCCCCCCCCCCCAAAACTCAGGCCCCTGAACCCCCCCTGAAAAAAATTCAGCCCCCCCCCCCCCGAAACGAAATCCTGGCTATGGGCCTGTAATGAGCCCTTTGTTTTGACTGTACTTTGGCTGGAAACACACCACAGGATCTAGAAGGGCAAAGAAAAATTTCTAGGGACATAGTTTTGGCCTGGGATCTTGGGGGTTTTCCTTAGTTAACACTCCAGCAGCAACAATGACCCCATGTGTGCTTTATGTGGATTGTGAAGAAAATTCAGCTATGGCTGTTAATATATTATTGTTATATTTGTTCTACTAGGATGTAAACTTTTTACCTTATGAAACAGTAGTTCGAAGTTTTCTCAGACTATGGGTCTTTCTACTCAGTGAACTTAGGTTGGATCACCATCCAGCCCAGCCCATCCCATCCCATCCCACCTACTTTACTGTTAATTACTTTGAGTTAAATTTTTAGAAGAAAGTTGGGGTATAAATTAATATATTTGTTTAATAAGCACTTTGAAAAAATACATGTACTGTAAGTATGAAACAAGCTTTGCCTATAACATTGCTTTTCTTAAATTGCAATCAAGGGGGCTGTTGTACTCATATCAAAATCGTAGAAAGGCAAATAATAATGTGTGTTGTTTCGTTCCCTGTGATATAGGTCTGTTCTGTGACATGGATCAGCAGACAAACCTGGGCATTGCTCATTATGGGGTCACTATGACCACTCTGGAAGATGTCTTTCTAAAGCTGGAAGGAAACGAAATAATTGATGAAGGTAATTCTTGTTTTGAATAATGCACCTTTTGTCATTTTCTGCTACGTTTGCACAAATGTGACTTTGGGAACACACACATGGAGAACACACTACTTTGAACTATCAGAACTCACCGCTTCTTTTCTCATCCGGGGAAGGGATTTGGAATAATATTTCAATAAGAGTGTAAACGATTGCTGGAGTGAAGACAGGAAGGAGAACCGAATTTGGTATGAAAGGGGAAGGGAAAAGATCAATCTAGATTAAGTCTCCCTTATCCAAAATGCTTGGGACCAGAAGTGTTTTTTATTTTGGATTTTTAAAAATTTTGGAACACCTGTATTTGCATATGCATATATAAGGAGCTATCTTGGAGATGGGATCCAAGTTTAAATGCAAAATTCATTTTTATTTGACTAGCCATCCCTTGCCATGCATTGCTGTGGCCTAGTCTGTATATATGTTCTTTGTATATGTGTGTTTGTGTATATATATGTGGTTTTGCACATGCATTGAAATGTATTTTTTGGCTTTTTAAGTCTCTTCTGCTGTGTTTTTCAGTGTTTTTATGAGTGATGGTCACTTGTTGGCCTGATAGATGTATTGTGTCCAAATTTGGTGTCAATTCGTCCAGTGGTTTTTGAGTTATGTTAATCCCACAAACGAACATTACATTTTTATTTATATAGATATACAACTAGTCTGAAGGTTTTGCATAATATTTTTAAATGATTTTGTGAATAAAACCACATTTGTGTATATTCAGTAATGCAAAGGTATCATTTACATTAACCACCGACATGGACACTTTTGGATTTTGGAGCATTTTGGATTTTGGAATTCAAGATACTCAAGCTGCATGGAAACTCTTCTTAGACTGATTATGAAGTCCTCATATTGTACTTTGAAATTTATCTTAGATTATGGAGCTCATCGTGGTGAGCGAGTGGAAGGGGGAAAATGGGGTGAAATGAGACAAGAAGAGCCATTGCTCTCAGACACAGGAAAGGTAACACTTAGAGGCATGGCACTCTGGAGACGGCAAGTTTGCGGCATAGGAAGAATGCACTTTTTGAATCTCAAGCGCGAGGGCAAAGTCTGGGCAACGCTGTGAGTACCAAATCTTCTCTTTTAAAATATATTTTAATGAAAACGAGGACACATGTGGCTGAGCCACACCACAGACTGGTCAGAAGTTTGTGTCCAGGCTGCTACAATAGGGCAAAAAGTTATTAAAGAGAAGGAAGACACAAAACTACTATTTTAACTAGAGGAACCTTGGGATTTATGCACTGAATTTCAAAAGTCTGGGGGAAAAATAACAAATACAGAAATATAAAATGTATGTGTGTAGCATGAGTAAGAATAATTATAGCATGGTATAATACATTATTGTAACATGGAATGTCTTCACCAGATGTACTTAGATCGATGGATTTTACTAAAACTCCTGCCCCCTTCCCTCTCTGCCCAAGACACATTACAGATCTGGTCAAATCCAATCTTCCACTGATGTAACCCACTAGAACCCACTGTAATGCCTTACTTCACAAGATTATCCTTGGAAACAGGAATGAGCAGAGGGGAAATACTGTACAACACTTTTAAGTCAGGAGATAAACGGCATGGCATTAATTAAGAAAGATATAGATGGAAAAAACATGGTTGTCAAAAGGATGCATGCTAACACCTTTTTCGAATGTCTTGCCAAAGACTTTCATGGCCCGAATCAATAGGTTGTTGTGAGTTTTTTGGGCTGTATGGCCATGTGGACAATTTCAACGGAAAGGACGAAACCGTAACAATGAACAAAATCTGACTACTACTAGCATTTAAAAAACTCTAAAACCAGCACAGTAAATAATGAACACCACTCAGAAACAGGAACTTCAGACAACATGCAATCAAGGGCCAGTTAACACCTCAAACAGAGGATGCCTCCAGGCAATAAAGGCCAGACTAACTCTAACTGACTTTGTAAACATCATGGCTACACAAATGCTAATTCAAGCTTACTAATTACATGCTTTAACAGACAAGGGTTCTTCCTCCCACCCTGGACATTCCACAGGTGCTTCACTGCCAATAGAACTTCTGAAGCCACAGATGCAGGCGAAACATCAGAAGAGAATGCTGCTGGAACATAGCCATACAGCCCAAAAAAACTCACAGCAGCCCAACTTTGTAGAATGTCTCAGATTATAATCAGATACACATTTACCCACTGAACTCATTAAATGAAATACAGGCAATCCCCAAGTCTGTAGGTTTGTTCTTAAGTTGAATTTGTTTGTAAGTTGGAACAGGTGTATTTTTAACTGTAACTCCAGCCATAGGATAACATAGGTGTTCGTTTTGCTGTCTGTGTCCATGTTCAGAAGAAAACAATTAAAACTAAGCCTTAAAATGTAAAGTTTTTGCCAATCTGAAAAAGAATTAAAAATTAGAACTGAAGGGAGAACAAATATTTTCAAATTCAGAAAGCTTTTCCGCAATATACACCCTTTTAAAAGGATATTAGGAGTGATGGGCAAAAAAGTAAAACTGAAAAAGTGAAACTGAGATAATATTTACTGCATGCTACCAGAGATGTTTTAATTCAGCTAGGATCTCCGCAATGAAAACATTGCTTTATTGGCAGATCTCTTCCCTTCATTCAGGGTCAAATAATAGCACAGATTGTTCTGTTGCAAAGCTAAGATGGGCTTTAGCAGTTTGCTTTTATTGATAGTACTGGGAAGGCCAAAATCTCTTTCTCTCTGCTCCCACATGTTGAGTTAATTCGGTGCAAATGACTTTTGCACTTTGCACTTGAACTGCTCTGAGTCCCCTTTGGGGTTGAGAAGAGCAGTATACAAATACCACAAATAATAATAATAATAATAATAATAATAATAATAATAATAATAAATAGCTTGTTTTGTAGAAGTAGAAACAATTCAGAGATGAAAGGGAAGGTTGAAAAGAGGAAAGGAAAAACTGGGACACTAAAAGAATAAAAAGAGCATTCAGTTCCGCTCACTATCTGAAAAGATCAGACAAAACAGGTTTGATTCCTCCATCCCTATATCTTTTGGATGGTTGAAGGTTTCTGGACTTAATTTCGGTCTCTATTTTGTTACAGATTACTTCTTATTGGAATTATACTAGCACCTTTTATCATTCAGTACACTACTATTGGTATTTGGTCTACCCAGCATAATACGGAGATTCATTCTGGACTTTATTTTGAGCCAGGAAAGCAATTTTTTACAGGAACCTCTGGACTTCTGATCGTTAATGATACAGGTAAAGGCACAGAAGGTGGAAATTGTATTCTTTCCAAAGAAGTAGAGTATGCTGGGGTGATAAGGATGCTGCATTATGCCTGGTAGTTCTAACCCATCTATCCTGACATTGCTTCTTCATCCACACATTGGGACATTACATATTTTACTTTCTAACCAGCCCTGTGTATGGAACAGACAGCATTGCAGGAAATTCTGCCTTGTAGGTCCTTTCTTTGAGTCTTCTAGGACCTTACAAGTGCATTTCATTGTTGCAATCATTCCAGCACTGTTTATTAGGGCAGTAGGGTATCTAATACACAGGACTTCATGGCCATCATGGCAACCATACGGGTGTTCCCAACAAGTATCTGGTACTACCCACAGAGCTGGACACACACTAGACTTGGTTTTCTGCCAGGGATCAGAGGAAGGTGGTAGTGTGGAGAAGCTGACCATTGCTCTGTTGCCATGGACCAACCATCACCTGATCAGGTTTAGGCTCTTGGGGAATTTCCTGCCAACCTTGGTAGGTGTTCCTGTTGATGCTCTAGTCACTCTCTGGAATAGGGAGATGAGTAGGGCAATAGACATGATTGCTCCAGAACATCCCCTCCTGCATAGCAGAGCAAAACCAGCTCCTTGGTTTAATGAGGAGCTGGCAGCGATGAAGCATGTGTAGACAGAATTAGAGTGTGTGTGGTGTTTAACTTGCAGAAAGTCAGTCCGAACACAGCTATGTGCCTATCTAAGGCTATATGCCATGGCAGTGAAGGCTGCAAGAAAATCTCTCATTGCGGCCAACATTGCATCTTCTAACAACCGTCCAGCCAAGTTGTTTTGAATGGTCAGAGGGCTGTTGAATACCATCTCGCAAGATGGGATCTCTGACCATTCGACAGCTCGCTGTGATGAATTTGCTCATTCCTTCACGGACAAAGTAACTCTGATCTGTTCCGACTTGGACTCCATGTTAACAGCAGTCTCTGAAGATGTAACATGAACACCTGCTTGTCCAGTTTTGATGGATTCATTTCAATTGGTGTAGCTTGAAGATGTGGACAAGATCCTTGGAGAAGTGGGGGCAACTACATGCATCTGGGACCCCTGCCCATTCTGGCTGTTAAAGCTCTATCAGTCGTTTCTACCTGATGGTGCCTGTGACAGTCAAGGCGAACAAATTGAAATTGAATCCAGACAAGACAGAGGTACTCTTGGTCAGTCAAAAGGCTGAACAGGGTATAGAGTTACAGCCTGCGCTGGATGTGGTTACACTTCCCTTGAAGACACAGGTTCGCAGCTTGGGAGTTCTCCTGGATTCATCATTGAGCCTGAAGCCCCAGGTCTCAGTGGTGGCCAGGGGAGCTTTTGCACAATTAAAACTTGTGAACCACTTGCATCCGTACCTTGGGAAGTCAGACTTGCCCACTGTGGTCCATGCTCTTGTTACATTCTGAATAGACTACTGCAATGCGCTCTACATAGGGTTGCCTTTGAAGACTGTTCGGAAGCTTCAAGTAGTCCAATGGGTGGCAGCCAGACCATTCAGTCTGGCTGCTGCCCATTGGACCACTTGAAGCTTCCGAACAGTCACTGGAGCAGTATATAGGAAGCATACAACCCTCCTGTTGCATCAGCTCCAATGACTGACAGTCTGCTACTGAGCACAATTCAAAGTGCTGGTTTTAGCCTATAAATCCCTAAATGGTTCCGGTCCAGTTTACCTGTCCGAACATATCTCCCTCTTATGATCCACCTTGGGGGGTAAGATCATCAAGGGAAGCCATGCTCTCAGTCCCACCACTCCTCGCAAATGTGACTAGTGGGGATGAGAGACAGGGCCTTCTCAGTGGTGGCCCTTCATCTGTGGAACTCCCTCCCCAATGAAATCAGATTAGCACCCTTTCTTTTGACTTTCAGGAAAAAAAACCTTAAGATATAGCTTTGGGATTAAGCCTTTGACCAATAATTGGAGCAGTACAATAAGTGACGACAAATGAATGTGATTGACAAATGGGATGGCCCTGGATTATGATTTGGATTGCATGATTTTAATTGATGTTTTTAATAATTGATGTTTTAACTGCTTGGATTTTAATTGTATTTGTTTATTTTATAGACATATGAGTATGTCATTGAATCGCTGTCTGTTGTAAGGCCACCCTGAGTCCTCTTCAGGGTGAGAAGGGTGGGGTACAAACGTCGCAAATAAATATAATATAATATAATATAATATGTGACTTATCCAGCTTTCCTTCCAGCTGCAAGTTCACGATTCTCTTCATATATGCCTATCGTAAAACCTGCTGAGGCTATTTCCTCACTATTTGAATCCTCCATTCACTTTCAGGATGTGTACCTTCAATGTAGGAGGATCAGGCATGTAGGCGGGGGGGGGGGCCTTCGGGGGCTTCAGCCCCCCCCCCCCAATTCTCATGGTGGTTCGCGAAAAGGCCTTACTGGTGCATTATTTAAACTGTTATGTTTATTATATCATGATCTGATCACCATGCTCAATATATCTCATATGCATGGGGGTATTGGGGTAATGATACAAAAGGTTTGCTAGGGTAGACCCTCTTTCCATCAGACTCAGCCCCCCCCCCCCGAAACCCGCCCCCCCCCCCCCCTGAAAATTTTTTTGCCCCCCCCCCCCCCCGAAACGAAATCCTGGCTACGGGCCTGAGGAGGATTATCAGTTTATTTTCTGATGGGTGGATCTCTTCTAAGGAAGGGCACACTACCTCTTATTTGGAGTGATACCCTCCTTCCCCGAGACTCTCCTTCTTAATGACTTCAGAAGAGCATTTGCTGTAGTACTATCACATCATGAAATGTCTTGTGCACATAACATCATTTAAATGTTGAATTATGTTTTGTTTTGTGATAGTCGATAGTCATTCTCCCAAACCATTTTGCTTTGGCACAGGTGCAAACATTGACACTTTTATCCATGCAGTGAAGAAACAGAATATCTCGCTGGATGTAGTCTCTGGCAGTAACATCAGTGACCAGTTAGTACACAATGGAGCCATAAAAGTAGCCACGGAAGACAAGGTAACGTTTAAGTATTGTACTTCTATTGGAAGAAAATATGTAGTGGATGACTTCCTCCACCCAAAAAAGTCCCATTATATATTACAGTGTGGCAAAATGTGATCCTTCTATAGAATTGCTAACTTTGCTTTTTAAAATGTATTTCCTAAATTGGGGGGTCATATTGTCAAGATCTGATGGTTGAATCCATGGATGCAAAATTTGTAGGGCTGACTGTGATGGGGTCTCTTGAACAATAGGGTAGCGAAACTTGGAAAGAACATCAGCCCTGGCCTTGTCTTATTCAACTGCTAAGTATGCCTACCCTGTTTGGCACAAGTCTGTCCACACGAAGCAGGACAGTGCAGAACAAAGCAAGCAGAATAATCACAGGATGTCTTAAACCTACACTTGTTGATAAACTCTACAAGCTAGTGGTATTGCCCCCCACCCCCGATGTGCGACGGGAAGTTGCTGCCAACTGTGAGAGAAATAAGGTTGAATACTATGAAAGCTATCCACTATGTGGCTATCAGCTCCTCCCAGTAGACTCAAACCAAGGAAAAGCTTCATGAGAACCACCACTCCTCTTAATGTTTCCCCAGCAACAGCAAGTGTATCACTCTGGGCAGCTAAACCAGGAAATCCCAAATTGATGGCCCCCCACGAGGGTCTGCCTCCAGGGGCAAACCAAGAATGGGCAACAACGTGGAAGTCCCTGAACAGACTCAGAAGCAGGGTGGGCAGATCAAAAGACAATCTGGCAAAATGGCACTACCTAGGAGAATCCTCCTCTTTGTGCAACTGTGGAGCAGAACAAACAAGTCCTCATATGTATGCTTGTCCACAATGCCCTGCCTCATGCACAGAGGCCGAATTGTTTAAAGCTACAGACAATGCGGTAGCTGTTGCCTGTTTTTGGTCAAAAATTATTTAACTGCTTGTGTTCCTTCTATTTTTATCAGTTTTATATTTATTTATGCAATGTTTTTGGTACAAAATAAATAAATAACCCCAGTCCTGTTCTATATGTAGTACGTGTAAGTTTCCAAATGTCACATCTTATTTATGTTTGTTTATTTAAGCTTCCCTGGATATTACCTCTTAATCTTTTATAGGAATGTAATTTATTATTGTTTCTTGGCATTTGGAGTATTCACTTTAACCTTGTAGAGATGGTTGTGCCGTCACACCCAGACACTGTAAAATTAAAACTAAGATGTGCTTCTCTCTTTATCTGGGTGAACCGCTGGGGGTCTTTCTTTGAAGCAATAACTCAATACTTTCAGCAACTGATGCCAGTCAAGATATGAATATCAACAAAATATTTATTTCCAATATTTGGCAGACTTGGCACAGCTTGATAAAGTTACAACACAAACAATCAATTTGGGAAACCATAGAGATGTTCTTTCTTTCCTTTTCCTTCAATTACTGAGGTAACTTTTCTCCAAATGGTAGAAAAAATCCTGGGATCTTTCACCCTAACCCTGAGCTGCTATGGTTAGAACAGGTCTTCCCCTATCTAAGCTCAAGGTTAGCTTTGGAGATGAAGTAATGCTCAATAGTACTCAATAACTATTTCTCTCTATTTCTCAATAACTCAATAGCTTTTCCTCAATAACTATAGAATCTCAAAAAGCTTCTCTTTATCTCAAATGCCTTTCTTAATAACTCAATTTCTCAATTGCTCAATTACTTAATTAGCTTCTCTATCTTAATTACTCAATTGTACTCACAATGGTTTTTTCAGAGCTACCTGTATGACCAACAGCTCATCTGAAGCTTTTTCCCTACTGAAGGAGGCAGGGGAGATTCCAAACTGGAGATCTCAATCCCAGGAAAAGGGGTGGTCTCTAGACACAAAAAGATACTTTTCTAAACCAATAACTGCAGAGGGCCTGCAGGCTGGCTTTCCAGACTCTGATACTGTTTAACTCCCAGGGTGCTGCTGGGTCTGTAGCAACCCTGGAGAAATGCAAAGGAATGCTACCCCATGCAGCTAAAAGGCAATGTAAACCATGCTCCTGGAAGATGGAACAATGGTCCAGACCCAAATTTGCAATTTTACTTTCAAAAAGACAGAAGATAAGAGTTTGTAATGGAAGATCCCCGAATCTAGGGCTGCAAAATTACCAGCATGGTTGGCAATCCTGAATTTCACTCTTGGGAGGTCTATCTCATTTAGTGCAACACTTCCTTAGTTGAATATGGTTCCTTTTTCAGAAGTCCTATAATAAAAAATTTCCTTTGAAATACTTCATACCAAAGGTAGTTCGATAAGGATTGTCCCAAGAGCATTCCTCATTAACAAAAGTACACAAAACTGAAGGATGCTGTATAATTAAATTAATTAAATGTTTAGATAATCACTGCAGCTTTGTTACTGTTTTAGTTATTGACTCTTGCTTTTCTAGCACTGCCTGCACTGACGCATTACATTTCTGATTTTAATGTCTTGCTTTGCTTCAGAAATACAGGTTCACAATTATGTGTCACTTGGAAGTAATCAATTGCTATCCTGTCCTTGTCAACATAATAAGCAATGCTTTTCTAAAAATGTCAAATTCAACTGCCCGTATTCGATTGTGGAATCATGCACTTCTAAGAGTAAGTTTTGTACTTTTTCTAAGATGGGAGTGGGGCCATGAGTAGAACTATTGTTAAACAATGTATATCAGTGTTTCTCAACCTTCCTAATGCCGTGACCCCTTAATACAGTTCCTCATGTGGTAGTGACCCCCAACCATAACATTCGTTGCTACTTCATAACTGTAATTTTCCTACTGTTATGAATCGTAATGTAAATATCTGATATGCAGGATGTATTTTCATTCACTGGACCAAATTTGGCACAAATACCCACTACATCCAAATTTGAATACTGGTGGGTTCTGGGGGGGGGGGGGGGGGTGGTGGTGGTGGTGCATTTTGTCATTGTGATTCCTGGGATTTAAAGTTGTGATTCCTGGGAGTTGTGATTCCTGGGAGTTGTGATTCCTGGGATTTAAAGTTCACCTGCAAGCAAAGAGGATTCTGAACTCCACCAAGGATGGAGTTGAACCAAACTTGGCACACAGAACTCCCATGACAAACAGAAAGTTCTGGAAGGATTTGGTGGGCATTGACCTTGAATTTTGGAGTTGTAGTTCACCTACATCCAGAGAGCACTGTGTACTCAAATAATGATGGATCTGGACCAAACGTGACACGGATACTCAATATGCCCAAATATGAACACTAGTGGAGTTTGGGGAAAATAGAACTTGGCATTTTGGAGTTGTAGTGGCTGGAATTTATAGTTCACCTACAATCAAAGAAAATCCTGAACCCCACCAATGACCGAATTGGGACAAACTTCCCACATAGAACCCCCACGACCAGCAGAAAATACTGTGTTTTCTGATGGTCTTTGGCGACCCCTCTGACACCCTCTCACCACCCCCCAGGGTCCCGATCCCCAGGTTGAGAACCACTGATGTATATGAACATTGAAGAAGGATTGGCGTACAAAGAAAATCAGCATTCCAAACAACATTCATAATTTGAAAGAGAATAATGACTGTATTTTAAAACCATTTTCTTCCTGAATGAACAGTGATATTAGCCTAGTTGTTAGAAAGAATTATATTTAGAAAAACACCCCTTTTGTTTTACCCCACTTAGTGATTTTTAGGAGTAACGCCAATATATCAACTTAACATTATCTTCACATCTCTGTATTAGTAAAATTATTTGTGTTTAGTTAATAAAAACACGGGACCAACAAAACCTGCAACAAATTTTGCTTGGAGGTGGGTGGGGGGCAGTGATGAATTATAGAATCATAGAATCATAGAATCAAAGAGTTGGAAGAGACCTCATGGGCCATCCAGTCCAACCCCCTGCCAAGAAGCAGGAATATTGCATTCAAATCACCCCTGACAAATGGCCATCCAGCCTCTGCTTAAAAGCTTCCAAAGAAGGAGCCTCCACCACACTCCGGGGCAGAGAGTTCCACTGCTGGACGGCTCTCACAGTCAGGAAGTTCTTCCTAATGTTCAGATGGAATCTCCTCTCTTGTAGTTTGAAGCCATTGTTCCGCGTCCTAGTCTCCAAGGAAGCAGAAAATAAGCTTGCTCCCTCCTCCCTGTGGCTTCCTCTCACATATTTATACATGGCTATCATATCTCCTCTCAGCCTTCTCTTCTTCAGGCTAAACATGCCCAGTTCCCTAAGCCGAATCAAATAGGCCTAAATATACTGAAGGCACCAGAATCTGTTCAATATTGGAAACCAAGCAGGGTCAGCCATTATTTTTGGATGAGCTTGGATAGGAGGCTGCCAGAAACTGCCAGCTGCTTTAGATGAGATTTTTGGCTGTAGGCAGAAATTGCAGAGTTGGAATGTATCGACAGTTGGTTGAATGGTATCCTGGCACACTCTACACATTATTGTACCAGTTAATAACCCAATCTCTTGAGAGCCTTTTTGACCATCTAACAATATCATATTTTTGGTTCTCAGCCAGCATCACATTACATTTCTAATATGCCCCCCCCCCCCCCACTCATATGTTTACATTGTTCAACTTGGCTTTTCGGTCATCCTGTATTTGTCTCCCAAATATCATAATTAATATTGAACTTGTCACCTAATCATAACACCCACAAGTTTTTTTTTAAAAAAAATCTATGGCTATCCACCCAAACAGTCTGTCTGTGAAGGCACTTCTCTCAATCCATCTGTAAAAGTAGACATAGGATGCATCTACAGGACCATTTAATACAGTGTAGCTCTCGCATTAGCCTAGTGTGTCTACATGATGCACAAAAATTAATGTGCTTTAATTTAGGGTTAACCAATTAATCTGGTTTGATCTCAGATTTTTTTTAAAAAAAACAAGAGCTACCATAAAATGGAAATAGGTGGTATTTCGAGCATCATGTGACTTTTAAAAATAATAATCTTTATTTGTTTTAAAAAGAAAGGTACATGATTATGATAAAATATTAAAGAGTTTATGATAGAAATGGATATATAGAGATATAGATACAGATAAATTAAGAATTAAAAATGTAAAGTAAGAAGAGGGGATTGGGGACCCTCAAAGACGAGGGAGGGCGGAGGTGACATGGGGGAGTCAAAATTAAGGAGTGAAAAAGAAGTTAAAAAGTGGTGAATAGACAGGAAAAATATAGATAGATAGAATTAAAATCAGATAAGAGTATCAAAAGTAGAATATTTGACTTCCCGGTAACTTCTGTGAGGTTCCTCCTTTTCCTTTCCTTTTATTTCATTTTTTTTCTCTCCCTCTTTTCGTTTTGCCCATCTCTGTCACTTCTTTAAATAAATATTTTCAATTTTTTTTCTTTCATTAAGTATGTTGTCACTTGTTTCCAATCTGTCTCTTCCTTTGAGATACCCTTCTTTTTGGATAATAAATAGGTGAGTTTATCCATGTTTCTTATATCTTGAATTTTTGTCAGCCATTCTTCTTCTTCTGGGGGTTCTTATTTTTTTTCCAAATTTTTGCTTAGGTGCTTCTAGCTGCCATTGTTAATAAGAATAACAATTTGTCTTTTATTTTGACCAGGCGGTGTAATGCCAGCCTGATATATCTGGGTAACAACTCTGCCCCTGACCCAAATGACTACTGATTGGTTATAGAGAGTATGAGGAAATTTCCCTCCATCTATCCCATCAACTGACCTGTAGCTGGCATCCTCCATGTCCATATATTATTTATTTATTTCATATATTTGTACCCCGCCCTTCTCTACCCCCGAAGGGGGACTCAGGCTGGCTTAGTAGTAGAGTTTTCTATTTAGCAACGGTCAAAAAACCACGAGAAGATCCAACCAGTCCATACTTCAGGAAATAAAGCCTGACTGCTCATTGGAGGGAAGGATATTAGGGTATTAGGAACAATGAGGGTGAGACTGGGGTGACGGTGCTTTAATGTATAAACAGTAGAGTTTAATCAGTGCGGAGATGGGGGCTTTCCTAGGGCTCCCTGGTCTCCAGATGAGGAAATTATTAGGGGTCTGCCAGGGGGCAAACAGTATTGTTGGGCAATCCTCCGAGAACAAAGCCGCCTGCCAGTTTATTTTTCATGCAAAGGAAATTGTGGATTGGGGGCTCTGCAGTTTCCTGGGGGGTTTTCTTCATAAGGAAAGGGAAGGGAAAAAAGGTCAAGGGGAAAGCCCAAGCCACAAGGAAAATCATGAAAATATATATCACAAGCCCATAGTCCATAATGGGAAGAGTTCATAAATGTGTGTGTCCTTGGAAGGGAATGAAAAATGTCAAGGGAAGGCCACTAGCACAAAGGAAAATATAGATAGGGTTGATGTTGCAGGAACCATATGCTTATAATTCATAACAGGAACGGTCCATATAGATGTATGTTTTTGAAAGGGAAACAAAAGGGTTCATGGGGAATGATTAAAAGCATGAAATTCGTGAGGAAAGGTCAAAAAGGTTTCACTGTGCCAGTCAAGGGAGTCCTGCAGTGTTGAGGTTGAGACTTGTCCTTGGCCCTTGGAAAACTGTAACTCTTTCCTGGGGCTGGAGCCTTGGGACCACTCTGCTCCCTGAAAGCCTCCTGAGGTCCTTGCTGTTGTTAGTGTCTTGGCAAATTGACCAAGACTTAACCCCTATTGTGCAGTCTGGTGCCCTTGCCCTTTGCAGAACTATAAGTTACTACCTCTTATTGGGGGGGAGGCATGCTCGGCTTTGAGGTGGGGGGGGGGACGGCCGAGAGGGAGCTCTGGGGTGGGCTGGTCCATGAGGTCACAGAAAGTTGGAAGTGGCTGAACGGATAAACAACAAAAACAACAAAAACCCAACTATCATCTTTACATTTTATGCTCAGTTTTTTCTCTGGCTTCCTAGCACACATATTAATTATAATTATCTCAATGTCTATAAGCTATCTTACCAAGAAACTTTAAGGTATGTTTTTCTGATTTCTTCCCCAGGAGGGTTTTAACGAAGAACTTTGGGAGTTTTTTTCTGAAGGATACATTCTTGCAGCTGCTTTGTTATTCCCAGCTTTTCCTCCAAACTTTGCAATGGCAAGCATCCGTGACTACAAGGTAAAATTATTATATGAGCATGGAATACATTTCATTTCAATGAATTTTGCACTGATTTCAATGAAGATGGGATCTTAAGTTGATGTGTATCTGGTACATATATATATGCTTTATTGGAGTACCCAAAACATCCATGGTAACTGTGAAGTCTTAGCCTAGTTTTCCCTCCTCTGAAGGTGGGCTGTTCCATTTGTGCTGAGTTTTGGGGGTGGAGCTTAAAATCCTCCTAGAGGTCTGGCTCTGATGCTTTAGCCTTGCTGGCTCAGAGCTTGGTGGAAAGATTTTTCCCCCTCCAATCTTTCTTTGGCAGAGCTTTAGAGTAGTCAGGCCAGAAAGTGTCTGCACTGGCTTGGCAATCTAAAACAGGCATCCTAAAGCACGTACATACCTTTGAGACTATATCCTGTACTTGCCTTAAAGATTAGAGTTGTGTTGTTGTTCATTTGTTCAGTCGTCTCCGACTCTTCGTGACCTCATGGACCAGCCCACGCCAGAGCTCCCTGTTGGCCGTCACCACCCCCAGCTCCTTCAAGATCAGTCCAGTCACTTCAAGGATGCCATCCATCCATCTTGCCCTTGGTTGGCCCCTCTTCCTTTTACCTTCCACTTTCCCCAGCATAATTGTCTTCTCCAGGCTTTGCTGTCTCCTCATGATGTGGCCAAAGTACTTCAACTTTGTCTCTAGTAGCCTTCCTTCCAATGAGCAGTCGGGCTTTATTTCCTGGAGGATGGACTGGTTGGATCTTCTCGCAGTCCAAGGCACTCTCAGCACTTTCCTCCAGCACCACAGCTCAAAAGTATGTATCTTCCTTCACTCAGCCTTCCCTAAGGTCCAGCTCTCACATCCGTAGGTTACTACAGGGAATACCATGGCTTTGACTAGAGTTGTACATACCTTATAGTTTCTATAGCTCTGTACATACCTTAAAGATTATAGCTGTACTTACTTCATAGATTACCATCATTATAGAAATGCATACCTTACAGCTCACAGTATTTATCATACATCCTTGTATTTACGTCAGAGTTTATACCTTATATTTGTACTTGCCAGCATAGAGAGTGCTTACCATTATAGCTAGTACTTACATCAGAGTCCATACCATATTTATAGCTCATCGACTCCATAGATCTGTACTTACCTCATAGTTGGAGCCCCCAGTGGCGCAGTGGGTTAAACCCTTGTGCTGGCAGGACTGAAGGCCAACAGGTTGCAGGTTCGAATCCGGGGAGAGGCTGATGAGCTCCCTCTATCAGCTCCAGCTCCTCATGCGGGGACATGGGAGAAGCCTCCCACAAGGATGATAAAAACATCAATTCATCGGGCGTCCCCTGGGCAACGTCCTTGCAGACGACCAATTCTCTCACACGAGAAGTGACTTGCAGTTTCTCAAGTCGCTCCTGACACGACAAAAAAACAAAACAAAACACCTCATAGTTACCATATCCTGTATATACCTAATAGATTATAGTTTGTTTTTACCATTTAGAGGTCATAGCATGTGCTTACCACCATAACTATTATTTGCTCTGTACTTCACCATTCTAATTCTGTATCATTTCAATAATCAAACTGCGTCTTTGTAATGCTTTGTTTTGATTCACTTTTCAAGAGCTCTGACTGAAATTCTCTTTGCCTTTGTTCCAGTAAACTTATTTGGTTAATTTTAATCTTGTCTCTAGAGTCTTATTTTAAAGAAATAAAGTACATAAAGGGTATACTGATAGCCGCTGGGGAATAGGCACACACATATAGTTTTCCTTCAATCCCTGGCATGCCATCACAGTAACATTGCTATACCCAAATGCATTTTCTTCAGCCAGAGGCCTTTCTCTTGGTCATATTTCTCTCACAGGCATATTTAGTTGTAACGCTAAAGAAGGGCTTTTGGTTGGAAGCACCGACCTCAACTTTATAATTCAGTGTCTTGTGATAAATATACCTATGGGTATAATGAAACCCTTCCAGTGGAAGGTCCTATTCCTGTAGAATCATAGGGAGTTGGAAGAGACCTCATGGGCCATCCAGTCCAACCCGCTGCCAAGAAGCAGGAAAATTGCATTCAAAGCACCCCTGACAGATGGCCATCCAGCCTCTGTTTGAAAGCTTCCAAAGAAGGAGCCTCCACCACACTCCGGGGCAGAAAGTTCCACTGCTGAACAGCTCTCATAGTCAGGAAGTTCTTCCTAATGTTCAGATGGAATCTCCTTTCCTGTAGCTTGAAACCATTGTAACAGGATGCTATTCCAAAACCAGGTCCAGTTATTCATGGCCATCCTCAATAATGTAACCATTGCAAAAATCTGAAATAGTATGTGGTAGTGACAGTGGTGAAGATGATGGTGATCTCACGTTGTGGAAGTCTGTGGCCATCCCCCCCCCCCCCCCGCATTTCTGATTTATGCCTTAATACAACTTATTGAATGTTAAAATGGAACATGCATTACAATGGAATGGGTATTGAAAAGTATAACTATTTGTGGTCACTTTCTTTGCCAGATAAAAACTTGCTCTCAGCTGCAGATTTCAGGAGTTTTCCCTTCTGCATATTGGTGTGGACAAGCTCTGGTGGATATTCCCTTGCTTTGCATTGTATTTCTCTTAGTGTTTTGGCCTTCGATGATACAAGTGTTCGCTACATATCTTCGTATGACCATGATTACCTGTTTGGTAAGTCTGGCTTAGTATGATTTTCAAAAAAGCAGACAGCACATTTCATGCCTGTTACAAACCTGAACTAATACCACTCACAGGTCTACAGAAGTTAGAGTCAGGACTCTAATGTAAAAGAGGTAATCAGCAGTGATAGTGGGCTAAATAACAGAGAAGCTAGCAAAGGACCAGTCTGTGCACTAAACAAATATGCCAACTTTGGACTTTATCACACCAACCAGCTGTACTGCTACAGTTGCATTGTTGTAGATAAAGGATACATACTGGGTTGAAAATTCTTTTCACGTATTTTTGTTTAGAGTGTAACATTATGTTATAGAAGAGGAATTTAGGGGTCTTTGCCAGGAGGCAGAGACCAATCTGACTCTTTAAAGAGTTCGTTACCCTGGCGAGACAGAGAGAAGCACCCAATCCCTGATTTTTCCCAATAAAAGGTCTCACCAAGTGGAAGGAAGTGCCACCAAGGTTTATTAGCAATTCAGCTGAAAAGGATGCAGAGCAGCAATCATTTGCCAAGCAGAGCATGTGGTTACAGAAGTAAAGGCCATTTTATAGAAAATACAGAGTTGTGAGTTTCAAAATTTCCACTCCCCCCTCCCGCCCTGCTCGAAGGGGATTGGCTGATGCGCAAACAGCTGGGAGGAGGCTTGGCCACTCCCCATGCATCAGGGCCAATCACAGGGCTTTCGTGGGGCACCAAAGCCTATCAGGAGGCTCCTGCTGCCTCGATGCTCCAGCGAATCAGAAGGGAGGGAGGCGGGATGAAGGGAGACAGTGCATTCTGAAGCAGATTATGGAGTTTTAATGTCCTTAGGCTTATCAAGTCTGGGGATCGGCCTTCCAGAGAAGCCACTTTATTGTCCTAAGATGGGCCCAGAATAAGCATTAATGGCTTAATCCGGGTCTTCCTCTTACAATCAGATAGGGCACAAAGGGGAAACTTTTGTGAATGTCCTTGGTGGAAAGATTTGAAAGAAAAACGGCTTGGAGGAAAAGAGGACTTTCCTAAGGTCATATTCCCCCAATTGTTATATGATTAAAAAGGTCTGCCAAACAGAAATCCTAATGGTGGTCCAACTCCGAAAACAAAAGGATTTTCTTTACTATTGTCCATGCAAAGAATGTCCAAAGATAAGGGTCTTTTCATGATCGCTGATTGCTTTTCCAGAGGCAGGGCAGCTTCCTTTATAGATTTCCCCCAAGGAGAGGGGAAGGGGGCAAAAGGGGCAGGGCAAGGTCAAATACATGAAGAGAAATATAGAAATACAGGAGAAAATATGAAAATATAGAAATCATAATACAGAGAGTAAACCCATCTACCTTCCCCCAGTGTCCATAGTTCATATTATTCATCGGAAGGTCCATAAAGAGAAATATATCTATGAAGGGGAAAGAGAGTCCCTTGTTTGTGAGATGGGGGACCATCAGGAGCCCAGGTGTGTCTCAGATGGAAAAATTCAAATACTTTTGTGGCATGTTTTTCAGTAATAAATTGGTTGCCTTCTGCTGTAAACATATGAAAATAGAGTACAAAGCCTTGATCAAATGATACACACCAAATTGACCAAGGCTTAACCCTTATTATCCAGTCTGGTGTCCTTGCCCTTAGCAAACTATAAGTTACTATCTCTTGTGGGGGGGGGGGGTCATGTTCGACTTCAATTATGTGAAGAAAAAATGTGCCTTTGATTCTCCAGTTTCTGTGGGTTTTTTTAAAAACTGCCTTATGTTTGAGTCAAAACAAGAAGGAAAGAGGTAGGAGAGGGAGGATCTGAGCATCTAACACCTGTGTTAATTGTTGGGTGAGTGGGCTTATTAACAAAATACCCTCCCCATAAATTTACAGCAGAGTAACTTATTAGTAGCAGCATGACCCAGCACCAGTAGCCAAAAGTGATAAAAAGAAAAAAAAACCCATACAGACCAATGTTATCTCTTCCTTAGGAGGCTTTTCTTTGTAGTAAAATAATATGGTTGCACTGTTACAAGAAAGAGGTTTCCATAACACAAATAAACAAATACACAGTAGCTTTACACACAGCAGCCTTCACACTGGAGCTTTCTCACATGAGGCTTCTCTCATACCAGGCCTTCCTCATACGGTGGCCTGTCTTACACTGAGGCCTTCTAACACTAACAGGCTAGGTACCACTCCAGCGGGAAGGTAACGATGCTCCATGCAGTCATGCCGGCCACATGATCTTGGAGGTGTCTACGGACAACGCCAGCTCTTCGGCTTAGAAATAGAGATGAGCACCACACTCCAGAGTCAGACATGACTGGACTTCATGTCAGGGGAAAACCTTTACCTTTACCTGTTTACAAGAAAGAGGTTTCCATTACACAAATAAACAAATACACAGTAGCTTTACACACAGCAGCCTTCACACTGGGGCTTTCTTACATGAGGCTTCTCTCATACCAGGCCTTCTTCATACGGTGGCCTGTCTTACACTTCTAACACTAACAGGCTAGGTACCACTCCAGCGGGAAGGTAACGGCGCTCCATGCAGTCATGCCGGCCACATGACCTTGGAGGTGTCTAAGGACAACGGGCTCTTCGGCTTAGAAATGGAGATGAGCACCACACTCCAGAGTCGGACACGACTGGACTTCATGTCAGGGGAAAACCTTTACCTTTACCTGTTTACAAGAAAGAGGTTTCCATAACACAAATAAACAAATACACAGTAGCTTTATTGTTGAATGTGTTTATCTTGATGCAATTGTCTGTATGGTTTCTGTCTGCTAATTGAATGTTTGCCTTATATGTTGGAAACCGCCCTGTGTCCCTTTGGGGAAATAGGATGGTATACAAATGAAGATTATTATTATTATTATTATTATTATTATTATTATTATTATTATTTGTTCACTTCCATTTATTTGAATAGCACTGATAAAAGTTCTAATGTATATGAGGTACATATGGTTTCTAGACATTATATCCCATTAATGAGCCTCTCTTCCTTACAGGTATCATTTCTGCTTGGGTACAGCACATCAGTTATCACATTCCAATATGTGCTTGCCTTTATATTTCGCAAAAAATGGTATCCTAGCAGCTTTTGGTCATTTATCCTCATTTTGGTAAGTGTTTTGCTAGATGTTGATTTGGGGTAAATGAAGGGAAGAGGGGGGGAAAGAAGTGGAGAAATGTGCAGTGGTATGACACAAGGAGCAAGAGAGGTAGACATGAGAAAGGGGAAGGATGTGCGGCATCGCAAGGTGAGGGAATAGGAGATGTAGCAGCAGTCTGAAAAGAACAAAGCATGAGGTGAGTGCAAAAAGGAGAAAAATGAGGGTTGGACCAGTTAGAAGCAGTGAAGGAGGCAATGTCAAAGCAGCAGAGTTCTTCCAGGAGGTGAAGAAACACCTTATGATAATCTTGGGAAATAAGGAGCTGGGAAAGGTCAAGAGGAAGTGTTGATTTTGGTAGAAATTGATCTAAACATTGATAAAAGTGCAATGGGGTTATTTTTGTGATGGGGGGTAGGGTGACTTAGCTAAATATTTATTTGCCTGAGCAGTATAGTAGAGGCATTAGAACTGTTTACTTAGGCCCCATCCACACTGCCTTATATCCCAGGATCGGATCCCAGATTATCTGGCAGTGGAGACTCATATAATCCAGTTCAAAGCAGATAATCTGGGGCAGGCCCGTAGCCAGGATTTTGATTTGGGGGGGGGGGGGGGGCGGAGACTGAATGAAAGAGGATCTACCCTAGCAAACCTTTTGTATCTTTATCCCAATACCCCCATGCATATGGGATATATTGAGCATGGTGATCAGATCATGATATGAATAAACATAACAGTTTAAATAATGTACCAGTAAGGCTTTCTTGCAAAGCACCCTGAGAAGTTCAGGGGGGCAGCTGAAGCCCCTCAAGCCCCCCCCCCCCCCGCCAAATGCCTGATCTGGGATCAGATCCTGAGATATAGGGCAGTGTGGAAGGGTCTCACACTATCTACTATCTATCTATCTATCTATCTATCTATCTATCTATCTATCTATCTATCTATCTATTAATTCATCTACTATCTGTCTGTCTATCATATCCACCCAACCATCCATCTAGTATCTATCTATCTATCTATCTATCTATCTATCTATCTATCTATCTATCTATCTATCTATCTATCTATATCTTCTCCAAGCTGATACCGCAATTCCAAATCCTTATGCTCTTGTCACCTTTCCCCCTTGCATCCCACAATCCCTATGTGGACCAGTGGCTGTTCTGTGAGTTTACTATGGTTAGCATGACCAAATTCTCTGTCAAAACCTAAAAGGAACAGCCAGACATAGTTGCACAATGAATAAGAAACTTCCACTTGTTTATTTATTTAATATACCACGAGATCACACATTAATCCCTGAAGTGTCTTTCCCTTTTCCTCACACTGTGGAGCATAGGAAAAATGAGATGACTACACTGGCCCTTGTGAACGGAGAAAGGCCCAATACTCAAGCTTGGTTCTACCTAATTCAGGTGCTAGATCACAGACTTTGCAGAAAATATTTTTGTATCATGTGATCAGTATGTATATAACTGTTCCATCTTTCATTTTAGGTGACACTGGTTATTATTGTGATCCAATTTGCCCTTTTTCGTCTGACCTTTACGGCTTATGTGCTGATGTTTTTTATTCCTACGTATGGATGTGTCGTCTTTTTGCAATCTTTCTTAACAGTAAGCCAACAGATCAATTTATTGTTCATCCTATATGCACTGAACCGATTTTTCTAATGGAGTAACTTGGTCCATGATAACTATTATGACATCCATTTTAGCTCTGTTGTTAGTTATTGCTAGCATGCGGCTGGAGGTTGGGAGCAGTTTGATGCATTGGGTCATGTCATGACTTTTGCTCAACTTCACTATACAAGTGTTACCTCCCAAAGAGGTACAGACTTAGGTCAAGATACAGATAGGAAAAAGGTTTTCTAGTCCAGTGGTTCCCAACAGGTGGTCTGCAAAAAACAGAGAAGTGGTCCACGGGGGTCTCAAAAATATGCAATATGGCAAGCATACCCTTCACACACACACACACACACACACACTTTTCCTGCTGGCCCTCTCTTCCTCCATCATCCTAAACAGTGTCCTAGCTCCTGTTAGCACTCCAACTCAGAGTCCTCCTCCCCCCCCCCCCCCCCCCCCCCCCGCCCCAGCCAAAAGGAGTTAAGAGCACCCACATGCTTTCTTCCTTTCCCTTGCTTCCACACATAGGAGCCCCCAGTGGTGCAGTGGGTTAAAACACTTGTTCTGGCAGAACTGCTGACCAAAAGGTTGTAGTTCGAATCCAGGGAGCAAGGTGAGTTCCTATCTGTCAGCTTCAGCTTCTCGTGGGGACAGGAGAGAAGTTTCCCTGGAGAGTTTCCCTGGACAGGAGAAAAGTATCTGGGTGTCCCCTGGGCAATGTCCTTGCAGATGACCACTTCTCTCCCACTAGAAGCGACTTGCAGTTTCTTAAGTCGCTCCTGACATAAACACACACACACACACACACACACACAAGGAATCAGTGATGAAGGAACATTCAACTGACAACTCCTATGACAAATGACTTGTATCATGACCTGAATCATGACCTGATTCTGAATTCCTATAGTACATTACTATATATATTTTAAGTTAAGCTGAATTGATCCTGTTTAATTGCTCTGTTTCCTATGCTATTATATGTTTCTATCCACCTTATTGAACCACCTTATCCTTTAACCAGCTCGCATAGTGGTCCTCCTTCCCCCACCCCTCCAAAATTAGTCTGTTGTTTCTTTTGATACTTGTTTATTATTGTCGTGCTGTTTTATGCTGTTTTAATTTGTTATTGTTTTGTTTTAATTGTATTTTGCCTTGGGTTTGGCCCCATGTAAGCCACCCGAGTTCCTTCGGGGAGATGGAGGCGGGGTAGAAAAATAAAGAAGTTGTTGTTGTTGATGTTGTTGTTGTTCTTCTTCTTCTCCTCCTCCTCCTCCTCCTCCTCCTCCTCCTCCTCTTCCTCCTCCTCCTCCTCCTCCTCCTCCTCCTCCTCCTCCTCTTCTTCTTCTTCTTCTTTTTCTATCTCACTTTTACTGACCTGCAAGCTTTAGCTGCTTCCTCCTCCTTGCAATCCAGTTTGTGAGCGAGGTTTCCTTCCTTACCTCAAGATCAGGTAAAGTATGAAGAATACAACTCCCAGTATTGGATCCTTCTTTCCTTCTTTGCTCTTGTGGAGGCTGCTGCTGCCAGAACCATGTTTGCATCTCCTTCTTGCAACCCAGCTGTTCCTGCAAATGAGGCTCTGGCAGGAGCAACTTCAAGCCTAGGCAAGGAAAGAAGGATCCAATGCCTCTCTTACCACCCGCTTCCTTTGCTCAACATTTGATCCTTCCTTCCCTACATGCTCTTAAGGAGACTGCGGCCAGTGCCCCATTTGCAGTCCCCTCCTTGCAACCCATCCCCTGCCACCTGGGCCTTCAAGGGAGGAAGGGTCCAATGCTGGGCAAAGGGAAGAAGCAGGAATGATGGCATTGGATCCTTCATTTTACCAGCTTTTGAGACAAGGAAGGAAGCCCCATTTTGTTTCATGTCAGTGGTATCGAGCAATTTAGAATGACAGTGAATAGTGAGATCCAAGCCACTGTGAGTTTAGCCTAGTGAGAAAAGAAGCCAATATTCCAGAATAAATCTCACCAAGTTGAAGCAGAAGCCACTGAGATATTTTCTTTAATTTCAGTTGAAAGTGATGCCAGCCTGCGGTAATCCGCTTCCAAAATAGGCTGAGATGCATAACACAGTAAAACATGCACTTTTACACATTTTCCCAAAAGGGAAATTTACACAATTTCCCACGCCTGATTCCCTAAGCTGGCTTTGCTGTAAGTGGTCAGGGGACTAACTGACACCAGTGAGCTGGGAGGAGTGGCTGGGGGCTGGTGCATCTCAGCCAATGAGAGCCCAAGCCCTGCTTCAGCCGCTCAGGCAATGGTGAGAGAGGAGGTGCGGCAGCAGTAGAAACAAAGAAAATAGTTGTTTAAATGGTTGGATTATGACTAGCCCTTCTCGGGCCCATTGATGATGTGATCTGGGCAATTGCTGAGAGCCCTCAGGCCCGACCTAGCTATTGACATGGGGGTTGGAAACAACATTTTTGACTCAAATAATGATGGATCTGGACCAAATTTGACACAAATACTCAATATGCCCAAATGTAAACACTAGTGGAGTTTGGGGAAAATAGATCTTGACATTTGCGGGTCATTCTGGACCCCACCAACGATAGAATTGGGCCAAACTTCCTGCACAGAAACCCACATGACTAACAGAAAATACTGTGTTTTCTGATGGTCTTTGATAACCCCTCTGATAACCCCTTGTGACCCCCCAGGGGTCCCAATCCCCAGGTTGAGAAATGCTATTTTAAATTATGGTGACAGCAACAGTAACGATAACATTAATTCATATTGGCCTTTCCACCAAATAGTGCATTATCAAACATATACAATCAAAAACAAAGACAATACAGTGTAACACTACAAATATACATAAAATCCCCACCCATCTCAACATCCTCAAACTTAACTCAGCAGGTTAATACTGTGCACCAAGGAGGAAGACCTTCAATCCATTCCAGGAACAGGTGACATTCTCCTTCATTCAAATATCTAAGGCAGTGGTTCTCAACATATGGGTCCCCAGATGTTTTGGCCTTCAACTCCCAGAAATCCTAACAGCTGGTAAACTGGCTGGGATTTCTAGGAGTTGTAAGCCCAAACACCTGGGGACCCACAGGTTGAGAACCATTGATCTAAGGGAAGACCACAGATACAGAGCCAAATCTTGAAAGGCTCATATCCATGACATTGCTGCGTCCATCAGTGAAACAGACATTCCTAGGTGGTGTTTATCATCTTCTTAAATTAATGCAATAAATACATACTATACATGTTTGCTGAGCTGTTGTGGCCCAGGTAAGTAAAGCACAGAGCCATGCAGAAGGAATTATTATTATTATTATTATTATTATTATTATTATTATTATTATTATTAAACTTTATTTGTACCCCGATAGCATCTCCGGAAGGACTCAATGCGGCTTACAAAGGCCGAGGCCTCAACACAACACAGCATAAAACAATACAACTCAAAGCAAATCAAAAACATAAAGCAAGATCAACAAAACATTACACCATAGACATTACACCATAGGATTTGAATAGGCAGTAGAATAGGATTTGAATAGGCAGCAGAATAGGCAGCCCATGAAGGAATCTATGAATATTTAGATATTACATACTTCAAACTGATGTGTTTTTAATGGTATTTGTTTTATTTTAATTTGTTGTTTCCTGCCTTGATGCATAGGCAGACACAGGTAAGAAACAATAATGACTATATTACAATACTATCATGTATTACTGTGCTGTTGCTATCGAGATTTTGTTTAATTAAGGTGGAGATGTAGACACAAGTGACCATGCTTGCCCTAAAATCATGCCCATTCAAAAGCCCTGATGTTCTCTAGGAGATTGATCAAGTGTTAACCATAACATCAGCTTTGAAATACATCAGAAAATAATTGGAAGGTAGCTTGGCATATGACAGAGCAGGCAAAGAGCGGAATTGGGAACCTAAGTCTTATCTCCCCTCTTCCCCATGCAGACACGATTGGAAAAGTGCAAATTGAACAAAACTGGGTTCAATGTTCTACACATAAGATTAGCTAGATCATGGAAGCCCTCTGGACCTTCTGGAGAACATTGAAAACTCTTCCCATCCATTTGCAAAAGAGTATTGTTTACTGTATTGTCGAAGGCTTTCATGGTAGATAGTTTGTATGTTGTGTTTCCTCATCAGCTTCCCTATGCTGTCAGCTGGAATGTGTCCAGAGGAGAGCGACTAAAATGATAAAAGGTCTGGAGAACAAGCCCTATGAGGAGCGGCTTGAGGAGCTGGGCATGTTTAGCCTGAAGAAGAGAAGGCTGAGAGGGGATATGATAGCCATGTATAAATATGTGAGAGGAAGCCACAGGGAGGGAGCAAGCTTGTTTTCTGCTTCCCTGGAGACTAGGACGCGGAACAATGGCTTCAAACTACAAGAGAGGAGATTCCATCTGAACATTAGGAAGAACTTCCTGACTGTGAGAGCCATTCAGCAGTGGAACTCTCTGCCCCGGAGTGTGGTGGAGGCTCCTTCTTTGGAAGCTTTTAAACAGAGGCTGGATGGCCATCTGTCAGGGGTGATTTGAATGCAATATTCCTGCTTCTTGGCAGGTGGGTTGGACTGGATGGCCCATGAGGTCTCTTCCAACTCTTTGATTCTATGATTCGCAAAACCATTGGTTCCCTTGATGTATGGCAAGAACACTTTTCCTCTGGGTGGATCTTTGTCTTTACTCTTGTGGCTTGTTCTCGGTCTTGCAGCTCTTCTGATGTCTGAGGTGGAGTATCCATTGGCCTGGAGTATACATTGGGAACCACTGACCGTATAGGGAAGCTGATGAGGAAACACAACATACAAACTATCTACAGATCCACCAAGAAAATCCAACAAATGCTACGTTCAGCAAAGGACAAGAGGGATCCTCTCACTTCTGCAGGAGTCTACCATATACCATGCAGCTGTGGACAAGTCTACATAGGGACCACCAAACGCAGCATTGCCCAACACACGAATCAAGGAACATGAAAGGCACTGCAGACTACTTCAACCAGAGAAGTCAGCCATAGCAGAGCACCTCATGAACCAACTTGGGCAAAGCAGATTATTTGAGAACACAGAAATGCTGGACCACTCTCACAACCACCATGTCAGACTACACAGAGAAGCCACTGAAATCCACAAGCATGTGGACAATTTCAACAGAAAGGAGGAAACCATGAAAATGAACAAAATCTGGCTACCAGTATTAAAAAAAACCTCTAAAGTTACAACAGCAAAACAACAGAGGGGAAACAATCAGGCACTTCTAATCATTTCTCAATAAAAGATCACCCCAGGCACTGCCAGGCCATCAAATGCTAATCAAGGAGGTCAGTTGAAACATTCACACCTAGCTCCAGCAGACAAGAGTCCTTTGTCCCACACTGGTCATTCCACAGATATATAAACCCAATTTTCCTAGTTCCAACAGACCTCACTACCTCTGTAGATGCTTGCCATAGATGCAGGAGAAACGTCAGGAGAGAATGCCTCTAGAACATGGCCATATAGCCCGAAGAAACCTACAACAACCCAGTATTGCTTACCTCATTATACAGAAAGGATTAAAGCAATTTTTTCCAAGGACACTGTATAGTTTCCAAACATCATTACTGGTGATGCCTTATTTAGTATCAGAGAAAACGATCTATGTTATCAACTTTGTTCTCTTACAGTTACAGCGCCTGTTTAGTCCTGAAGACGAGAAATGGTACACTAGTACTATAAAGCTACTGTGGGGCACCTCCTTTATGGTGAGTAATTAATGTGTGCATGTGGGAAAGAAATAAAAAACAAGGAGTCCTCCAATAGTTAAAATGTACTTGTGTGATCAGTTTTGAATTTAGTGGCTCTTTCTGAAGGAGGACTCCTTTCCCAGGTGAAGATTATGGGCAGGTTTTCTAGAGAAGGCCTTGAACTTTTTCTACCTGCAACCTCTTTTTACCTGAAAATGTTTTATGTGACCTCATAACAGGTTATATAGGTATATAAAATAGTTCCACAAATTAAACATTTATAGATAAGAAATCATAAATAAATTTGTTTTAAAACCATATTATTATTATTATTATTATTATTACTTTATTTGTACCCCGCTAGCATCTCCCACAGGACTCGATGCGGCTTACACAGGCCGAAGCCTCAAAACACAGTACAACAAAACACAGTATAACAAAACAATACCTAAAGCAAATTAAAAACAGTTAAGCAGCAAAACAACAGCAATAACAATACGTCAAGACACTTTAAAACTGGGCCGGCCAGAGTAGTGGGTACAAGATTAAAAGTGCTGAAATGGCAGGAGGAATGTAGGATTATAAAGTAAGTGCAGTGTGCGGTGTGCAGTGATCTTAGTTCTACTAAAGTGCTTCAAAGACTTGGTATTAGGGTTCCTAATCTGAGAAAGCACATCGGAACAGCCAGGTTTTCAAATTCTTTCTGAAGACTGCCAATGTAGGGGCCTGTCTAAGATCTTTTGGGAGGGCGTTCCAAAGTCGGGGGGCCACCACAGAAAAGGCCCTGTCTCGCGTCTCCACCAAGCGCGCTTGCGACGCGGGCGGGATCACGAGCAGGGCCTCTCCAGATGACCTAAGTGAGCGTGTGGGTTCGTAGACGGCGATGCGGTCACGCAGGTAGGGTGGTCCCAAACCGTTCAGGGCTTTGTAGGTAAGCACCTGCACCTTAAATTGGGCTCGGAAAATAAATGGCAGCCAGTGGAGCTCCTTAAACAGGAGGGTTGACCTCTCTCTGTAATGAGCCCTGGTTAGCATCCTGGCTGCTGCCCGTTGGACCAGTTGGAATTTCCGAGCCGTTTTCAAGGGCAGCCCTACGTAGAGCGCATTGCAGTAATCCAATCTAGAGGTGATCAAGGCATGGACCACCCCGGCCAGATCCGCCTTCGCGAAGTACGGTCGCAGCTGGCGCACAAGTCTCAGTTGTGCAAAAGCCCTCCCGGACACCGCCGACACCTGAGCCTCAAGGCTCCTCAGGCTCCAAGGCAGGAAGAACCTCAAGATTCCTAAATATGTATCTAAAAAGCGCATTTGTATACTAATGGAATTGATGTGCTTGTTTATTTTTATAACAAAGAATTAAATCTTGGTGGAATATTTGATACTGTAGGGCAGGGGTCCTCAAACTAAGGCCCAAGGGCTGGATGCGGCCCTCCAAGGTCATTTACCCGGCCCTCACTCAGGGTCAACCTGTCTGAAATGACTGGAAAGCATACAACAACAACAACATAGTTTAAGAAGCTTTGCTCCAGAAAATCCTGCAAGTGACGCTTTGCTTGCTATCCCGGGACAATGAGTGTCACAACAAGGATTCATGTGTAATCATTGACTATTGCAGCAGAGTGGGAAGTTGAACCAGATGCAGAGGTGGCCCTAGGTAATTTTCAATGGTAAACAAACAGTATTTTGGCGCCTCCCCCCTCCCCAACCAATCACTGATATATATTTTCTGTTCATCATGGGAGTTCTGTGTGCCATATTTGGTTCATTTCCATCATTGGTAGAGTTCAGAATCCTCTTTGATTTTAGGTGAATTATACATCCCAGTAACTACAACTCACGGTCTATTTTCCCCCAAGACTGCCTCAAGAGCACCCCTGGGCAAAATCAACTATACTGCGAATGCTTACTTTGCGTAATGGGTTGAGCCGCCCCTGACCAGATGGCCCTTATGATCCTAGTTCATGTGTTTTTTGCAATGTAGAAAAGGTGGTATAAGGTGCCTTATTGCACAATGTCATTCACTGATGCCTCACAATAACAGAGAGTGCAACTCTACCAATTTCTCAGGCATGGGAGTGTGCTAAGGCACATTCTGACTGTCCTCGTTCACTAATGACATTATCATACTAGGGCTTGAAAGTGGGCAGCCTTGTATTTTGGGCTTGTTTTGCCACCTGCAGAATTCTGGGAAATGTAGTTTAGGAAGGTGAGGACCCCTGTAGCTGAGAATTCAAAAGGCCCCACCCTAAACTACATTTCCCAGAATTCTGCAGATGGCAGAAGAAGCCTAAAATGTGGGGATGCCCACTTTAATGCCATATTATGATAATGTGGTTGGAGAAGAAATGGAAGCTTTATGCTGGAAGTGGAGGGTTATAATGATAATAATAAACCTTTATTTATACCCCGCTACCATCTCCCGAAGGACTCGATGCGGCTTACAAGAGGCCGAGCCCAAATACATCAGTAAAAACAACAACAGCAATACAGACAATAAATAAACTCATAAACAAAGCAATAAACAGTAACAATAACACCGCGACGCAATTAAAAACCAATGGCAGGGCCAAATGTAATAAATAATTTTTTTTAAAATGCTGGGCATGACAAGGTGACATATAACTAGGATAGGTATTTGGAGAGAGATGGAGCGAGTTCATGGTGTTAACCCTAATGCTGATCAGTGGGTGAGGGGATGAAGCTGTACCTAGAGAGCTCTCTAGGAAGGAAGGGGAGAAGTGGGAGCAGCCTCTACCTTCCAGCATGGGTCCACCTCTGGGGACATGCACTCTGAGAGTGTGTTTTTTTGATCTCATCCTGTGACATCCCAATCTGATGTGACTCCAGGTACAGATACCTTACGCCATAATTGAGAGAGAGCAGTGTAATGATTATGAATATATTTTTGTAGGGCATTGTCACATAAAGGAGGCAAACTGCTATTGAAGCATATACTTCGTGCATTTTGTTGTGGCTCTGCCCCCTCCACTTTATTTATTTATTTATTTATTTGCAGTATTTATATTCCGCCCTTCTCACCCCATCCACTTTATTTATTTATTTACAATCAAAGAGCATTCTGGACCCCATCCAGAATATATTCCAGCCTTCTCACCCCACAGGGGACTCAGGGCGCATTACAATGAACACATACATGGCAAACATTCAATGCCATAGACACACAACACATATAGACAGACAGTCAAAGGCTATTTAACATTCCAATTTTCTGGCCACCAGGGGAGCTGTTGCTTCATCATCCATCTGCAACACTGATGAAGTACTTTCCGCATTCCCCGCATGCTTTTGCTGGAGATTTGGCCTCGTAAATTTGTTAAATTAGCCTCCCCAAACATAGGTGTTACCTAAATTTCCTACTTGACAGATGCAACTGTCTTTCGGGTTGCAAAGGTCAACAACAAGCTACACAAATTGGCCGGAAGCTCACTCCAACCCAGGCTGGCTTTGGACTCATGACCTTTCGGTCAGTAGTGATCTTAATGCAGTGATCCACAATCCTCCTGCTGTTGGCAGGAAAAACACCCAATAGCTGCAGATCACACCATATTCCCATCACTCACCCAGTGTAATGAGCCTTTTCTGCTTCTGTGTTGGTATGCTGGAACTGAAGTGATGTCCAATGGCAGGATTCTCCATCTCTCCCACTCTCTGTCTTGTCCTTGCTACACCCGAGGATTTGATTTCAAGTTTCATTTATATAAGTTGTAGTTAAAATTTCAAAAAAATATGAAATCAACATAGAGGAAGGTAGAGCTATATGGCAGGGCTGGGCAACCACGGAAAAATTTGTTTCTAAAATCGATTCATTTTTTGGGCGTTTTTGCGTTTCGATTTTTAAAAGAATTCCGAAATTTTTCTTTTAAAAAGTTCGATATTTACAAAATTTCGTAAATTACGAAACAATTACGAAACAATTACGAAACAATTACGAATTGATTCGTTAATGGCGGACGCGACCGCGCAATATGCTAAAAAACCTCCAAATGGGACAGGGGGAACTTCTGAAGCTTCCCTCTCCCTCTGTTGTTGACTGTTGGTGTGATATTTATAATTTTTTTTCACTGATTAAACAAACAACAACTATAAAACTTGCCCCAGACATGTGGAAATAATAACAAAACAATTTCAAAACGATAACGAAACGAATACAAAACGAATCCGAAGGAATTACGAAACGAATTTTAAAATTCGTTTCGTTTTTAGATGCTCCTGAATGGTTCGTTATCGCTTCGTTATAAAAAAATAACGAATTTTTAACGAATTACGAAATTACGAAACGAAACCGCCCAGCCCTACTATATGGGTATATTGAAGCACGACCACATGGCTATGGATCAGCAAATCAGTGCAGTTGTGCAAATGTAGAAAGGTGTCTTAGCAAGACTGCTCATCCCAATATGTTGCCACTATTGATGATAACACAACTGCCATAGAATAGCAGCTTCATGTGATAATGTCAACAGAATGAATAATTGAATCTTAGAGTTGGAAGGGCCATCTGGTTCAACCTCCTGCCATACAGGATGCATAGCCAAAGCACTCCTGAAAGATACCCATCCAGCCTCTCTTTAAAGATATGTCCTCAAGGCCTTGGTCAATTCTTATCACTGGTTCTTCCATAAATGATTGTGTACTGTATTGATACAGAAATGTAACCAGGCACAAAATTATGTGTATTCAACTAAAGTAATTAGGGATATCTATACATTGGTTGAAAAAATATTTTTTTCTGTTCTGTTTTCACATAGCCATATCTCAGCTGTGCAGCTTTCATGTTATTACTTTGGTGGCTGGTGAGGAAATATAGCAAGCCAGTTATGAGAAGAGATCCTGTCTTTAGGTTTGTACAGGTCTGTTCATATGCTCATGCAGACAAACGTAGTGATGGAAAGACTGCTCTTATGAAATAATGAAATAATGACTTATAAGCACACACTTTTGATAGCCACAGGTTCTGTTTTCAGTGACTTGTTTTCCTTGTTCAACACCCAGTAATGTTTTGCCATCATTTTATTCATTTGATTAGGAACATGTCTCTAACCTTTCGGTCACTGGTTGTTGTGTGATGAATTATGTTTTAAATTATGTTTTTATGGTGTTTGTATATGTATTTTTATTGTGTTATATTTTAACTCTGTTGACTGGGTTTGGTCCCCATGTAAGCTGCCCCGAGTCCCTTTGGGGAGATAGTGGCAGGATATAAAAATACAGTTGTTGTTGTTGTTATTTGAAACACAACAAATGAGTCCACAGCAAACAGGATCATTCTGCAGGCTGTTGTATTGGATCTCATGTCAGACACTTCCCAAGTGTCTAGGACTGTGTGATATATCAGCGAATAATGTGTGCAGATCCCAGTAAGGTGGCCTTTTGCAGCTGGCAGATGGTAATTTTGTCAACGCCGATTGTGTTTAAGTGCAGGCCAAGGTCTTTAGGCACTGCACCCAGTGTAACGGATCACCCCTGGGACCACCTTTACTGGCTTGTGCCAGAGTCTTTGCAGTTCAATCTCTTTTCCAGTTGTTTTTCTTCAATCCTGCTGTTGTCTGGAATTGCAATATCAATCCATATTTTGTTTTTTAACACAATTGTGAGGTCAGGAACTCCAAAACTCTGTCTGTCTGAATTTGAAAGTCCCAGAGTAGTAGTAGTAGTAGTAGTAGTAGTAGTAGTAGTTATTATTATAAACCCCTGTGCTGGCAGGACTGAAGACCGACAGGTCGCAGGTTCGAATCTGGGGAGAGGCGGATGATCTCCCTCTATCAGCTCCAGCTCCTCATGCGGGGACATGAGAGAAGCGTCCCACAAGGATGATAAAAACATCAAAATCATCCAGGCGTTTCCTGGGCAACGTCCTTGCAGACGGCCAATTCTCTCATACCAGAAGCAACTTGCAGTTTCTCAAAATTATTATTATTATTATTATTATTATTATTATTATTATTATTATTATTATGTCCATGTTATTATATCATGCTTTATTTATATTTTTAAGAATGAAGAAGTATAATAAGTGATTAAACTTTATCTACATGATGGCAGCATGTTATTTCATTGTTATGGTGGAAAAGAAATGTAGTGCTACATGTTGACTTTCATATATCTTTTATGAAACATGTTGGTACTTTGTGTAATACAGGGGTTAAAATAATCTTACATAGGCACAATATCCCATTGTCTTCTAAATTTAGCTGTTGATTTCTTAAAGAGTTAAACTACACTCATAGATAATACTGTAATTAAGGATATTTGAAAATGCCACTTTTTGTTTCATGGCGATTATTTCTAACTCAAAAATAGAATTAACATATTTGGGACAATTTTTCACAACCAAAAATATTAATGATGTTAACATTATATCATAAGGACAGGATTTTCTGAGTTGATAGTCATTCAGATTCTGGCTTTATTATGGATCATTAATTCCTTCCCTCATGGAAAATGGTGTATACTCTTTAGTATGCTGTAATTTCAACCTTTTTGTGATGCCTTTGATCTGCAGAATTTCTCCCCAGAGCCAGAGCGTCCATCAGAATCCCGAAGAGCCCAGTGAAAATGATAGAGATGTTAAAGAGGAAAGGGCAAGAGCTCAAACTGCCCTGGCATCTGTAAATCAGGAAGAGGTAAAACATGCAGTTTTTATGTATTGAGATACTTTCATAAACCACTTATACTGTATCTCAAAGCAGTATACACAAATGCAACTGTCAAAAGATATACAACTTAAAACCATAATCAAAATTTAAACATGATACTTACAATGCCTTTGAAAGAGGCAATGTACATAGGTTTTGAACTGTTATTTTGCATGATTCCAAAGTATTGAGCCATGGTAGTTGAAGAGGTGTCTAACTGTATTGATTCTACAGTGTAGATTAGGCATGGGCAAATCCAGGCTGGTGGGCCGGACATGACCCTTTGGGCTCTTTGCCCCTACTTGTCTGCTTCGGCCTCCCCTTCAGTATGTGGATGCAATGGCCCAGGCCTGTCACTGAACATTGAGAAAACCAAAGTGCTCTTCCAGCAGTCACCAGCCAATCCCTCTCCAATGCCAGAGATACAGATTAATGGTGTAACATTAGAAAATGTTGATCATTTCTGCTACCTTGGCAGCCACCTCTCCACCAAAGTCAACATTGACACCGAAATACAACACCACCTGAGCTCTGCAAGTGCAGCATTTTTCCGAATGAAGCAGAGAGTGTTTGAGGACCAGGACATCCATAGGGATACCAAGGTGCTTGCTTAGAAAGCTATTGTCCTCCCAACCTTGCTGTATGCCTGCAAAACATGAGCAGTCTACAGATGTCACATGCAACTCCTGGAACGATTCCATCAGCGCTGCCCCCGGAAAATCCTGCAAATCTATTGGGAAGACAAGTGGATAAATGTCAGCGTGCTGGAAGAAACAAAGACCACCAGCACTGAAGTGATAGTCCCCTGCCATCAACTTCACTGGACCGGCCACATTATCTGGATGCCTGACCACCGTCTCCCAAAGCAGTTGCTCTGAACTCAAGAATGGAAAACAGAATGTTGGCGGGCAGGAAAAGAGATTTAAAGATGGGCTCAAAGCTAACCTTAAAAATTCTGGCATAGACACTGAGAACTGGAAAGCCCTGGCCCTTGAGCGCTCCAGCTGGAGGTCAGCTGTGACCAGCAGTGCTGCAGAATTTGAGGAGGCGTGAATGGAGGGTGAAAGAGAGAAACATGCCAAGAGGAAGGCACGTCAAGCCAACCCCGACCAGGACCGCCTTCCACCTGAAAACGAATGCCCTCACTGCGGGAGATGATGCAGATCAAGAATAGGGCTCCATAGTCACCTACGAACCCACCCTGGAAGATTATCCTACTCGGAATTTGCCCTTGCCTGGTGTAGATTTATTCAGTATGTTCCCCCAGAGTGAGATAGATTGGCATCCTAATTTGATAAAACACAACCTCCTATCTTTCTGTCCTTGTCTAGAGGCCGTTTTGACTGTGGTCAGTTGAGGCCAAAAGAGAATAATATGAAATGGCTGTGCATAAGTGACATAAGTAAACTTCTTTCTTGTTTTCCCGATTTAGAAACCAGTTGTCCTTGTCCACAACCTGCGCAAGGAGTACAGAAGCAGGAAGAGCTGCTCCTGTTTGAAGAACAAGTCAGGAGGCAAAGTGGCCACTAGAACTGTCTCATTTTGTGTTAAAAAAGGTTAGATGACCAGAAAAATAGTGTTTTGGTGTTTCAGAAAATAAAATTGATCAGGGAAAAAGGAAATGACTTTGGACTGGATTCAGAGTTAGGGCTATGGACAGTTTTTCCTCCTGCAGCAAAAAATGCGATGAACAAGTCCAACTATGAAGAGCTGGTGAACCTTTTCCTTTAGTTCTTTAGAAGGCAAATATTATATCTACTTCTATAATTTTGTCATAATTCACAGAAGTATTTGAGTTATTGGCTCAAAGGAACCCCCGGTAGTGCAATGGGTTAAACCCTTGTGCCGGCAGGACTGAAGATCGACAGGTCACAGGTCCGAATCCAGGGAGAGTGCAGATGAGCTCCCTCTGTCAGCTCCAGCTCTCCATACAGGGACCTGAGAGAAGCCTCCCACAAGGATGGTAAAACATCAGTACATCTGAGCATCCCCTGGGCAACATCCTTACAGATGGCCAATTCTCTCAGTTTCTCAAGTCTCTCCGGACACGCAAAAAAAAAAAAAGGCTAAAAATATGATTTCTTTTCTTCGCACTGTAAGAGAATCCAATAGGCAAAAGAGAAGTTTTAACACTGCAATCATAAGTCCCACTGAATTCAATGATTGAATCTTCTAGGATTGAGGGTTGAATGAAAAGTAATGCCTCCACCTTCATTAATCAGGTTTGGATGGGAATATTTTAATAAATCAAACGCAGAAATAATCCTTAGAATGTGCTCTTTAACTACCACTATTCACTTTTCCACATAATCACCAGACAATTGGATACATTTCTGCCAATGATGAACAAGTTTTCTGAAGCCGTCACGGAAGAAGTCGACACTCTGTTTCCGCAACCAGCATCTCACAGTTCTCTCAATGTCTTCATCAGAAGCATAATGTTGTCTCCGCAGATCTTCTTTCATTATCGGGAACAGACGGTGCTAAATCTGGACTGTATGGAGGATGTCATACGGTGGTGGGATCCAGTCTCTGAAGTTTGCTCTGGTGGCATGTGAAGTGTGTGGTTTGGCATTGTCATGCTGCAGGAAAACATTTCCCTTTTCCTTTTGGACCCTTGTTAGCCATCATTTCAAAGTTCGCAGCATTGTGATGTAACGCTCTGAATTTATTGTTGTTCCACGTTCAAGGAAATCAACATGGATAACACCATCTGCATCCCAGAACACTGTTGCCATGATTTTTCCAGCTGAGGGCTGTGTCTTGAATTTGTTTTTCTGGGACGAGTCTTTGTGTCGATATGCCATAAACTGATGCTTCATCTCCGGGTTGTAATGGTGTACCCACTTTCATCTCCTGTCACAATTGATTGGAGAAAGGCGTCACCTTCATTCTCATAATACGAGAGGAATTCCTGGCAAATTTCAAGTCTGTGTGCTTTCATTTCACGTGTTAGCATCCTGGGTACCCATCATGCACAGATCTTCCAATAGCCAAGCAAAGCAATAATGTGACCCACACGTTCTTGTGAAATGCCGATTATGCTTGAAATTCCTCTCTGAGTGATATGATGATCTTCTCAAATCAATCTGTCAACCTTTTGCTTGTGAAACTCAGTGGTTGTTGTCACAGAGCATCCAACTCTTTGTTTGTCACTCAAATCATGTTCCCACCCCAACATCTTTAAACTTACTCACCCAATGACGCACAGTACTCATATCAACACAATCACCATAAACAGCTTGCATTCTCTGATGAATCTCCTTTGGGGTGACACCTTCTGCTGTCAAGAATTCAATGACTGCATGTTGCTTGTCGCATTGACTGACCGTCTGCGCAGGGTTCCATACATCACACTTGAACAACACAACCGTTCAATGCTAAGGCTTCCTGCCAAAATGGAACTGTAGAGGAGAGTCTACTGAACAAGCCTGTACCTGCCACATACCAGGACTGCCATCTGTTGAGGAGTTACAAAGGTGGAGGCATTACTTTTCATTCAACCAATGGATCTAAGCTCAATTCTAGATCCATTCTAGAAGGGCGAGAGCAAATGAAACAGCACTTGCAGAGTCTTTCCATTCATTTGGATCCATTTCTATTTTCATTATTTCAATATGGGTGTTGTTATTTTATCAAAAATGAACAAACATACACAGTTTATTTTTCTGGTGTAATCACAACAAAATGATATTGTGGGATCTTGGTATCTGCTGGGATTTAGTCCCAGATCACCCATGGAAACCGAAATCTGTGGATGCTCAAGCCCATTAGATATAATGGCACAGTAAAAAGGCATCCCTTATACAAAAATGGCAAAATCAGAGCTTGATTTTAAGATCATTTCTTTTCTTGGAATATTTTCAAGCCGGGAATGGTTGAATCTGTGGACACAGAATCTGTTCATAGCTTGACCTCTCACTATCTCAGCCACTTCCTCCTACACAGGTTCTGAACTGAATGTAAGATTTATGGCCACTTCAAGGACTTCATCAGACAGCCTTTGGGGTTTGTTTTCATGGACTTAGAAAATAGAGCCCAACAGGAGTCCCACGAAGACCATCACATGATGTGAGGGCACTTCCGGTGGGACTCTGTGGTGCTCTGTTTCCTAAGCACATGGAAACAGTCTCTGAAGACTATCTTTGTTTGTTTGTTTGTTTGTTTTACCACATTTATATCCCGCCCTTCTCAACCCCAAAGGGGACTCAGGGCAACCTTACAACTCTTTGGGTGTTACCTGACTCCAAACTAGAGAAAGCAGGTTGGGGGGGGGGGGGGAGAATACAGGGAAAGGTGCAGAAATGACATGGGATGGGGAGAGATGGGCGGAAACGGGTTAAGACATTTCGGTCCACCTTCCCCTGCCTTCTACGTGCCTGTCTGATGATCCTTACTTTATTGTGGTAAGTTATTAGTGAATGGACTACTTTTATTTAGAAAAGCATATCGTAGGTATACCCGATGAAGATGATCATTGGTGCTCCCAGGACTGCTTCTACATCATGTACATACCGGGAAAGGAGTGCACACTTTTATCCTTGGATCCAGCCATAAGATCTCAATTTGTTGGCCCTTGTACTGTGTGTTTCTCTGTCCAGTGATCAGTGGGGCATCCAATCAAGTAATTCAAGACTGAAATATTTCTTACAAATTTTTTAATATCAGTGATTTTTATTTTGCTTGTTATTACATTGTATTTGAGTATCATTGATTCAAACAACAGGTATTTGTTGTTTATTTTAGAAGTTTTAGGGCTATTGGGACCCAATGGAGCTGGTAAAAGTACAACAATTAGCGTGATAACAGGAGACACAAATCCAACAGCTGGACAGGTAAGTGTTGCCAGTTTTGAAAATGATTTCATTTAAAAGCAAAATCAATTAATTAATATTTAATTAAATATTACATAAGGAGCCCCTGGTGGCACAGTGGGTTAAACCACTGAGCTGCTGAACTTGGTGACTGAAAGATTGGTGGTTTGAATCTGGGGAGTGGGTGAGCTCCCACTGTTAGCCCCAGCTTCTGCCAACCTAGCAGTTTGAAAACATGTAAATGTGAGTGGATCAATAGGTACCGCTTCTGCAAAAAGGTAACGGTGCTCCAGGCAGTCATGCCAGCCACATGACCTTGGAGGTGTCTATGGACAATGCTAGCTTTTCAGCTTTGAAATGGAGATGAGCACCAACCCCCAGTCGGACATGACTAGATTTAATGTCAGGGGAAACCTTTACTTTTAAAAATATTACGTAGTCTGTGTAAAAATATATTATTGTACAAAGGATGTAAGTTTTGTTCAAGTTGGTGGGAATTCCTTCTGAGTTGGAAAAGAATAGGATTGTTTTGTAAAACTATTTCTGAAATATTTTTTCTCAACTTGATCAAGCAGTTTGTTTTTACATGTGTAATATGTTAGTCACATATGAAAGAAACATAAACCCTCTATTAGGTTAATTACATTATATTAATATACAACTTTTGTAATTAAATTGACTTCAGAAATTAAATCTATATATTGAGATAACAACTATACGCAAAAATAATGTCTCAGAGCCTGTACAAGACATACCAGATCATGTTCTGATCATGGTTCAATGGTCTAAACTGCAGATTTACCTTTAATTATATCAGCAATAGTTTACAGGGTTCCACAAAGGAAAACTTGTATGTATTTCTACACATAGTTGAAGTTGTCAGAAGAAGCCTTGTTTAAAGGGTTGAGAACCCTTTAGTGAAGTTTTGTCCACAGACTGAAAAAAGAATCCCTGCTGTTGGCCTAGACCAAATCAGATTGTATATATCAGTGTTTGAAGATGCCTTGCTGTATGTGTCTTTATTTTATCCTGAAAATGTTTATTTCAATTTCACAGACAGTGGATCTCAAATTGGTTCTTTTTCGTTACATATTTCATTATTTGCTATCTGATCTACCTAATATTGCTTTTATGTGATTGACAGCCTTCTCATACAGGCTGCCGGAAATGCCACACCAGAATTGGCAAGCGTTGGCTACCTGACTTCCCCTCATTGTTGCTAGTGCAACATGGGAAGCCTTCCATTTTGTTTCCATGGTGGCATATGCCAATTCCGTGATAGTTTAGCTACCGAGCCCTGCTGGAAGTATTATGTTGTGGGATGGGAGTTGGTGGACATAATGGCTAGACTGTCGCTGAACCAGCCCCGTCTGATGAGGTCATAAGTTATCCTGGTATGATTCCCCCTCTTACTAGGAAGTCTTGCAAACTGCCCTAGATTCATAGTGTTATATGATATGGAAGGATTCTGTTTTTGAATTATATCTTTTGTATTGCAAAAGATATTTTCACACTGAATGATACTTCAATGAGGCCACAATATCTGCTATTTGGAACAGGTGCTGATAAAAGGGGCTCATGTGTCAGCAGTGGAAGGGAACGCAGGTGGCTTTCTTGGCTACTGTCCTCAGGACAATGCTCTCTGGCCCAATTTGACGGTGAAAGAACATCTGGAGATTTATGCAGCTGTGAAAGGGATAAAGAAAGATGCCACTGCTTCTGTTGTCGATCGGTAAGAACAACTAAAGATGCTGCTTCCATTGGAAAACCTACATCTTCTAAAAATAAATGATCCCCTTTGTTATCTTGCACTGGTGACTTACTTGTTGGGTGTGGGACCATAAAATGAAATATTTATATCTATTTGAAAAATGTGGTCCATCTTTCTACAACGTTTTAACAACATTCCTGAGACTCCTGCTATGTTTTGTTTTGCATTTGTCATGCAAAACAGATCAGCTACGTGATAAACCAAACCCTGTAGTTTTACTTTTTTTCAGAATAGCAAAAGCTCTAGAACTCCAAGAACATTTGGAAAAGACTGTTAAGTCACTACCTGCTGGATTAGCTAGAAAAGTAAGTTCTGTGTTTCGTTAGTCTTGAACTAACTGAGGTGGTACCAATGACCTGTTTCTTCCAATATTGCTTGCAGCTTACCATTCCTTCTCATTCTGGTCTCTGCTGGTCCCCTTCCTAATCTAGACATGATAATCTTTTGCTGGTTTCACCCTGATGTTATGGAGCCCCCGGTGGCGCAGTGGGTTAAATCCCTGTGCCGGCAGGACTGAAGATTGACAGGTTGCAGGTTCGAATCTGGGGAGAGGCGAATGAGCTCCCTCTATCAACTCCAGCTCCTCATGCGGGGACATGAGAGAAGCCTCCCACAAGGATGATAAAAACATCAAATCATCCAGGCGTCCCCTGGGCAACGTCCTTGCAGACGGCCAATTCTCTCACACCAGAAGCGACTTGCAGTTTCTCAAGTCACTTCTGACATGACCAAAAAAAAAAAAAAAAAACCAAAACCCTGATGTTGTTCAAAGAGTCAATTCCATATAGCTTCTTGCTAAAATAAACATGGGGAGCATCACCATGTCTGGTTTACTGGCATAGGCAACCATCTCACAGGCTATTGGAAATGTGGATTTGGTTGCATACATAGACATACTTTATAGGTCAGATGGTCTTCTCATTTTAATATGAAACTGTTTTATAAGTTTATTGGGCCATTGTGGTGCGAATATAGGAAGGCTATGATAAGGAATTATAGAACGCTGCAAAGAATTGTCTACATATATTAAAATTACCTCCAAAATGGACTTGGTTTTGAGTAGATTGTTTACTGCTCCAAACAGCATACAATATCTAGGGACTGGACATTTAAACATTTCAACTGAATGACCCCTTACAAGGGTTTTCCTCCAGACGAAAACCAAAAATGAGTAACTTGGAAGCCTTGAACAGACTCAGAAGTGGAGTTGGCAGATCAAAAGACAACCTGGCTAAATGGCACTACCTAGAACAGTGGTTCTCAAGCTTCCTAATGCCATGACCCCTTAATAGAGTTTCCCATGTTCTGGTGACCCCAGCTGTAAAATTATTTTTGTTGCTACTTCATAACTGTAATTTTGCTACTGTTATAAATCGTAATGTAGATATCTGACATGCAGAATGTTTTTTCATTAACTGGACCAAATTTGGCACAAATACCTGATACAGCCAAATTTGAATACTGGGGCTGGGGGGATTGCCTTTTCATTTGGGAGTTGTAGTTGCTGGGATTTATAGTTCACCTACAATGCATTCTGAACCCCACCAATGATAGAATTGGGTCAAACTTCCCACACAGAACCACGTGACCAACAGAAAATACTGGAGGGATTTCGGAGGAATTGACAGTCATTTAGGGAAGAGCACACCTGCTCTCCTCTCCCCACTTGGAGTCTCAAAAACAGCCCTAACTTGGCTGAGAGGCCAGCGAATCATGGCAGGAAGAGAAGAGAGGCATAGAGATCTTCAGCCTTCTCTCCCAAAGGGGTTCCTAAGACCATCAGAAATGGCAACCCCTTTGAAACCCCTCTCACCACCACCTCCAGTGGTCCTGACCCCCAGGTTGAGAAACGCTGACCTAGAAGAATCCTCCACCTTGTGCGACTGTGTAGTAGAACAAACAACTTCACATCTGTATGCTTGCCCACAATGCCCTTCCTCATGCACAGAAGAAGAACTGTTTAAAGCTACAGACAATGCAGTCACTGTTGCCCGTTTTTGGTCTAACATTATTTAGCTCTTTGTGCTCCCTTTATTTTATCATTTTATACTAATTTATTTATGCAGTACTCTTGACATGAAATAAAAAAAACTACCCTGCTTTGACTACCCATACTGATCATTTTGGAATTCTCTGGCATATATTCAATGAAAATAAAATGAAATAATTATGTTTAGAACCATTTTCAACAAGATAACCATTTTAAGACTGCAAAAAGGTGGGTAGTGGAATGAAGGAATCCAGCAACACCTTCCAGATTGACTGGCTAACTTAGCATGAGCTTTAATAGATTCCAACCCACTACTTTAGGTACTTCAGTGTCAAAATAATGTTAGTTCATCTCAACAACATGAAACAATCTCTATGAAGACTTTTCTGGGCTTCCCCACCACTTTGGTTTCTCACCAAACACTCACATTGTCCAAGGTGGAGTTAACCCTGCAGTTATTTTTATTTTTATTTCTTTTTCAAATGTATATCAGGTGTGTGCATATATACAATTTCTTCTTGAAGACAGAATCAAATTTCTTTCCTTTTAGTTATGCTTTGCCCTGAGCATTTTGGGAAATCCTACTGTGATACTGTTTGACGAACCAACTATAGGAATGGATCCCAAAGGAAAACGTCAGGTCTGGTAAGTAACCTCTCTGTTAATTATAAACAAATAGGATTCTGGCTATAAGCGGACCTCAAATTCTAAGCCCTAGGTTACTATCCAAAATCTCCCATCTCTGCTTGAAAACTTTCTTCGCTCATAATCTCAAAAACATGCAACCAACCATGTAGATGTGGCAGTGGTATTGGCACATCTCATGACATTGGATACAATAACTTACTCTTATGTAGACTGTAGACTGTTAGTAGCAGTGTCCCAATACAGTTCTTTCAACAGCGAAGTGAGTGCATTCTTCCCAAAGGATTGGGTCTGTCTGCTCATCAATATAGCCCACAGAGTATAGGCATACATTTTCCCATTTTGAGCGTAAAGAGTTGGGAGAAACATTGGAAAAGCTTGGTATGGGACAATTATTATAATAGTATCCCATCTGTTCCTTATACCACCCTGTTTCTGAAATTTGCTTTTAGGAATTTAAAAATCCGCTAATGTATGTTCATGTACATTAAGTCAACACCATAAATCTCTTTGCAAGATAATAAACAGACACTAATTTGACATTAAGAAAATTTGGGAAGACATAGTTTCATAGCAGATGAGTTTCTGAGCAAAGTATACCATTAAAAGTAGTTACAATCTTTAATAGTTGTTCAAGTCTGTAATCAAGAGCTCTTTAAATGGAGATTCATTTGGGAGAAATTCCTAAAAATCGTGAAGTTCATCATGATAGTTATTGTAGCTATATACTTAAGGAAAATCCAGAGTCGTGCCACCAGGATTTTATTTATCTTGTTCTTTCAAAATACACTTGCACCTTAAAAACACCGACTTTGCGATTAAATAATATAATCTCTACTTTAACCTATGTGGGGATAAGTCTCATTAGACACCGTAGGGCTCAATTTTGTTGTATATGTTCAAATTGTAAAACCCATTTGGCCCCTTATCTCATCTTTGAATATTCAAGCTTATGAAGATGGGAATAGTGGATGTTCCAACCTTGGAGTAGGTCTCCATTTAAGAATGTTACAGGGGAAGTTTCTTCAGAAGAAGCATCTACTTCAAAACTGGGTGTCTGCTTTCTAACAGCAAATCTACACATGAGAGTAGACTGAACAAGTAGAAAAATTCAGTGCCCATCTGCACCAAGTTGCACAAGAAGGCAATGTTCTCAATACACCTGACAATCTTGCCACCGAGGGTCTTGCGGAGCCCTCAGTGGGGCCGAGGGTTAAACCCTTGTGCCAGCAGGACTGAAGACCGACAGGTCAGAGGTTCGAATCTGAGGAGAGCGTGGATGACCTCCCTCTGTCAGCGCCAGCTGCCCATGCGGGACATGAGAGAAGCCTCCCAAAAGGATGGTAAAACATCAAAACATCTGGATGTCTCCTGGGCAACGTCCTTGCAGGCGGCCAATTCTCTCACACCAAAAGCAATTTGCAGTTTCTCAAGTTGCTCCTGACACAAAAGAAATCTTACCACCTCCACTATGTATCACAACACTGTATCAGTTTATGATTTCCTGAGATGTGGAACAGGATATAATATTTTAATATACACATATACATATATGTATCTATATACTTGTCGATCCTCATTTATAATATGATCTTCCAATGTTCATAATAGAGAGAATGCATTGTGCGCACCTGAGCAACTGCAGACTCTGGAGTTTGAGGAGATAAGTCTTTTCTGGTTCTGCTTCTGCTTCTGGAGAGGTGCATGAAGGGTTAAGAATATTTATATGATTTCCAAGTCACTTGACTTTCCTTGGGCTTTTTCATGCCCTTCTCTCTACTCGGGAGTCTTGGCATCTTCTGCTTTTCCTGTCTCCTCGGGCGTTTGTCTACTGGTGCCTCTTCTTTGGGATTCTTTGGTGATGTTAGAGCTCTGTCCATCAACTAAAGCTGAATCAAACAAAAGGCTAGCATTTCTGCCATTACAGAAAAATCTTGTGTTGTCTACAGGAGAGCAATTCGCTCTGTTTTGAAGGACAACAACCAGGGTGCCATTCTGACCACTCACCACATGGAAGAAGCTGAGGCAGTGTGTGACCGAGTAGCTATCATGGTGTCTGGACAACTCAGGTTGGCTTCTTCATTAATGTTTATTTCTCAGCATGCTATGTTGACATGAATAGACAATGTATTGACAAGATGAAGGATGTCATAAATAGATGTCATCAATGGGATGTTCAATGTTTACACATAGTGAGCAACATTGTATTTTGCATACAGGGATATATGTTTAATAAGACAATATACAGGGTGAGGCAACATAACTTCCTTTTTTAAAATGTGCGCCATTCAGTTGGTTGAAGACGTAGCGGAGCGCTAGTGGTCTCATTCGAGAGGCGGGAGTATAAAGTTTAGTCCTGACACAGTTCAGTCGCCATCATGTGTTGGAACAGTGAGGAGCGTGCGTTTGCCATTGAGGTCTACTTTTCGAGCGGATTTGGAGTGGTCGGCCCGCTCTCCAGATTTGGCCCCTTGTGATATTTTTTATGGGGTTTTTTGAAATCTCGTGTTTATGTGAACCGTCCAAGGACCCTACAAGATTTTAAGACCAACATCCAGGAAAAAATTGCCAACATAATGCCTGCTATGCCGGCAAGAATCATGACAAACGCCAGAAATCGGTTTACTCAGTGTATGGAGAATGGAGAATAGGGGACGTCACCTACCTAATTTGATCTTCAAAACTATGTAAAACAAAACTTTCTGTATGCGCCTACATTATAAAATAAAAATAAAAAATTCAGATTCATACAATGGGTTTTATTAAGTTTTGTAAAAAGGAAGTTATGCTGCCTCACCCTGTATTTCACACAAAAGCACATCCTTCATGAAATTTTCATTTAAATATCCCCAAATGCAAAATATCATTGAAAAATGGGAAGGGAGGGGGGAATTCCTTGCATCTTATCTAGATAAGATTTTATAAAAGTTGCTTTAACCTGTTAGAGTGAAATCAACAAGGATTTATATCCCTACTAAGGAGAAGGGATGGTAAAAACAAGATGGTAGATCAAGATGAATTTAACCACACATCTTCCTTTGTTATGAGGTATACAGCTACCCTTTTTGGTTGGAGTTATAATACTCTAATGATAGACAAGTTATAGGGTGGCCATGTGAATCTATTATTTTGTCCATAATTATAGATTTCATTTTTAAGCTGTTTCTAGTAGTTGTTTCATTTAGCAACTATTTAGAACACGGTTATAGTCAATGCCCTCAAAAGTGATATATCTTCTAATAATCAATGATAATGAATAATTGATAAATAATAAGCTGATAAATGATAGAAAATTAACAAACCACCTTAGATTTCTGCCAGTAGTTTAAGAAAGAGTAGGTCAGTTGTTGGCAAAATGTAGGCTGTGTTAGTCCAAGCGAAATGTGCATGCAAGCTTTTGTTTTCAGGTCTCCAGTTCATTTTATCAGACATTTTTGTCAAATGTGTGTGGAGCAGAAGGGAGGCAATGCAGGAAAGACATCTTTGATACCGAGCCTTCTCTGTGGTTGCCCCTTGGCTGTGGAATCCTCCCCCCTTGTGAAATCAGATCCGACCCCCTCCCTGCGGACCTTCAGAAAAAAGCTATAAACATGGTTGTGGGACCAAGCTTTCAGATAGCAATCTCCCAGTGCAATACGTGAATGTGGAATAGTGCAATGACAATGGGAATGGCCTTCAACTATGGTATTGGATTACGTGACTTTAATAAGTGGTTTTAATTGTTTGATATTTTTTAGTGCTTGGTTTTACTGTATTTGTTTATTTTCTCTAATGTATAATGGTGAGGCATTAAATTGTGCCTTGTATGTAAGCCGCCCTGAATCCCCTTCGGGGTGAAAAGGGTGGGGTGTAAATATAGCAAATAAATAAATAAACTATAGGAACTGCATGCCCTTAGATGTTCTTATATTGCAGCTTTCATCATGCTAAACGAACAGTGAGGGATTCTGGAAAATGCAGTGTTGTACTACATATTCTATTTCCCTGGGCTTGGCTAGGCTGTGTAACGGCTGCACTCATTATGCCTTTGGACCTTATGTTGTATGTTCATTCTCTTTCTTTGGCAGGTGCCTTGGCTCTATTCAGTATCTGAAAAGCAAATTTGGCAAAAATTATTTACTCCAAATAAAAGTAAAAGGAGTAGAGGAAGGAGAGCTTCTGAATACTAGGATTCTGCAGATCTTCCCACGTGCAGCCCGTCAAGAAAGGTACAATTTGTCTGATGCTTAGTTTCAAACTTGTAGTGATGATTTAAGACAATCAACAAAAAAAGCTTGAACAGAACAACCAATATTGTTCACAAAGAGCCATTTTGAAATGTGTTCTGTTCAACCTGATTCTTAAAATGGGGCATTGTGTATTCTATTGTGGTTGCTCTAACCTTTTCTGAAGAAAAGTATCATCTGTACGTAGATGACGTCCAACTCTGTCACTCCTTCCCACCTACTACTAAGTAGGCTGTTCAGGTCCTGAACCGGTGCTTGGCCACTGTGATGATCTGGATGAGGGCAAACAAATTGAAATTGAATCCAGACAAGACAGAGGTACTTCTGGTCAGTCTCAAGGCCGAACATGGCATAGGGTTATAGCCTGTGTTGGATGGGGTTACACTCCCCCTGAAGACGCACATTCACAATTTGGGAGTGATCCTGGACCCATCGCTGACCTTGGAACCCCAAGTTTTGGCGGTGACCAGGGGAGCATTCACACAGCTAAAACTTGTGCGCCAGCTGCACCCGTACCTTGGGAAGTCTGACTTGGCCACGGTAGTACATGCTCTGGTCACATCCTGTATAGACTACAGCAATGCGCTCTACGTGGGGTTGCCTTTGAAGACTGTCTGGAAGCTTCAAATGGTCCAACGGACAGCAGCCAGATTGCTAACAGGAGTGGTGCTCAGGGAGCATACAACTCTCCTGTTGCGCCAGCTCCACTGGCTGCCTGTCTGCTACTGGGCACAATTGAAAGCGCTGGCTTTAGCCTATAAAGTCCTAAACAGTTCTGGCCCAATTTACCTGTCCGAACACATCTCCCCTTATGAACCATCTAGGACTTTAAGATCGTCCGGGGAGACCCTGCTCTCGATCCCGCCCTCATCACAAGTACGTTTGGCAGGGACGAGAGACAGGGCCTTCTCTGTGGTGGCCCCTTGGTTATGGAACACCTTCCCTAAGAAGATTAGATCGGCTCACTCTTAATGTTTCGGAGACAAGTTAAGGCATGGTTATATGAGCAAGCGTTTACAAATGCAGAGTAACTAACATAGGAAATGGAATCACTCGACAATGGAACTTGGACAACGTTATTTAACTAGGAGACGCTGATGATTATAGTGTTGGTTTTTATTGTTTTTGTTTTTTGGTTACATTGTGGTTTTATACTTTTTTAATGTTCAATTTGTATTTTGTTATGTGTACTGACTTGTTGTAAACCGCCTTGAGTCACCGATAAGGCTGAGAAAGGCGGTATACAAGTATAGTACATAAATAAATAAATAAATAAATAAATAAATAAATAAATAAATAATACTTTTGATGTCTGGATATTTTTCTCCTCTTAGAATATCTACTTTATTGATCTACAAGGTCCCAATGGAAGATGCACTTCCTCTTTCCAAAGCATTCTCCATGCTAGAGGAAGGTACGTCTCAGATAGATATACAATGTAATTGTTTGTATATTTCTGTATGTGCTTTGAGTCATCTGTTGAGGTGACCCCATGAATTTCATAGGATCTTTCTTAGGCTAGGAATACTTATAGGTGGATTGTCATTCCCTTCTTCTGAAACAGAGTTTATTAATTGTGAAGATGTTTACAGTCCAGTTGGGATGTTACTGCCCCTTTTCCTTTATTTGTTTTCACTCTTCTCCTATGGGAATGGGGCAGAGAAAGGAGCAAAGTGAGATCTCACACTGAAATACCAAACTCCACCCAACACATTGATCATATTAGGATACACAGCTATAGTCTCTGTTTGGTTGTAGTGCATCTGAACCCCACTCACTTGCAGTTCTGTCTCTTTAACTTCTGGTTCCATCCTTCATGGGAAAGTATAGATCTCCTTAGATATATGGAGGGGGTAATTCACATAGGTAACCTGATTCTGTGGCGGTGCACATGAATTCAAGTGAGTCACAAGAAGATAGTCAACATGTTTGGACAACCTTGGGATAATGCCTCAAGTTTTTTTATCGTGTCAGAAGTGACTTGAGAAACTGCAAGTCACTTCTGGTGAGAGAGAATTGGCCCTCTGTAGAGATGTTGTCCAGGGGACTCCTGGATGTGGTACCATCTTGTGGGAGGCTTTTCTCATATCCCTGCATGGGAAGCTGGAGCTGACAGATGGGAGCTTGCCCCATCTTGGTGATTTGATCTGCTTATATTCAGGTCAGCAGTTCAGCTCACACAAGAGTTTAACCCACAGCACACCATGGCATCTAAGCCTCAAAGTGTCCAGGTTGGGAATTTAAATAATTATGATAAAATTAGCTGTTATCAGTGAGATACCCTCTTTGAGAAATCACTGATCTTTACACTAAAGGACACAAACAACCCATCCATGACTTAAAATTTTTAAAAATGGCTTGAACGATGCAACAACTAGTGCAATTTGTTATTGTTTTCCATGTATCTGATTAACACAATTCATGCAAAAAAAAAAAACAACAACATTTTTTTGCATGCAAGAATTCTTGCTGATCCTGTCAGAAAATTCCTTGCCATCTTGCAAGTGGGAAGAAATAGTTTTTTGTCTGTCTGAGACAAGTGATGCCTTAATAACTAGGTCCTGTAGTCTTGTTTAAAAGTAGGGTGTGTGGGCAGTTAAAGGGCATAAAGGAAGGATATTATGGGATCATAACTTTGCAAATGAAGCTGGAATCTGAATGCTTGCTTCCTTGATTAAATTTGGAGTAGATAAATTTGGGAAACTTGGTCGTCATTTGACCCTAGCAACTTTCTGAAAGAAAAAAAAATGATATTTGGAAAATGTGCTGAGAATTGAAGTGCACAATCCATTTTAGTAACAATTCACTTATTTTGATTAATGACATCCAACAGGGAATGGGTAGATACATGTCACATAATAACCTGTGAGGTGACTGTAGGGAGAAGCAAGTGGGTGAGGCATGGAGGCATCATCATAAAGGGCATGAATGTATTGTTGAAGGCTTTCATGGCCAGAATCACTGGGTTGTTGTAAGTTTTTTGGGCTGTGTGGCCATGTCTCAGACCTCGCAACCTCTGAGGATACCTGCCATAGATGCAGGTGAAATGTCAGGAGAGAATGCTTCTGGAACATGGCCATGCAGCCTGAAAAACTTGGAACAAGCCAGTCATCTGAATGAATCCTAAGTCAGAAGAATATAATTGACTTAACTTTGTAACCACACAGCTAAACAAAGCTTCAATCTGGAGGAATACAGCTTTTCTCTGAACACTTTGGAGCAGGTAATGCTTTTTAAAATATAACCAACCTTCCCTCCCTCTTTCTCTCCTTCTTTATTTCTCTCCTTCCTTCCTTCCCTCTTTTTCTTTTCCTTCTTCTTTCTTCCTTCTCTAACAGTTTCTTTTCTCGCTTCCTTTACTCTTTGGTTCCATCCTTGTCTCTTTCCTTCCCTCCCTCCCTCTTTCTCTCTTTTGTTCCTTCTCTCCTTCCTTCCCTCTTTCACTTTTTTATTTCATTCTCTCCCTCCTTCTCTTCTTCCTTCCTTCTCTACCCTTCTTTCTTTCCTTCTTTATCTCCTTCCCTCCTTCTTTCCCTCCTTCTCTCCTTCCTTCTCTACCCTTCTTTCTTTCCTTTCTTCTCTCCTTCCTTCTTTCTCTCCCTCCTTCTCTCCTTCCTTCCTTCTGTATCCTTCTTTTTTTCCTTCCTTCTCTCTTTCCCTCCTTTTTCTCTCTCTCTCTCCCTCCTTCCTTCTCTATCGTTCTTTCTTTCTTTCTTTCCTTCTTTCTTTCCTTCCTTCCTTCCTTCCTTCCTTCCTTCCTTCCTTCCTTCCTTCCTTCCTTCCTTCCTTTGTATGTTTTATATGTTTCTATGCATATATGTGTGTATATATATGATTGTGTATATACATATGTGGTTTTGCACATACGTTGTAATGTTGTTTTTGTTTTTTTAGCTTTTTAAGTCCCTTCTGCTGTGTTTTTCAGTGTTTTTATGAGTGATGGTCACTTGTTGGCCTGAGAGGTGTATCGTGTTCAAATTTTGTGTCATTTCGTCCAGTGGTTTCTGAGTTCTGTTAATCCCACAAACGAACATTACATTTTTATTTATACAGATTGCATGGTGGGATTTACAGTGAAAAAATGTGGATATCTATGCATTTTAAAATGTTAGTTATGTTGATAGATTTTTTAAAAAGAAAATCTAATAAAGTTCGCATAAGCTAAGCTCAGAAAATAACTGGGGGAAGAGGTATGCTCATCAAAGCATTAGAAATATAAGTCTAAAGAAATCTTCTTTGTGAAAATTAAAATATGACTAGGAGAAGATTGGCCAGCTTTCCTGGAGCCTCCATTTCCCCTCAACTGAATGAAATATAATGATGTAACTTGGTTACAGAGGAAAAATAAGAGCCTACGAGTTAAAAGGAGGTCAGGGAATCTGTGATGGATCTGGATTGATTTGTTTTGCCTCAAAACAGATCTTAATTCTCTGTGACAAATGTAAAGAGGTCATTTCATTATGAGTCATCCATGGGTGGGAGGGGGAGGTGGCCTTCCTTTCCTTTGAATGTTGTCCTGGCAGCAACTTTATCTTGGCCTTATGTAGGCTAGTGTAACACCATCTCTCAGTGATTCTTGAAGGGTTTTTGGCTATCTTTATGTGGTTTTTTAAAGTAGAAAGTACCCCACCCGAGAAGTGTTGGAAATAGCAACATTCTACAAGCCTCCTATACTAGTTATTTGTTATATATATAATTGTGATTGCTTACTATATTGTGTTATGATTTGATATGTAGTTTTCCTTTAACTCTATGTTGTTTGAGGTTGTGGGAGGGGCTGCAGACCATGTGACCAGATCTGGGACTATTCAGACTGAGACTCCATTTTTAGAAGTCAGTGTTTTGCATCAGAAGCAGTACAGTATAGCTTAGAAGTCAGTGGTGTCAGTATGCTGCAGTGTGTAGTCAGTCTATGTGCTGGTATGGCTGTACCAGGAGTTCCAAACTCCCTTTCGTTCTTTGAGCGTTTGCATGTGCTTGTTCTGGCCATGCATTTTGCAGTTGGATGGTTCCTGCTAGGATGCAGTCTGGGGCTAGCCACCTGTCTATCATCGTTAAGTTTTAGTTCCGCCCTTTTTTCCAGGTTCAGGAGGGAAAGGGAACCATTTTAGTTCAGTCTTACAGTTGGAAGCTCGGCTACAGGACGTGAAAGTTTTCCACCTGTAGAGAAGCTTTGTTTCTTACAAAGTCCGGGGGGAAACAGTCCCAAAAGCTCTGGCTGGGGAATTTACAGCCTCACAGCTTTAAGAACAGTCTCTAAAGAAAGGCTTTTAAGAGAAACAGCTTTACAGCACAACTCTTGTTGGGGCTGGAAAAACGGACCTACAACTTTCGTTGGAAAAATCCTATGGACTCCAGCTGGAAATTCTTCAGAGCCTTGGCTGGTAGGTCTACTCGGGTACCCAAGAAGCAATTTGGAGCCGGGAGTAGGGCCCACACCAGCAAAGCCTAGAAAGCAGATTGCCCAGGAAGGGGTCAAAAAGGGTTTTCCTCGTAAAGGAAAGAAATAGTTCTCCAAGCAAGTTGTCTATCCTTTGTAGACATGTTAAGAAGCATTTGTTTGATTTGCTGAAGATCTAAGATTGTTTGTTGAAGACTTAAGCAATAATAAGGAACTTTGTTAAACTTCTTAGCTTCTAAAGACTTTCTATAGGAAAACCCATAGGGCCTCTCATCCGAGGCACCCTGGCTTCCCGCTGGGCACAAAGAGCGTGTCCTGTTCAAAAGCCAATTGCTATAGGCCCAGTGCGCGATAGCACAGTCTGTATTGAGTCAATGTTCAATAATGTAATAGACTGAAGTGAGTGTTGGTCTGTATGCAACAAAGAAGAGACTGAAACAGAATTTTTTAGAGAGCTTACTGTTTAAACTCTCAGCCAATGAGAAATGTACCTGAATGGTGAATACATTACATTTGTAAGTAAATCAACTATGTTACTTTTAATGAAGACTACCTATTTTTGGTCTCTTGAGAGCATTATTTAAAAGCAATATATTTTATGGAAGAGTAGATGTTTTGGGGCAACTGAAATAACACTTCTGAAGATCTGCTATATATTTTGTGCTTTGGCATATCTTTGTTCCTAACAGTTCAGAGAGATATCCAGGTATAGCAGTCTAACAACTGAGAAATCTATTTTGCTTTGCATGACTACTAGTGGATATTTACCACTGTACAGAAGTGTTTATAATAATATGCTTATAACTGTATTTATGTTTGCATTGGTTGCCCTTAGGCTGGAGCGGCCTAGCTGTTAGGAATGTGTTACCATGGAAACGAGGCAGAAGAGGAGGTGGGAGGAGTGAAGGTTTTGAAAAGTGACAGTTAGAGTCGGGCGGGAGACTCGGAGAGAGCAGCAGAGTCAGGCTGGAGACTCTGAGAGAGAAGCAGAGTCAGGTTTTAGATTCTGAGGAGTGAAGAAGTGAAGAGTCAGGGTTTAGTGTTCGTGAATAGTAGAGATTTCTTCAGCTAGGAAGAGTCAGGGTTTAGTGTTCGTGTATAGTAGACTAGAGAGTTGTAGTTTGATCGAGGAAAGATCAAACAGGGTATCTAGTTACTGTAGGGAACACTGGTTAACAAAGTACTTCACCTCAGCAAGAGTTCACAAGTAGTAACATCGAAAGACTGTATTGTTTCGCAACCAAGTAACATGTAACCATCAAGATTTGCCAAGCTAACATCTTCATACTGCAACCATAAGCTTTGTTTAAAAATAAACTTGTTCTCTTCAGTTTTTGAAAACCTGCCTCATCTCCATTTA